TTTACTGTACTAACTTTTAGCCCTTAAGGTAAGCACCTAGAATTAGTGCTTAAATCTGTTTGAAACAATCCTTTTTAATCTTTTGACCCTTCTGCTGACACCTGGTCAGTCTATCCTAACTATTTCTTCTATTTCCTTTCCAACCCAATAAAAGACAATGATAATCCTCCAGTAAGGGGAGAATGTGTTTTGACTTTAACCTGACACTTAGCTTTCAATAATTTTCTGTAGACCCTTTTTTGTTTTAAATAAAGTTTTTTGCCTTTTCAAATTGAGAAGTCTACAACCAATAAAGCTCATTTAGCTTTAAGCATTTGTGACAACTTGCCTGAAACACCCTTCAACTTAAGCGTGAAACTACAGTAGTGTAATGCATAAAAAAGATCCATCTAATGTTAATTACAGAGACCTGCCAGTAATTTAGACTGCCAGTAATTTAGACTAAATTTTTCAATGGTCCCTATTGAAAAAGGATGGAATTTTGTTTTGATTTTACCAAATTTCATTTCGATTTTTTTTAGCTATTAATTAACTTAATTCAATTTTCTTTCGTAAAATATTAATCCAAAAACTCAGGGAATCACCTTAAAGCAACATTTTAGGTTTAATTTGCTCGATTAAGGAAAATTGAAAATCATGAATTATGTTGCTCGACGAATAGTGTGAATAAGCTATTTCCAGTGAGTCTAAATTACTGGCAGGTCTCTGTAGCCATTATTAGTCTAATTTCAGTGTAAATTTAATGAAAAAATAACGCCGTCTCACTGATTTTTCCTGGATGCTTAACTCACATTTTTAAGTATAATTTAAAGTTTTACAGTGTAATTTAAATTAAATTACACTGTAAAACCTTGATTAAATTATTTAATCGAAAATAATGAATAGAAAAAGAAAGAGTCACTTTCTTGCGCCATCTTCTGGCTCCAAGAAAAATTTTCGTTGAGAAAGCCTGTTTAATGTTGCACTCTTCTTGTTAGTAAGAAGTTCTTACTTTACTCTTTGGTCTATCTTTTTCCCTCAAAATCTGTTCATAACTTGAAAAAGGGTCTCACTAAAAGACCAAAATTGGCCAAACGACCAAAATTGGCCAAAAATGGCCAAAAATGGCCAAAATTGATTTAAAACAATTGAAACATGTATATTTGATGTTTTTCAATATAATTTAGCTTATCACTGATGTTTCTCAATTAATTTATTCACAGAAATCGCTACTAAAATCTATATTAGTTAGGATTATACATTAGTGTATTATATTTTACAATGTTTATCAATGAACTTCCTACGAATGTTTGCTCATTATTTTTGGCTCAATAAATGAATTGGATGACTTAGTAAACTGCTATAAAGGTAAGTTTGTTTTAAACCAAAATTAAATTACACCAGAGACTCTGATTTAAATCAAGTTAAAATCCATTTAGATATATCGATACATTTCAGAGCTATTTCATATCATTTGGCTGTTTAAGCATGATTGCATATTTTTAACAAATGTTTAATTATTTGTCTTGATTGTGAAGACAATCACACAAGCATCTAGTAAACCAAAGAAAATCAAAGAAATTTAATGAAATTGTTGTATTTTAGTATGCAGCAAATGGAGCCATTTAATTGCGGAGCGAACTAGAAAAGTTAAATATTTGTTTGGTAAGAATCTAATTTTTTAACGATACTTATTATCATTATGAATCCTTAGGCTCGCCAGATGGTCCTTACGATGGTCCCGTATTAGGAAGACTTAAAATAGTTGAATTGTCCTTACCTTCACATATTGGTCTTGGCATCTATCATGGTTTCCAGTTCATGGATTCATGTCCGAATTTACAAAGCGCTCATATTAGGTTGAACTCTGATTCCATTTTTGTTGATGAATCATTAAAACACAAATCTTTGCAAGATTTAGTTTTATCATTTGTAAGTATTGTTTGATTTATTTGTAGAGTATTCTTAAATTTTTGCCAAATCAAATACAATAAGAGATTTTCATTATTACAAAACTAGATTCATCTGTATTAATTAACTAATCTTTATATACACAGCACGATCGAGATAATACTCGTTGGGGGGAATTGAGAAGATTGTTCCTGAAATATCCAAATCTTAAACATCTTGCAATGTACAGCAACAGGAGTCTGGAAGATGAGCATATCGAACAATTGGTTCGCATTCTACCCAATTTAGTGTTATTTGCTGTTCGTGGATGTCCAAGAGTCACTCAGGCGGCTGCTAATTATGTTCAAGAATATAATAAACTATATGGACGATCAATCAAGTTTTACTCTAAAGAGAATTACCATGAAATTCAATCAGATTGGCCTCAGTTATCAACTAAAAGGGAAAAAATTAGTCAAGGCTTTGATTTCATGAAACATTGTTTTCTTAAAGATTTTGTTAAACTTTCTACTTTCTTAATCTCTAGCGAGGACTGAATAACAAAATGCACAAGCTTTGGCTCTGAAAAGCTCATTTGTTAAACGGTCAATTCTGGTTACTTGTATTATATAATTGCAGTTTGCTCAGCTAACTGTATTTCGTATTATAAATACACAAAAAACAATCATACTACAATATGTAATTCAATAACAAAAACTATCTCATTCTTGTATTCATCTCAAAGCTACTCATTACCATTAACCATAAAAGTGAATTTAATAAATTAAACTAAATTCAATTCAATTAATTTAAGACGGTGTCGAGAACAGTTATTTTATGTGCTATCAGCGCCTCCTGAATGTAAACCGGGAGAACTAACAGCTTTTAAATCTCAACTTTACAGTTTTTCCAGATTCTATTCTTATTGTTATTATCTAATTGTCTGGCTCTTCCCCTCTAAATCTGTTAATAACTTTAGCTATTATTTAAACAAGTGTCATTACTGTTAATATGTTGTATTACTAATGTAATTTAATTTTTCTCAATCAAGTTTATGCGTGGATAACTGCTAATAAAGTCTATATAAGTTAGGCTTAAGCATTAGTCTATTTTACAATGTTTATAAATCAACTTCCAGACGAATGTTTGCTCATCATTTTTGGTTTAATAAATGAATTGGATGATTTAGTAAACTGCTATTCAGGTAAGTTTGTTTTAAACCAAAATTAAATTACACCTCTGAACCAGAGACTCTGATAAGACTCTGAAAGTTAAAATCCATTCAGCTATATCGATACATTTCAGAGCTATAGTATCATAATATAGATAATAACAACATGATAAATATTGTCATTTGACTGTTACAGCATGATATTCGCGTTGAACGTTTAATTATTTTGTCTTAATAATGAAGACAATCACACAATCATCTAGTAAACCAAAGAAAATCAAAGAAATTTAATGAAATTGTTGTATTTTAGTATGCAGCAAATGGAGCCATTTAATTGCGGAGCGAACTAGAAAAGTTAAATATTTGTTTGGTAAGAATCTAATTTTTTAACGATACTTATTATCATTATGAATGAATTCCCTCATTTAACTTATTTGTTCAGAAGATCGGTGGAATGGTGAAAGCGCTCCAAATTATACGTTGGATTATGTTTATTATCAAACAGAGGAACCGCTTGATGCAACTTGTTTGAGCACATTATTTCCAAATTTAATTGTTTGTTAAATGATTTTTTGTTTGTTTGTCTATTACTTGCTGACTAATCATTTTTTTATGTTATTTGCTGTCTTATTACCTTAGGTTGTCGACTTTTCTGGATTCCTTGCAAAAATGAAACATGAAACTATCGTTACATTGATCAAAAAGATGAAATCTTTGAAAGGATTGATTGCTCATTGCTGCTATTATGAAGGAGATGAATCGATTATCCAAAATTGTGATGGACTCGAAATGGTATCAAACGATGACATTGAGCCATGCATAAAAGAGAAAGGTGTCACCTTTAAACAATTGCACCTTGTCAGTTATAATCTGGATAGATTCAGGGAAGATGCACATTGTTTTCCAAATCTTGAAAGATTATACATTCATAATAATGAAGGTGATCTTAAAACACTTTTATATTTTGCACAAATTTTTGATAATCAGCATTCATCTTCTATCCTTAGGCTCGCCAGATTACTATTACGATGGTCCCATATTAGGAAGACTTAGAATAGTTGAATTGTCCTTATCTTCTTATGATGGTACAGACATTTATTATGGTTTCCAGTTCATGGATTCATGTCCGAATTTACAAAGCGCTCATATTAAATTGGACTCTAATCGCCTTTTTGTGGATGAATCATTGAAACACAAGTCTCTGCAAGATTTAGTTTTATCATTTGTAAGTATTGTTTGATTTGAAATGTTTTTCTCATTTGTGAAGAATTCTCAAAATTTCTTTACAAATCAAATACAATAAGAGATTTTCATTATTACAAAACTAGATTCATCTGTATTAATTAACTTATCTTTATATACACAGTACGATCAAGATTATACTGATATTTTCTTCTGGGACGAATTGAAAAGATTGTTTATGAAATATCCAAACCTTAAACATCTTGCACTGTGCGACAACAGGAGACTGGAGGATGAGCATATCGAGCAATTGGTTCGCATTCTACCCAATTTAGTGTTATTTGCTGTTCGTGGATGTCCAAGAGTCACTCAGGCGGCTGCTAATTATGTTCAAGACTATAATAAACTATATGGACGATCAATCAAGTTTTACTTTAAAGAGAATTACCATGAAATTCAATCAGATTGGCCTCAGTTATCAAATAAATGTGGAAAAATTAGTCAAGGTTTTGATTTCATGAAACATTGCTTTCTTAAAGATTTTTTTAAACTTTCTACTTTCTTGATCTCTAGCGAAGACTGAATAACAGAAAAGCACAGACTCTGGCTTCGAAAAGATCATTTGTTAAACAGTCAATTCTGATTACTTGGATCTTTTACTAGCTTATTTTATATAATTGTAGTTTTTTCCATTTCTGTGCTCAAATACCCAAACAATTTCATTACAATATGTATATTAATAACAAAAACTATCTCATTCTTGTATACTCAAGGCACTCATCACCATTAAACATTTTAAAGTGAATTTGTTCTTAATTTTTTAATCTGCTTTTATGAATGTACTCAAGTTAATTATTGAACTTATTTTTGTCAAGCTTTAAAATTTGTCATTACCGGTGGACTCAAGAAAGCTAATTGAAAGCAGTGGTTACTGAATACCTGGATAAGCCAGGAAAATGACGAATTTTATACAATAGTTTTATAAATAGCAAGCTGGAGTGACTGTCCAACACTTACAATCTGTTAAATCTTGAGTGAAAGAGAGGCTGAATTATATTTCTGGATGTTCGCTCGATTAAATGCAGTGAAATCCTCAGAATGATTTCTTTTACCTTCTATGGAATTCAATAGTAAATTCAAAGGTTTACTAAAAAACAATTGAAATTGTAATCTATTTTCAGCTATTAATAAATTGTATCTTATTTAAGTATCAATCATATTGGGAATTCATTAATCGAGCATCTCATTGAAGGTTAAACAAATGATTACTATTTACGTAAATCTATTTTAACATTATCTATTAGCATATTAGCATTTCCTATTCGAAATACGTCAAATCCTCGTTGATATCAACGAAAATCAGATTTATTTAAACCAAATGATAGAGTTGAATATCACAATAATCAAGTTGATTGAAAATCATTCTGTTTACTACATGTGTATTTCGAGTTTTTTGTTCAATAATATCATTGTTATTATGATGGTTAGATAGTTTTAAATGGGAGAGTTTTGTAGCAAAGTTGAGTTTAAAAATAAATTCACAGAAATTGATTTGCGTTTTAATTTTATTTCACCGGCTTCTGTAATAATTAAAGTCGTAATCAAGAGTAAGAATCTTGATCAAACTTGGCTATGCTTATTAAATGCTTTAAACTGATTGATTTGCGAAAATAAAATCAAGCTTTAGTCGCGACTAAAATTGAAGTTATTTTGATTGAATAAATTGAAAGATAATTTCATTGCTCGATGAAAACAATGAAGTGTTATTCAGCTGGTTCGCACAATTAAACTCCTTCATTTAAAACCCATTTTGATTATGGATTCGTTTATTTGTATCAATTAACTTGATAAATGTTGGATGTTTGGAGAAGCTATTCAATAATAAATTATTCAAGCAAACAGTTTGCATTGATTAATTTTGTAGGTTTTATTTGATTCTTTCAACTTGTTTTGATTGTAATTACATGATAAATTGTGTTCAATTGTAAAATTTACTAAATAAATTAAATTAATGTTAAAGCAGCAATGAAAAATCCATATGCATGAATATATTAAAAGGGTTAACTCGATAAGTGTTGTTTGTTTAAAGCTCTAATTCAACTGAACAGGTAACTTTATTCAGCATTGATTTTATGATTTTGTTGAAATTGATGGCGATTCTTAGGTTGAAGGTCATGAATGCGGTGAAGATTAGTTCATAAACTCTCAATTTATCCATCACTTGGAGGGTTGATCACAATTTAGGTCTTGGTTTCACTTTTATGTCTTGGATGCAATGAAGTAAACAATGGAGCTCCTTCGGTAGACTCGAGTTTTCAGGGGAATTAGGTTGAATTAGGTGATGAATGAACAGATATGAAATGTTTAATTTAAGGGTGAATTTATATCCAATAAGTGTCAATATTAACGATTTAAGCGGATAAAATGGACGGTGAAAATGTTGAATGGACGAGTGTTTCTAGGCACAAATGTTTCAGAGGAAAATTATGTTTTTTAAAACTGACTTGAACTGAAGGCAGTTAACTTTTATAATGAGTGAATGAGAGGAAGAGCAAACTATTTATGATGAAGATGAAGTGATTAGCTCATCAATTCATCTAATTTACCAGGATTGCAAAGTGATTATAAGATGAGTGGAAAGTGTGAAGCAGAGTAACATTTTATGGTTTAATAAGGCCTACAAGGTCTATTGTAATTGTTGATACATTTTATCATAGACAGTTTATATTGTGAGTTAAATGTGTTCGATCAAGGAACTCCGATTGAATTAATTGTTACTCAATGTTTACCGTTTCTACCGTTCCATAATCATTATAATCAGATTATTCTATTTTTGATTCTTCATTGATTCTCTCCTTTCATTTTCACACCTCCTCTCAATCTTTGATCACTTTTCAAATAACGTTGATGATAACCGAGTTAATTTATGGGTAACAATGGATGACCTGGAAATAATGGCAGCAAATCAGGTCAGAACGAGGTTGGCTACGTTTGATTGTTCATCGTTGATTAAACAGTTAAAACCAATGAAACAAATAGCAGTATCACTTACAAGGCCATGTTAGAACTATTTCAAGCTATAAAGGCATTTATGGTAACTCAGCACTTGGTGCAAGTATTGGAATGTTTAATGCTATTTTAAGCTACATTAATTCAAGAATTAATCAGAGATTTGGTGCGATTTGTGATCATGTCTGTCACATTCCATTGAGTTGAGTGCAGGTATCAATATTTTGAAAAATAGGTACGATTTTCAATACTTGATCTGACATTAAGATGTTAGACCGCATAGATTCACTAACCAATGTTTTGATCAACATTCAATTGGTTATGAACATTAATAACCAGAAAAATGGTTGATACTAAAAAGACAAGATTGCCACATTTATGCACAAATTGACACTAATTGACAACGGTAGTGCTACACCATTTATGCTGACTCCAACTAAACCAGAAAGTGCAGCGAGTGTGAAGATAGCCACTGTAGTCGGAACTCGTCCAAAACTATCCATTAAACAATAAATACAATTTAATTTGATCAACAATTTAACTAATAATTACATTTGTTGCTAAAAAGGCACAATTGTCACATTTTTGAACAGATTGAGCAAAATGACACAAGTGCTGCAACTAAAATTGGCAAAAACGGGCGAAAATCAATTTCTGTCAAATTTAGACTCTAATAGTTTGTGAGGAAATTAATACAGAGTGCTTTTGTGTGATTTGAAGATTTCTCAGATCAATAGTTCTCGAGAAAATCGCTTTCTAACTTGAAACTTCGATTGGCTTTTATACCATTGTGGAAGCAGATTTTTCAATGCAACTCATTTTGCTGATGTTAATTTCAATGATCAACCGTAAAATAAACTTATTTTGAAGAATAGGATTTTCCGTTTCTGTAAAACTTCGAATCTTTGATTGACATTTAAACTGACCTTTTTCAGCGACCGAAAGAGTTAGAGAGCTTAAACTTATAAACTGTCCATAAAAATTGATGGGTCACATTATGGAATGTATGATTTTTCCAACATATCAACTGTTCTCCTGATTTTTGGCCATTGGCCTTAAAACTTTGAATCGAAATATTTCGAGAATGATAGCACCTACAACCATTACTCTTTGCTCAAACATTAGATTTTATTGTAGTCTATAATATAATGGAATATTAAATTATTTGAGGTTCTACAAAAAAAGTCACAGCATTGTATTGTTATGTTACCAGATTTTAGTTTTGGTTGATAAAGTTATTTGGGTACTCAAACGCGAATCAAGTTTATTAGAAGCTAATCATTAATGGATGTATCATTTCATATTATATTATAGCCCATAATAAAATCTAAGGTTGTGTCGAAGAATGATGCTTGTAGGTGCTATCAGTCTCGAAATATTTAGGTACAAAGTTTTAAGGCCAATGGCCAAAATTAGGAGAACTGTGGATTAATTGAAAAAAATATTCAATCCATGATCTGATCCATCAATTTTTATGTTAAGTTTATAAGTTTCAGCTCTCTAACTATATCCGTTATTGAAAAAAGTCAGTTTAAATCGAAATCGAAAAATCGAAGTTGTACAGAAACGGAAAATTCTATTTCTTAAAATAAGTTCATTTTCTAGTTGATCATCAGGTTTAAACTCACCAAAATAAGTTTCACGAAAAAATCTGCTTCTGTAATGGTACAACAAGCTATCGAAGTTTTAACTTTTAATGCGATTTTCTCGAAAAAAATTGATCTGAGAAAGATTTAAATTGTACGAAAAGGCTCAGTTTTCATGTCTCTACAAACATATGAAGTCGAAACTCGAAAGAAATTCATTTTTACCCGTTTTTATCCAGTCGTTTTGCAGTACTTGTTTCAATTTGTGTCAATTTTTGCATAAATGTAACAATTGTGTCTTTTTAGCAACAAATGTAACTTATTAGTAAAATTATTGACTAAATGAAATTGTATTCCTTGTTTCATTGATAGTTTTGGCCAAGTTCAGACTACTATGGCTATTTTCACCCTCGCTGGACTTTCTGGCTTAGTTGGAGTCTTCTTTTCTCATGACTTTACTCTGTTCGTCTTGAGTACAGGTTCTATGGGCTTTGCATTTCCTAATTTTTTTACTTTGGTTTTAGGTAAACTAAACTTTTAGGTAAATTAATATTTGCATCATTAACAATTTAACTTTTATAATTGTTTATCATTGTAACCTCTGCCATTGAATTTGTTGGTCTTCGCAATCGTCTTCTTGTATCAACTGCTTTTGTCACATTGAATAACAAGTGCTCTTTGGTCAGCCTTTGCCTATTACATTGCGAATTGGAAGCTCATCGGTACAGTTTTCGGTACAATCATTTCAATGTAAGTGATTTCTCGTTGAATCGAAACAATAATATTGATCTTTTTAACTGTTCAGATTTACTCCAGAGTCAGTTCGATGGTTATATTCAAAGAGAAAGGTTAAAAAGGGAAGTAAAGTCCTTACATCAGTTGGATTAATGGTAAACAAGTTCCAGAAGATGTTCTTGATTCCATAATAATAAGGAAACCGGCTCCATTCCATTTAAAAGAGTTTCTAAACTATCCAAGACTTTGTCGAAACTTCATGTTCGCTGGAATCCTGAGTATTCTCAATGGCATCTCATTCATTGGAACCAATTTATATGCAGCAGTGTTACTTAAAAATCCTTTTCTAGTTCTATCCTTGAATGCATTTATCGACGCAATCGCTTGTCTGGTTTTCAAGAATCTTGCTCATCGTTACGGACGGAAGCGAATCATGCTGATAAGTCGAGCCGTTTCAACTAGACTTTGTTTGAATAACTTTGGAGCGTTTATTGCTCCTTTCGTGATAAGTTTACATTCATATGGATCATATATTCCGCCGACAGTTATTAAACTTACTTCAGCGGTTTCGGGTCTTTTAGTCTTATTTTTACCAGAGACACTTGGAGTTCCTCTTCCTGAAACTTGTCCACTCAATCTATTGGGCTGGAGCGACACTTGGGTGCTTTGTTTTTGGGACCTTTTCTGTCATAGACAAGCACTTGCTGCTGTACTAAAAAGCCACAAAAAGTTGTTGCAAAGAGCACTTGTTATTCAATGTGACAAAAGCAGTTGATACAAGAAGACGATTGCGAAGACCAACAAATTCAATGGCAGAGGTTACAATGATAAACAATTATAAAAGTTAAATTGTTAATGATGCAAATATTAATTTACCTAAAAGTTTAGTTTACCTAAAACCAAAGTAAAAAAATTAGGAAATGCAAAGCCCATAGAACCTGTACTCAAGACGAACAGAGTAAAGTCATGAGAAAAGAAGACTCCAACTAAGCCAGAAAGTCCAGCGAGGGTGAAAATAGCCATAGTAGTCTGAACTTGGCCAAAACTATCAATGAAACAAGGAATACAATTTCATTTAGTCAATAATTTTACTAATAAGTTACATTTGTTGCTAAAAAGACACAATTGTTACATTTATGCAAAAATTGACACAAATTGAAACAAGTACTGCAAAACGACTGGATAAAAACGGGTAAAAATGAATTTCTTTCGAGTTTCGACTTCATATGTTTGTAGAGACATGAAAACTGAGCCTTTTCGTACAATTTAAATCTTTCTCAGATCAATTTTTTTCGAGAAAATCGCATTAAAAGTTAAAACTTCGATAGCTTGTTGTACCATTACAGAAGCAGATTTTTTCGTGAAACTTATTTTGGTGAGTTTAAACCTGATGATCAACTAGAAAATGAACTTATTTTAAGAAATAGAATTTTCCGTTTCTGTACAACTTCGATTTTTCGATTTCGATTTAAACTGACTTTTTTCAATAACGGATATAGTTAGAGAGCTGAAACTTATAAACTTAACATAAAAATTGATGGATCAGATCATGGATTGAATATTTTTTTCAATTAATCCACAGTTCTCCTAATTTTGGCCATTGGCCTTAAAACTTTGTACCTAAATATTTCGAGACTGATAGCACCTACAAGCATCATTCTTCGACACAACCTTAGATTTTATTATGGGCTATAATATAATATGAAATGATACATCCATTAATGATTAGCTTCTAATAAACTTGATTCGCGTTTGAGTACCCAAATAACTTTATCAACCAAAACTAAAATCTGGTAACATAACAATACAATGCTGTGACTTTTTTTGTAGAACCTCAAATAATTTAATATTCCATTATATTATAGACTACAATAAAATCTAATGTTTGAGCAAAGAGTAATGGTTGTAGGTGCTATCATTCTCGAAATATTTCGATTCAAAGTTTTAAGGCCAATGGCCAAAAATCAGGAGAACAGTTGATATGTTGGAAAAATCATACATTCCATAATGTGACCCATCAATTTTTATGGACAGTTTATAAGTTTAAGCTCTCTAACTCTTTCGGTCGCTGAAAAAGGTCAGTTTAAATGTCAATCAAAGATTCGAAGTTTTACAGAAACGGAAAATCCTATTCTTCAAAATAAGTTTATTTTACGGTTGATCATTGAAATTAACATCAGCAAAATGAGTTGCATTGAAAAATCTGCTTCCACAATGGTATAAAAGCCAATCGAAGTTTCAAGTTAGAAAGCGATTTTCTCGAGAACTATTGATCTGAGAAATCTTCAAATCACACAAAAGCACTCTGTATTAATTCCCTCACAAACTATTAGAGTCTAAATTTGACAGAAATTGATTTTCGCCCGTTTTTGCCAATTTTAGTTGCAGCACTTGTGTCATTTTGCTCAATCTGTTGAAAAATGTGACAATTGTGCCTTTTTAGCAACAAATGTAATTATTAGTTAAATTGATATACCAATAAAAAGATGAATTCATTCAAGAATTTTCGGAAACTAAAAATTGTGTTTCATTTAAAATTTTATTCAGAATTTATTAAAACAGTTGAAAAATGAATCTACAAATATTAATACATTGTATTACATTCGAGAAAATAACATTTAAATTGGAGCCTAATATTTGTTTATTGCACTCTCAACAGATGGAGCTTTGCAAATCAGAAGAAGTCTGCCGCCGGACTGGTTGTGAAAAATCGGCTTAATTTTTGTTCTTTTATTTGTTTTCTGCGGTTTAATTTTAGTTATTTAATTAATTATGTCTACTTCCACTGATTATTACAGTGTACTACAATCTATTTTAAATGATGATAAACTTGTTAGTTCCATAAAGACAAGTAAAATCTTGATTGTTGGTAGCGGTGGTATTGGTGTGGAGATCATAAAAAATGTTGTTCTTCTTGGCTTTACCGACTTGACCCTGATTGATTTGGATACTATAGAAATTTCAAACCTCAATCGACAGTTTCTATTCAACAAAAATCACGTTGGTAAATCGAAATCTCTGGTTGCTGCCAATGTGTCGCAAGCCAATTTTGCCTTTCATTCAAATTTAAAAATCACTGCTCTTCACAACTCAATTATGAGCTCAGAGTATGATGTTGATTTTTTCAAAACCTTTAAAGTTGTTATTAATGCTCTGGACAACCGAGCAGCTCGAAGTCATGTGAATAGGATGTGTCTGGCTGCTAATGTTCCACTAGTTGAATCAGGATCAGAAGGTTACATGGGCCAAGTGACTCTTATCAAACGTGATGTCAGTGCTTGTTATGAGTGTGATGGCCCTAGACAAGAACAAAAAACTTTTGCTTCTTGTACTATCAGAAATACTCCATCACTTCCTATTCACTGTATCGTTTGGGGTAAACATTTGTTTGCTCAGTTATTTGGTGAAGAAGATGCTGACAATGACGTAAGTCCTGATATGAATGATCCTGAACTGGGTATGACCAACAAATCAGGTATGGTTTTCTACTTCAACTAAACATGAAACTTGGCATCTCTGTGGCAAGTATTTTTTATTATAATCTCATAATCTTTTTTCTTATCTTTTTATCTCTAGATGACTCTTCGGACAAGAAACCCTCGACACGTGAATGGGCCAACTCCAATAATTACGACTCTAAATTATTATTTGACAAACTATTTAAAATAGATATAGAATACCTACTTAAAATGAGTAAGCTTTGGGAAAATCGAAGAAGACCCACTCCATTGACAGTAGATATGTTAAGTAAAGATGACAGTAATCCCAAACCTTCTAGTAGTGTAAATGCTGTTAATGGTGATGTCTCCGCCAACGGCCAAAGTTTGAAAGATCAGCGTATATGGTCATTGTCCGAATGTTATGAAAAGTTTTGTGAAAGTATCAATATTTTAAAGAAGAGGCTCGGAGACGAGGGATACTTGGTTTGGGATAAAGATGATGATGAAGCGTTGGATTTTGTCACTAGTGTTGCTAACCTCAGATCTCATTGTTTTGGTATAGAAAAGAAATCAAGATTCGACGTTAAATCTATGGCTGGTAACATTATACCAGCAATATCATCAACCAATTCTATTGTCGGTGGACTTATAACTCTTCAACTCATCCATCTTCTACGAAAGTTAAACGAAGTGAAAGATGCTACAGACCAAAAAGAAATTGATCAAAAATGTAAAGAAGCCTGTAAATGTATTTATCTTCGGAAAGTTGGTCTCAATGCTCGTAATCTCATCTCATCCTATGATCTATTTGAACCAAACCCGAACTGTTTGGTTTGTAATACTGGTCGTATACCTGAAATCGAATTGACCTGTAATCTAAGTGAGACAACAATGAATGATTTTGTGGAACAGATCATTATGAAGATCTTCAATTTTGTATGTCCAGATATACAGATTGAAGGACAACCTATCATTATTTGGAGTTCAGAAGATGCAGATGAATCTGAAAAGGCCGAATCTAAAAAGAAATATCTCAACAAATATCCTCAAGTACATCATAAACAACGACTTCGGGTCTATGATTTATTACAAAATCATTCTTTAATAATAAACCTATTAGATGGAAAAGTGGATAAATCCGAAAATGAAGAACGTTTTTATATTATGAAAATAATTAACGAAGGATCAACTAAAAACGGCACGGAAGAAAAAGATGAAGAAAATGATAAAGATAACAACTGTATGGAAGTAGAGAATGGCAATTCTGGCGTTGAAATAATTTGTGACAACGGTGACGATTCCGATGTTTTTATTGTTGATTCAAATTCAAAAGAGAAACGTAAATTGGACTTTGATGCAGAAGAGATACTGGAAGTACCCGGGGTTTCAAAAAAATTGAAGATTTAAACTGAAACGATATTCAACTCCATCTCTTTGGCTTTGGTGTGATTCTTGCAACCTTACAGTTTTTCGTTATCAAAAAATTGTATCTTTTTCATCGCATTTGAAAAAAATTTTTCTTTATAACAGAGCAAAAATTACAATTTTGTATAATTAATTCAGTAACGAACAATGTTACTAAGTATTTCCATTTTTCTCACTTTACTCCTCTCACTATAAATGATCATTTTTCAACACAAGCATAAGAAATATTGCTAATTCCATAAATTGATAATCAATCTTTATTTGTCTCTGTTAAAATACCCACTGTCACATTAGAAACTAATAAAATAAATTGTTAATCTTTTTTGACAACATAATTTAAGTCCAAATAACTAATAAGTGTTTTTACTTGGAACTGCTCTCACATGAATGATACTGGAATGGTTAGTCATCATAAACCTTTCCATTATAAAGTGGACGATAGATCACTAGGACTCTGCAATGACATCATTTACCGTCCCTACAGGCTTATGAATATTATGAACTGGAGTCCTTGGAATGTTAGCTACCAGTTTACTACTCATACCAATCCAAACCATGAACATAACACATACAAATCCTGCTTTGATTAGCTCATCACCAATATCTTTAAAATCGGAAACTCCAGAATTCATTTGCTTATTCAAAGAAGTGATGATAACGGCAAAATATGCTAAAGTAAAGATGAGAATAAAAATTCGAACAATACAAATGTTCCTAAGCAATGAACGATTTTCTAGGCAAATGGCAAGTGTATTTAAAATTGAAATTAATGTCAATAAACCAGCGAAAAATTTATCAACCAAAGTTGTACTTGTCGCTGCGATAAAAAACACAACCAAAAGAAGTAAAAAAATTTCAATGATAATTAATTTCTGTTTCAAAGTCGGCAAATTAGACATGATTATGTTATTATTCTGAATACTTTTATGCTGTATCGGATGTAGACAATTCAGATGAAATAAGGATTCGCTTTCGCAATTGTTGCTCTTTGGATAATTTAAAATCTAGTTTATGTTTAAAAAAATGTAATTTAGTTAATTTCAAGCAATCGCAGAGTAAGGCAAAAAATCACGTCTTTCTTTCATCGGTTGGATCAGTAAATTTTCATAATTTGTTAGCTGTGTGCAACAAGTTACAATCAAGATTCAAGTTGAATACAAAGTGTTCAAAAATTCGGTATTCGTGATTCTCATTTGCTTGAGCTTCTGTTTAACTTGTCGAATCTATTGATGTTTCCATGCATTGAGAAAGTAAATTTATATAAAGTCCCTCACTTTAAACTCGGTCTTTTTTTTGCTTTCTGCCTTGTGTTTAAACCTATTAATTTAAATTTTTTGAATTACTTAATTGACTGGTGACTTTTAATTTAAATATGGCAGAATATTTAGCGTCAATTTTCGGAACCGAAAAGGACAAGTAAGTATCATTGTTCAATCAGTCCAATCAATCCATGTTTGTGTTTTATCTTATAGCCTTTAGCGGCAAATGTTTTTATCCCTCTCCTTTCACATCAAATACTAATTGTTTATTTATTTTTATTGTTATTCTTTAGAGTAAATTGTAGTTTCTTCTTCAAAATCGGAGCATGTAGACATGGGAATCGTTGCTCTAGAATTCACAATAAACCCACCTTCAGTCAAACCATATTGCTACAAAATTTGTACCAAAATCCTAGAAATGCTGCTCACTCTTTGGAAGGAAACTCCACAGGCAAGCCTACAATGACTGAAGAAGAAGATCAGAAACATTTTGATGACTTTTTCGAAGATGTTTTTGTTGAATTGGAAGATAAATATGGCGAAATCGAAGAAATGAACATCTGTGACAACCTAGGAGATCATCTAGTTGGTAATGTATATGTTAAGGTAAGCATAAAATAAAAACACCCTTCTGGTTTGTATTTTATTGCTTGACACTAATTTTTCATGCGTATTTATTTATATCTTCATAGTTCCGTCGAGAAGAAGATGCTGACAAAGCTGTCCGTGATTTAAATAATCGTTGGTTTGCTGGGCGACCAATTTATGCAGAATTATCTCCAGTGACTGATTTTAGAGAAGCCTGTTGTCGCCAATATGAAATGGGGTAAGTTTCACATTGTTCCGATATAATATTTCGATATTTTATTTTCATAACTGACAACCTTATTTTTTTCACAGTGAATGCACTCGTAGTGGTTTTTGTAATTTTATGCATTTAAAACCGATATCTCGAGACCTTAGGCGCCAACTTTTTGGACGTAGACGAGGAACTGCTAGAAGTTATAGGTAAGTTCATTCAGTTTTTAAATATTGATCTATTGAACACTTAACTCATATTGTTTATTTTTTTCTTTAGATCACGATCCAGATCACGTAGTCGTGAGCGTGAGCGTGGAAGAGATCGTGATCGGCGATCTAGAAGCCGTGATCACGGATCTAGGAGTCGCGATCGTAGATCAAGGAGTCGAGAAAAGAGGTCAAGTAGCCGCACTCGAAGATCTCGTAGTAGAGAACGAAGATCTAGAAGTCGTGATCGTCGTGAGCGAAAACATCGTTAATCACAAACTGTCCAGAAATATTTCACCAAAAATAGGCACCAAAGCTAAACACATTGAATTCTCATCCCTAGCATCTATCATATTTTAATAAAAAAAATCAATCTTTGCGTGATATTAACAGTTTCATAATTAATATCTATACATTGTAATAATATCTATGCTCTGATGATTTTATTTATTGTTTGGTTTATGAGTGATTCAGCGACAATTTCCAGAAAATCTTTCATGGATTCCAATTTTCAAAACATTGGCCAAAAATTTGCTCTTTAGTTAATTAAATTTCCTCCACTGTCAATCTAATCAAATTATTTAGAAAAACAGTTAATTACTTTTCTAAGAAATTTATTTGAGTAAAGATTTTTCAAACAAACCAATTAGATCAAAACTTTTTAATTATTTCAGCGTGAATTCCGAGCTCTAGAAGACATCCAGATCATAGAACTATTCAGACACTATTACTTTTAATCATTATTTATTTTAAATGAACAATTTTATAATTATAAAAGCAAATCCAACTTATCATAGAAAGGCTCAATTAGCAATTGCGAAAATCATCTAATTAAGATTAGACTTTGGACATTTTTAAATTATTTCCTAGATGGAACTATTGCTACTCAAAGGCGGTAATTTTAACTTATTCAATATTTTATCAATAAAACGATTGAATAAGTTGATAATTAATTAATCTTAGCTTTTTGTTTAATTTTTACCTTGTCATTAATAGTATTTCAATGGTGATAATTTTTAAAGATGCTTGAATCATGTTTGAGGCTTGATTCAAATTTGTGAGACAGAAATCAGAGTATTGCCAAGTTACTTATTGTATTTGTTTCAAATAAGTTGTTGAAATATGTCCAGCTTCTTTTGTAAACAGTGTCTTAAAACAGTGATTAAGATCAATTTTATTTAGATTAACGGGCGGAATAAAATTAATTATAAAAATATTTGTGAAGTAATTATTGCTGTGACTTCTGATTAGTCTTAAGATTCCATCTTCTAGTGATTATCAATTGTTTTTACTCTTCAAAATCTTCACCTTGTTTATATGTTTGAGTTGCTTTCCATGTTATTATTTTAGATGATTAATTCATTTTTATCTGTTAGATCAAATTTATTCAGCTATGTACCAAATGTTACATTAGCTTGTAAACGTTATATACAGACTATCAAAGTTGGTATAATTGGTTCAGGACCAGCTGGCTTTTACACTGCTCAAGCTTTGTTAAAGGTAAGGATTTTGGTATAAAATATTTACTCTATGTTTACTAAATAATCACATGTAATTTTATCTTTTTTAAAGGACAGCAGAGTGTTAATAGACATCTATGAAAAATATCCAGTTCCATTCGGGTTAATCAGATTTGGAGTAGCACCGGATCATCAATCAGTCAAGGTTCGAGTTTCATCTGTTAGCTTATCTGTCTTCTAGTGTTTCTTCCTGGTTCAAAATCAGTGCATAGATTCTTGAATTGGTTGACTTCAATGGTTCAGTTCACTAATAAATAATCATTCATCTTCCATAGAATGTTATTAATTCGTTCACCAATACAGCTCTTCAAGATAGAGTTTCATTCTATGGTAACATTAATATTGGCCAAGATGTGACTTTAAATCAGTTGCTCAAATCCTACAATGCAGTTGTCCTTTGCTATGGTGCAACTGAAGACCGTAAACTAAATATCGAAGGGGAAGATTTAATTAATGTGCTACCAGCAAGAAGGTTTGTTGGGTGGTATAACGGTATTCCCCAGGATTCCGACTTAAACCCATTTCTACAAACTGAAGATGTTGTAATTATTGGACATGGAAATGTCGCCTTGGATTGTGCAAGAATTTTACTTTCTCCAGTAGACGAGACTTTAAAGGTAGGATTTTTCGGTCGTTTATTGTCTTGCATTTTTCTAATTTAACTTTTCTACTTAAAGAGTACAGATATTACAAATCATGCCTTAACTGCCCTTAGAGAAAGCAAAGTAAAGAGAGTATACTTGGTTGGACGAAGAGGGCCACTTCAAGTATCATTCACCATAAAAGAATTGAGGGAACTAACAAAATTACCTGGTTGCGATACAATCGTGTTTCCAGAGGATTTCAAGAACATCACAGCTGAAACTATAGTAATTCATTTTATTTACATTTCTGATTATTTGACTCTAATCATTTTTTAAATTTTTTTCTCACTAGAATGAACTTCCTCGACCCAGGAAAAGATTAACTGAATTATTGTTATCTTTAGCAAACGAGAAAAATTTAAACAACAATCATAAAAGATGTGTTCTGATGTTTTGTCGATCTCCCTTACAAATAGTCGGTGATAAACATGGTAAAGTTTCATCAGTCAATTTAGGAGTAAATAGGCTAATTCAGCAAGAGGACGGAGTAAAGACTGAACTAACCGATGAAAAAGAGATTTTAAAATGTGGCCTATTTTTACGAAGCATCGGATATCGAGCTGTTTCCATTGATCCAAGTATACCATTGAATGACAAAACTGGAGTTATTAGTAACACTAATGGAAAGGTGCACGGATTCGATTTCGGGTTATACTGTAGTGGCTGGGCTGCTACTGGAGCAACTGGAGTAATCATTGGCACAATGAATGCAAGCTTTGAAATAGCTGAACATATTTTGAAGGATTTTGGCCAAAATGAACCTTTGTTAGTGGAAAAACCTGGAGCAACTGAGATAATTCCTCATCTAAAGTCAAAAGGAGTCAAAGTTGTTACCTTTAATGATTGGCAACGCATAGATGAACTAGAGAAAAATTTAGGATCCCAGTTAGGGAAGCCAAGAGAAAAATTGGTTAATCAAAAAGATATGATCAAAGCAGTTGACGAAGAAAAAGATTGATGAACGAAGAATTTATCATGTAAAATTCTTTTATTGTTACTCGTTTCTAATTGTTCCTTATTAAACTAACTCATTGAGCACCTATTTTCCTGTTATTTCACTCAATTTGGATCAGATTCGAGACTTGGTTTGACGAGATTTGAGACAAGAAAAGTTTAACAGAATATATTAATAGCTCCAACCTTAGTTAATTCAACCCGAAGATTGAAACATTGAAAAATCTACTAATAATACTGATAATACAATTGATAGAAATTTAAATTTATTTCGATAATACAATGACTAATCATGGTTTATCAAAGTAAATTGAGTCAAGACTTTTGTACTTTTCTTATTACTTCAAACTTCTTGGTTCGTAATTTATTTTCACATTTACAAAGAAGTCGAGGATTGATTGCTCTGATTGAAGGGATTTTTAACAATAACTTTCCCTGGATGGTTTGATTGAATTGTAATAAATTACTATTATATAATGATAATCTCGTGCTCTCAATAAAGCATTAAAAAGTAACAATTTTCTTTTCCAGGCCAGAAAAGTCAATGAATCAATGTATTTTCATGCCAAGCCAGTAAAAAATTATCAGGTGATAGTAAAAACTTCATAATCTTTAACGCAGAAATAATAATGTCCCATGAGTATGTAATTATTCGCATGTTCCCCATCATACGAATGAGGTAAATTAGAGTAGCTTTCCATGTTTGCATCACAATTGTCTGATAAAGCCAAATCAGCACCACCACCAAATATTGGTCCATATCTTTGATGATGAACGATTGCAAAGCGCTTTTTAATAACATCAAATTTAATTGGATCGGTTGATTCACGATTAATCAAACTAAAGAGGAATGATTTCTCTGAAGTAATATAACGTCCTTTTGGGTCAGCAGGTATGCTCCATGGTATATCTGTAAAGCCACCACACAGGTCACCATTATGTCCCAAAACGATGGTAAAGGTAGGAGCAAAATTATCACAGTGGCGATGAAAGGAATCAGCTGAGAAGCTATGTGTTTGAGCACGAAAAATACATCGCCAAGATTGCTTAGGTACACCATACCATTGATTGAGTATTTTTTGAAATTTAGCATTAGCTCCCGATAATAAATGAGATCCATGAAATAATCGATGTGAAGCTCTTGAATGTGTTATCACTTTGTCAGGAAAGGTTTCTTTAGGTGTCATATCCAGTTTACCTTCAATTGCTTCAAGTCTTTTTAAAATCTCAGCTTCATAGTTGGCATTTCCTTGGGCATTAGTATTACAATTAGATAAACCATTTCCATTGATTATTGAAGCCAACATGTCAAGTTTTGTATTGATTTTCTCACCAACTTTCTCTTTACCAGCAGCTGTCAGATTTGATAGGATCATGTCTTTAAGCTCATTGATGATGGTAAGTCCAGTTTTTACACTTTCAGCATCCATTATGGCCTAAAAAATATTCACACGTTTATTCCTTAATGAGTACCATTAGAAGTAAAATTGATAACAAATAAAACAAAATAAAATAAATAAACAGACCAATCAAAACAAATTCAGGTGAGACAAATATTTAGAAAAAAAAGTTTAACACCGAAGATGGCGATACAACTTGTGACTTTAAATCATTCATGACTTTTTTAAACTTACTTTACTGACGTTAGATGGCAAAAACGATGGCGAACCAGAAAAATTTAAACAACAATAATAAAAGATGTGTTCTTATGTTTTGTCGATCTCCCTTACAAATTGTTGGTGATAAACATGGTAAAGTTTCATAAGTCACTTTAGGGGTAAAGAAGCTAATTCAGAAAGAAGATGAAGTAAAGACTAAAAAGCTTTGAAATAGTTGAACTATTAGGTAATAAATTAACTCATTGAGCTCCTATTTTCCTCTCGTTTCACTCAATTTGGATCAGATTCGAGACTTGGTTGCAATTTAAAGAGTTTGAGCAGAATATAGCTTCAATAATTAATTCAACTCGAAGTCGTTTAAAGTTGTCAAAAATCAGCATAAACATTTACAGTTCCAATAAAATTTAGTATTCGAAACTGACCGCCAAGGGTTAATACTGAATTAGGTAGCTAAAGTCAATAAAGAAGGAGGCTACCCTGGACTACATGATTTTACTAAAATGTAGTTCCATGGGACTTTTAGATCCAACTTTTTCCAATATGAAGAATCTGATTCAACCTGGATCTTGCATGTTCGATTGAAGAGATAAGTTGATCCAATATTTTATGATTTATTGATGACAGAAATTTTTGGACTATCAAGGGGTAGAGACTGATGCTGTTTTTCTCTATGCCTGAACAATTGACAGAGAAGCACTTAATTTGCCATGGAAAAAAGAATTTTTCTTGGAAAAAGAATTGATAAACTTGGAATGAGAATCGCCAACTGAATTACTTGGTCAAGATTTGAAGGTTCCTGAAATAAGCACTGTTGATGATTTAATAAATGAAAATTATGAATCAATGCCAGGCATCAATGTATCGGACTGAAAGACATTCTGTCCAATATGTCTAATAAACTGGCCAGTCCATGTTGAGCATGGTCCAAACGAAGTCACTTAAAGTGCTCCGAGTAAACCTCAATAGGCTTGATAACAACACACAGTCTTTAGAGCTCAAATCGTTCTTCTTACCTAACACTCGTGAATAGTTTGTGATTCAACTAACATCACAATGCTCTACTTGAGCAACTATAAAAATATTGGAAATTTCATTTTTCATTGGAATTCTCATCACTTTAGAAGCAAGTCTTATTACACTTACTTTTAGCTTAAATTTAGCTTTTCTATTTTGTAATAGAGGTCGCTCTTAGATCAGTTTAGCAGCTGTTTTTAGTAATCTCAACAGCTTGTTACCCGGGAGAAGAATGTTGCCAAAACAATGAAAATTGAAGTGAATTGATCAATTAATTTTCATTTTTTGATTTATTGTTCCATTTTGTTTTCTAATTAAACTTAAGTGACACCCTCGTGCTTATTTTTTTGTACAAAGAAGTTCTGATTGTGACTAACAGTTGTCTCAACTCTGTTTAAAAAGCAATCTTGATATCTGTTTTTGGTTTTCTTTGTGTTCTTTGGATGTGACCAACTTACAATCCTATCTTATTACTTGGTAATTAATTGTTAACATAATTTTCCTTGTTCCCGATTTGCATCATCTTTTAAACTAGAAATGGAAAGTCATGGGATGTATGATGCACATAACAAAATGGACGACATACGAGACAATAAATTGGCAAGTTTTGCAAGTCCTGGTAGTGCTTTTTCCTCTTCATTCAGTCTATCTTCTAACAGTCATCAATTGTGTTGTCTAACTGAAGATGGTTCCCGGTGTAATCGAGTTGCTGGTAATGCTTCCTACTCTAAGCGTATCCAAAAGACTGTACAACAGAAAAAATTACGACTAAGCATTGACAATACAGCTCGTCACGTTTACATTTGTGACCACCATAAAAATATGATACAAAGTGTGCGGAGTTGTGTGAAAAGAAAAAGAAAAGACTCTTGTGAAGATGAAAATGGAACCAACTCCAACGACTGTTACTCTTTCGCTGATCGAAATAATCCACTGAGTTCAGCAATTTCAGGTCCTTCCAATGGATCTACACCCATTAGAGGAATGAATACAAACAATCTTGGTAACTCGGGAAGTGGAAAAAATGATTTACCAAGCTCAGCCAACTCTGAAGAATTACCTCAAGTTGACCTTTCTACTTTACAAATAAACACTTTACGTAGATATAAACGACATTATAGGATTCAAACTAGCCCTGGAATAAACAAATCACAATTGGCAGAAGTGCTTCTCGACCATTTCAAAACTATACCCATTGATGAAAAGGAAGCTCTTACTTATTTTATCTACATGGTTAAATGTAATCGCAATAAAGTAGATCAATTGAAAGGTTTAACTACTTCAAATTCCAGTTTACCCTATCCTAGTAGTATGTCTGACCACAACAATACTTGAGAACCATTGAGACCATAGCTATCATCCAGATGACTTCAGGTTTTCACTGTTTTTTGCTTCCCTTACCCTTTTCTACCATTCATCACTCTTATCTTGTATTTATTTCATATTTTTTCTTATCCAACATTATCTTGGCCAATCATTAGTTATGCTTAAAATAAAGTTGCATAAAGAAGTAGCTCAAGAGTAGCTCAGTTCAAAAAATTTTACTTTCGAATCCATTGTAGTTATTTCTGCTCTTTTGTGACCAAAAAGTTAATTAATGCCGATAAGAGGACTTCAAACACTAACTATACCCTGTAACAGATAGTTTTACAAAACCATCAAAATTTCAGGCTGACTCAACGAATCGATTTGCTGACCGAAACAAAATAACTAACGATTTGCCGACCGGATTCAATAGGTAAGTTATTTTCCCTTCATTCAACTCATATCCAAAATCACTTATTCTTGTTCAAATAAACTAATTGTTTTCTTTAATTTCTATTGAATTGTAGATCGTGTTTTAAAAGTAATTTCGAAATGGCTTTTTACCATAACTTATGGACAAATCAGATTCTTGGAAAGAAAGACCATTGGAAGTTCATTAGCCAATCGTGATGCAAATCTATTAACGGAAAAGATGACACAGTTTCTCTAACTACTGTTGTCCACAATCAACTATCTTTACATTCGTTCCCATCATGATTAATATTAAGAGCGTATTATCAAACTTTTTGTTAATTAAAACTAACCCAAAACTCTTTTTATCCGAAGAAAAATTAAACAAAGATTTACTATTTCTGCATCAATAATCAAGCTTACCTCATTTTTTTCACTCAAAAATCAAGACAACTTCATTCAATCGTATGACGCCGTTAATCAAATTTAAAGTTATAACCCTTATTAGACTTGTTATGTCCAGTTACGGAATAAAGTTAGCAATGAGAAAAAAATGTTAAACTAAAAGTACGAACAGAAATGAAAGACAAATTTTCCCGACCTTGAGAACCCAACTCATCGCCAACATGAATTACAGTGAAAACAGGTCAGTTACAGGTATATATTAAATGATAATAGGAGTAACAATTGTTGATGAATTTACACTTGATTTGGAGGAGTACTTTTCATCATCAACATCTTTATCTTCACATTTTCCTTTTCTCATGAATCCATCATCATCTAATCATCAGGAGACCGTCATTTAAATACATTTTAACAATAATGTTTCAACAAAATATTGTGTTACATCAACAAGTTTGAAAACAAAAATGATCCAAGCAACCTTTAAAGCGCTCATTCACCAACATTGATCAGTCAATTTTTAAGGTCACATCAGATGATAATGAGTATGATATTTTTAACGGAATACAAAGAAGGAAAGTGGCCGATAAGGTCAGAATACGATCAGAAAAAAAACAAGAATGGTAAATTATACACTTTGAATAGCTGATATCCAACAACAATTGCAACTCCAGCAATAACAATCAGCTCAGCGAGTTTCCCATCATAACCCTTTTAAACTGTTCGGCCTGCTTAAACTTCCTCTACCATCGTCTCAACCATCATTATCGAAGGCTCAACTTGATAAAAATCATAATCAATATTATCAATTTTATAAATTTCATGACTTTTCCCTGTTACAACCAAAAGGCATGATTTTACAATCAGCCTCACCAACACTTTATAATAGTCATACAATTTGCAGTCCTGTTGTTTCCGTTGACCATTCAAAATAGAAACATAATCATTTATTCAACAATTGTTTAAACGTGTTAACATATCATCCATGATTGAATTACTCCAACAGATCATCATTTCTCATCCTCCTACATCAATTCACCAAATCTTAATCATAACTATAAATCTTATTGTACATCACTTTGTTAATCTTATATATTTGTAGGAATTCATCTTTACTATTAGTTGATATTTCCGTTTAACAAAGCTTGATTGTTAAAGGTGATACTAAATATGAAATACTCTTTGATTGTTCATTCAATTTTCTGATGTTTTGATGTTAATCTTGTTCCACTACATTTTACCAGAAAAAAATAGGAAACTCAATAATCCAGTCTGAGCCTTCAATTGATCAAATCTTTTTCTATGATACATTTCTGATTGTTGTTGGATCAACAATTTCATGTTTCTAAATATTTCAAGATGTAATTCAATGATCATTAATCATGAAAAGATTCAGTAGTTTTCAACGTTACCTTCTTGGTCTAATCTTGATTATATTACAAGCCTAACTTATTATCTGGTCAATTATAATTTTGGCCATTGAAATAATCTAATAATTAATATGTTTGTTAGACTTGGAAAGCTTGAGGCCAAACTAAAACAAGCAAATTAACCATCAAAATAGTTAATCAGGGTCATATTTATCATCATTTTCAATTTTATATCTGCAATAATCTAATTCCTACTCAAAAGCAAATTAACTAACCATTCATGGATAAATGCTTTTCGCATTAATACACTTCCACTCGGTATCATTTAATTTAATTTCACCCTTGATTCCAGGATAGTATTATTATCGTTATTTGGCAGGCTTCCTTTCAGTTGATTACTTTATTTTGTGTATTGATTTATATTATCAAACAAAATTACCTGACCTTGTTTATCGATTATATTATTAATACAAGAAGGGTTAGTAAACATTGTACCAACACTCAATTGATACCCACAAATTATTCAAGTTATCATTGACCATTGATTTTTTTCACCGAAACTTGTTGATTAATTCCTCTAATGTTATTGTAATTTAATAGTTGAACAAAACCAGATTTTACATTCACAAGACGGTAAAAAAGAGTCAATTTCATTGTGTTCTTACAATCAAGTTAACCATCTTGGTAATAAGTTTACAATTTTCAGATTTTTTCCTGTAAATATTAGTTTCTAAATTATCTTCAATCAAAAGTAATTGCTTCCAAATGTTCAGCTTGAGCCACAAAAAGAAAACAAAATCACAAAATAGTTTCACACGTATTTCCAGCCAAAGAGATCTTGCAATCTTAACAATTCAAATTTTTCTCATGACTTTTACTTGTTAATGATACATAAATTGTATAATCAACTAATCATCCTTCCCACAATTCGATATTCAAAGATTCTCTTTCAAATGATGAAAAGACTTCTGTTTAGAAGAAGCCAAGGCCTAAGGTTATCTCATACCAATGATACTGATGGTGGTGATGGCCTTAACCAGGTTGTGCGCAAAGGTGACATTAAGATGTTTCCATTTTGACGATGACAGCTTCAGCTACAAACGAGGAAAACAAGTTTCTGCTACAAATTATTCAACTAAGACATAAATGAGCTGAAAACGTTTATCTGTGGGAATAACGCAAAGTCCAGGTTCCCTTGGTAATTCATTTTAAAACTAGATCTTTAGATTAAACGCTGTCTGTTGGACTAACTGCGATTGACCCAGTGAGCCTAATTGAAACCTGGTGAAGAGCAGAAAATTTTGTGATTATTTAACCTTAAAAATTATACATTTTGACTACTTACAATTGTAAATTCATATTGATGTGATGCGAAATGTCATATAAAATGAATGATTACAACTCATCAAATGGACTCGATTTTCTTTGCCAGCTGGTTGCAAGTTTCTTTTGGTAATTATTCTGAAAAAATAGAAAAAATCAATCATTAAATTGAATAATTGACACAAAACAAACAAAGAAGGGTTACACTTACCTATCAAGTCTAATACATACTCATATTGTATTAATTAATGGATAATTGGTAAAATTTGTAGCAGAATTGATCAATGAAAAGAGTAAACAGTGATATTGATTTCCAAATAGCCCTATTAGGATAATTTGGCTGGAAGATTGATGTTGGTGATGATGATTGAACACAAAAATAAACTACTTTTATCCACAAAAACCAAACAAATCTTGATGTTCAATCAAACTGTCCTCTGTAAATCGATTGAGAAATAAAACAATAAATATTAAAATCAATTGATGCGAAACAATCTATTTCTTTGTTACTTGCCTTTATTTGATTCACTGTCCTGTCAAATGATAATCCCTAACCAACCTTAGTTGTCAGGTCATTCAACGAGAAAATATCAAAATTAAAGTGATTTCTGTTGCCTTTAACATCACCATTACCAAATTATCTATCAAATTTCTGGTTCCTCCTGGTTGGGCTGACAAGGCACTGTAAATACACAAAAAATGTCACTGGTAACTTGTCTTGTAATCACTGTGAAAGCTGGTTTTCTTGGTCTTTACAACTTCAGTAAATTCACCCAATCAACAGGATTGAAGCTTTAATGGTTGACTTTTTTCTCCTCTTCACAATTTACATGGGCAATCATGATTAACCAAGATTGACAAGAAAATGAAATGACAAAAAAAAACATTGAAATGCCGCGTTTTTTTAATCAGATAGTATAACATGTGTTATCGGAACTAAACATTTTTTTACGTTTATGTACATAACACGTTTATCTGTACTTTACTAGTTTAATGTACACTCTGATCGATATTGGACATACAACGACATTTAAATGCGCTGATCAACCAGTTGTAGTTACCAGCTAGTTGTAATTTGAAGCAGCGAAGCTGAAAACACTTATTTAACCAGATTTTTTCATCAAAATCATGTTATTAGAATAGGCCTGAAACCATTTTTTATCGATAAAACTCGTGAAATAACACGATTTTGATGAAAAAATCTGGTTAAATAAGTGTACAACAGGCTATCGTGGTTGCAACTTTAACTCCAATTTTCTCGAAAACTGTCCATCACAAAAATTTTTTGATAGCACTAATGGACTCAGTTTTTGTGTCCCTACAAACCCCCTAAAGTCCCAAATCATAAATCGAAAGATTTACCTTGTTTTGGTAAATTTTGGTAATTTTGGTTGTGTTTTGGTTTTTTAGTGAGACCCCTAATCTCTCACCGATATTCGTATTCGTTTCAGTTGACCGTTATTTTAGCCTGTTGACAAATGACACCTTAAAGCTCAAGTCTTATTAATTATTCCAACGACTATAAAATATTTTATTGTGGTCTTTGATGCTTGTAAAATAGTTGAATGATTGATTTGGGTTCTATTTACTGTTTTGACCATCATTTTTTGAATAATTATCCAAGATATAAAGAATTTACTCCTTCTTATCAGTTTTCTGCTCATTCTTGTGAAACTTGTACTGTTGGACCATTGGAAATACCGGTTTTACCCTTAGGATGATTAATTTGATTAAATACAAGCAGACAAATTAAAAATCCTTTCCACTCAAAAAGAAGGAATAAGGAATAAAAGGTCCGGACTATTTTCATCTTTATCTATACACATTACCAAAATAATCATCAATGGATTCTTAGGTTAGAAAAACAGGAAAACATTTTCCTTCAGGTTAAGGTTGAAGTCCTTCTGAACAGGAATCAGTTTATAGTCAACTTTATCCCAATTCCATCATCTTCATCAACATTCTCATCTTTTCCAATCTCTTTCTGTATCCTCATCTTATTTCAGACTCAACCCTTCAAAGGTCCGGTTCTCTTTGCCACAAATATTTTAACCCAAAGTTTTATATTCACCATCATCAGCAGAGGAAAGGAACGGAAACATCATCTTAAAATCACACTTTTAATAACCACTAATTAAAGATGGCAATCACTGGTAGCGTTTCTCAATCATTTAGATTAAATGGAAACCTCTTGAATAATCAGACAGAAAATCAACTAAGGAAGTGTAAAACATATTTCCAGTTGGTAATCGGACAAGTTTATAAGAGTTACCTGTATAGTGTGGCCATATTATCCCCACTCTGATCACCCTGATCATCATCTTGATCACCACCGTGTTATTTCTGGAGTTATCATCATAACTATGGTTGACCAGCATTGATTGAAGCAAGTGTTCACCAATTTAATGGTGAAAATAGAAACCTAAACCTTTTTTTTCAATTCTACTTCAATGATCTTTCACTTTTTCAGCAGCCAACCATGGTGTAATAATGACAATAATGATATATTTGGCGTTCAAATTTTCTCAAATTTTACTACAAATGATGGCATTTTGCGTCTTGGTTAAAGTGTCATAAAGAAACAGATTCTCACAATAATCTTGAGCCGAACAAGGAATGATTGTCAACAATTGGGATTGATTCATTTTCTAAATTACATGTTATCTGAATCAAAGATGATCGCATGTTAATCATACTACAGTGTAAATATTGTGCAAGTTAACCCTAAAATTAATTGCATATCGCTTTACAAGCCTTTAAGGCAAAAGCCTATCAAATGATACAACAATACAAAGGCCTTTCATCTCGACGGTAAACCAGATTGAAAGGGTAAAAGAAATGCAACAAATCAAACAAAATCAAATGTAACCATTAACTGATAATCCAATGTAACTAGAGATCTTCATTTATTGTATGATAAAATATCTTCTAATTAATGGTAATTGTCAATTTGTAACCTTTGATCACAATTAAACCATTTGTTAGTTATTACAATTACCCGTAAGCGGTTTGTTTTCATTTTTCACCTTCCACTCAATTCAATGTACATTTAACCAGCAAGTGAGTTTCAAATTCTTATATGATTACAAGATTGATAAATAAATAGCGTAAAAAACAACAATTATTGTTATTAAATTATCATAGAGAATCTGTGGTTAATGATCATGAAAATGAATATTTAATGAAATTGCCTCAAAGCCATTTCCAGGTTATTGGCATAACCAAAATGATCAGGTTTAACAAGAAAACCTAATCAACTTTGCTACTTTCATAGTTTCCCTCATTCACATCTCATGTTTATCAGGTAAACTGAAGCCTATTTAAAATACCCAAAAATATTGAAGATAAGCATCATTCAAGGTGTATCGATGTTCATCTATTATCCCAACTACAAGTTAGCCTTCAACTTGAAAAAAAAGCCTAACAATTATCATAAATGTCAAAATTAATTTGTTCAATTGAGAAGGTCATTCAATTTGATTCATACAATTAGATAAATGATCTAATAAGCAATTTAAGAAAGCAACTTTCAATACATTTGTAAACATTGCATTCATTTTGGCCTTTTTTCAATATTGAAAGTCAAACCTTTAAAGGTAACTTTTCATTAAATTATCATTTCATAAAAGTAACTAATCATCATTATTGTAATAATTTTCATTAATAAATTGCCCATTTATCATCACTATTTATTCATTGATCAACAATTGAAAAATGATTGTCTCTTGACTTTTATCATTGAAAGTCAAAAAAGCATCTCCACTTGTTACCAAATTTCACTCAATTATTTATTTTGGTGAAAAAAATCAAATGAAAATTGTTATAAAAATGATATTTTTTGATATCAATAACAATTGAAGGAGTTGAAAAAGTGCACAAAATGCCGGAAATCAATCAACTGTTTCAAGAGTGAAATCAAATAATCAAATTGGTGTAACAAATTATTACTTCAATTGATCTTTTAATCATAATTAATGCCCATTTTTCCCAGCCTTTCCAGTTTCCACTCAAAATTTAACCTATTGATTGGATTGTATCAACATAATTAGACATTGTCGGTTGCATTATTATCGTAAAAGTCATTAATTTGATGAATAAAGTTACAATATTTTTTGCTCAAAAATTACATTCAATACTTGAGTAGACATGAGATTCATTATTCAAAATAAGAGACGGACAAGATGATCGTAAGTTGACTTTTTTATGAGGTTGAATCATACTTCATGTTTCAGATTGAACATTAAGATCAAAGCAAGTTTAGTAATCAAAGCAATCATTAGTCTGATCAACGTTTGTTTAATTTCAAGCAGTTTGTCCCAAGAACCAAGAATGCTGAGCAATTATCAATACATTGTAGACCATTAATCGCAGATCAAAGCTTATTTTATGCTAATAAAGATTGTACTTTACTATTTAAAAGTAACTTCGTAAGTCCATAAAGGTGGGTCTCACTAAAAAACCAAAGACGACCAAAAAACCAAAATAAGACCAAAACAACCAAAACACAACCAAAATAACCAAAATAACCAAAATGCACTTGACATGTAAAATTTCACTTTTAATCAATTTCTATTGTTCCTAATAGATGAAAAATAGCCAAAATAACAAATGAAATGATAGTGTAATTGAAAAAAAATACTATTTGTTTACACTACATATGATATGGTTTATGTTCAACTCAATAGATGGCGCTGATTTTCAAATGTATCTTTTGGTAAAGGAGGAGTCTCGGTCGCATTTCTCGGTCGCTCTTTTGCTTTTTTGACTTTACGATTTCAAATTGATGTTATTTTTATGCTTTTTTATACTTTTAATACTTTTTCAACATGGCTTTTATTTGCGAACTACCTTATGAACCAAATGAGCGAGAAATAGTAGATTTTATAAAAGTTGAAAATGTGAATGAAATTCCTACGTGCTTTAATAGCTACCCAAAAGCTAATAGTGTTTATATTTTTCGTGCGAGAAATGAAAAAGATATCAATGTAGATGGATATCAATGGCACCAATCTAGTAGATATAAAAGCAAAGTTTCTGGAATTACAACTGTCCGTTTTTATGCGATAAAAAAAAGAGAAAAAGGTTCCATAACAACAACTAATGATTTTACAAAAGTGAAGTTTTTAATTCCGGATTCTGAAATCGGTGTGTTGTATTATTCAGGAGATCCATCTGAATTGCCTCAACGACCACATGGTAACTCCAAAAAAGGCAACATTTATCATCGAACATTACCATCAACTCTGAAGTTAATAAAAGAAACAGAGTATTCAGGAAGTGTGCCAAAGGACTATTATTCAGTGCAGCGTAAAATCAAACGTGAAATTTCTGCAGAAGATTGTGATAAGACATTTTTTGAAAAACACATTCTACCAAGGAATCAAAAACAGTTAGAGAATCATAAATACAATGTAAACCAGAACCATATGCTTCATCATGACGAAATTTATTCTCTCTATTTAATCGCAAAGACACAGTTACAAGATTCAATACGATGCATCACTATTTATCCAACACTCATAGTGATTTGTGCTATACCGGCTGCAATTGACTTAGCAAACAGATGTCTTTCGAGAGCGAAAGAAACATTGAGTGAACGTCAGTGTTTCACTTATGATAGCACTTTCAATTTAACGGATACTTTTGTCTCATTTTTAGTAATGAGAAACACTGAAATTGAGAACAATCCAATATTCCCAGTTATGATGATGCTTCATACTTCAAAATCAAAGAGTGTGCACACCATTTTTTGGAGAGAATATGCTTTGAAACTCATCAATTTTAATAAATTTGTCCCAATCATAACTGATCGAGAAAAAGCGATAACAAAGGCTATTGAAGACAGCAATTTGGGCAGCAATTTGGTCTTCTGTAAACTACACATGCATTCAGATATTAAATTTTGGTGTTTGAAGAGACATTTACAACCTAAAAATTACTTCATTTATAACGACATGGTTGATAAGCTTGCATCAGCAGATAGCGAAGAAAAATTTGATTCAATGGTGGCGAAATTCAAATCACAAATGGCTAATGAATTTAAAAGATATTTCGAGGAGTCTATAGAACAAGATTTACGTAGACATGTTTGTAAATATGCTGTTGAGAGATTTCCAATATTTTTTAAAACAACTGAAATTCCATCAACAAACATAGCTGAATCATTCAACGCTGTCGTTAAAAATTATCAGATCAAAAAAGAAGTCAGAAAAGATATGCTACTCTTAAATATGGTTGAACTTCAAACATGCATTTTGAATGAATATGATAGAGCTATCAATGGATCCGGAAATTTCTCTTTGAAGAAAGAATTGAAAGGGAAAGTTCAACCAATCAACGTAGAATGTCCATTGAACTTTATTTCAAGTCAAGATATCATTGATTCTGTTATGAAAACAATGGATTTGTGTCAAAATGATAGTTTCGATTCAGAAACAACAAATTACATTTCGGATTTGGTTGTTAAAAATCGTTTAATTGCGTATGAGCCACATAATCAAGTATTCACGGTTAAATGTCCGTACTCAGGTGATGTGCATACAGTGAAAAAAGTCAAAGGAACTCTTAAGTGCAGTTGTGCCCGCAAGAAGATGTGTTTTCATGTGAAATCTGTTGAAAAAATTAGTGGTTCAACAGTAAAAGAAAACACGATAAATTTCAAATTGACGGAAATCGATCGCAGTCTTAAAGAAACCAAAGCTGGCAAAAAACCACGCAACACAATTAAAATCGTTTACGAACCTGCTAACGATTCTCTTGCTGCTGAGACAAAAATTAAAGAGGAGAAAAATGCGAAAGAAAATAATTTGGATGCTTTGACAGATACAGATTCTACCAAAAAATCCATTTTGACAAATCCGAATATTACTCTAGAAGATGAAAATTGGTTATTAGAAGAAATGAAAGAAGATACAATTAGTAATACGTGTGCAACAGAAGACAAATATCATGACAACTTAGCTTCTGAAGAATCGATAATCGAATTCAAACCAATTCCAGTTAAAGCCAGATACATCGAAAAACAATTTCGTGCTGATTTTAAAGTACCAGAAGAAAAACTCTCACAATTCACTTGTCTACGACCTGGAGAGTGGCTTTTTGACTCTGTTTTGAATGATTTCTGTTCACACATTATACACGTCTACGAGAAAGAGAAACAAATTCTCTGTGTGCCAAGTTACATTTGGCAGTGTTTGAAAGCACGAACAGACAAACGTGATATATTAAGCAACAAATCTCAAGAAGTTTGCTTTCTGCATAATCACTCTGCGATCAATAAAAAATTGTTGTTTGTTATCATGAATACTGATACAGAAAAAGGAAGCCATTGGTTACTTGGGGTGATTATTTTTAATCAAAAAAATATAATCATCATCAATTCGATGCATAAGACGCATACGGATGAAATTGCGATTCCATTATTGGAGATGACAAGACTTTGTTATGTGCTAGCCGGAGCAAAATTTGATAAACAGGACTGGTCTATATTCGCAGCTACAGACAATCCGCAACAAAAAAACAAGGATGATTGTGGTGTTTTTGTTTGTTTATATTTATTGGCAGCAATACAACGTAAAGAATTCATGCAAATGCCATCTGAAGAAGCCAGAAACTTCATTAAATATATTCTAACTAAATCTAAAGCTATGAAAAGTCCTAAAAAAGCCAAAAAAATAGATGATAAAAAATATAAATTATCTTCATTAGGTATAAAAGAATTAGAAGGAGTTATCATAAAGAAAATTCCAGTTCAGAGTTTAATCGAATCAGCAATCGAAGATTGCCATAAGGTCTCAGTGTGTAGTGCGCATGTATGTCACCACGATGACGATAAAAAATTACTTGACTTATGCACAGTTTGCCGATTATACTTCCATCGTGGATGCCATAAGCAATTCTTCGAACAGTATTTCATTTGTCCCACTTGTAGAAATAAGTATTGAATTTCAGAAACTATTTGTATAACTAACCACTAAGATTACTTTATTTATCATTATTTTGTCATAAAAAAAGTTGAGAAAAAATCACAAGATTAATTATTAAAGTTGAAAATATTTTATTGTATTAAGTCAGGCCTTGCAAAATTATTTTTCAAATTCATAAATAACTTTAATTGGCTCTTTAGTGGCATCTTCCTCCTCGTTTGGTTCTTCTGCTAATCTAGCTGAACAGATTGATCCATGTCCATCCTGTCTTTTATTCATGTGTCGGACACAGATGTATCTTTTTTGGCTTATAATAATGTTGCAATATGGGCACTGCCATTTAACGTTTGGGTTTTTCCGTGCTTTAGCTTTTTTTTCCATATCCATGATTGTGCGATACGCTGGGTTAAATGCCGTTTTAACAGGAATATCCTCACCCTGTGTTGCACAGAATTGCAATCTTTCATAGTAGGGTTCACATTGAACCAAACCAAATCTCTCTCCTCTTTTTACAACAATTTCCTTGATATCACATTCGAAATCTATTCCTGAGTAGGTAACACTTTGCTGTAAAGAAAGATAAATTAGTTAAAAGAGAATCCTTAAATTAAAAAAAATTAACTTACCTTGATAGTTATTGTATTTGATGAGGAAGCAGTACTTGAGTTTGATGCACTCATATCGATGTTTGAATGTGAAATTATTTGAACAAAAACAAGAAAAAGTATGAATAAAACAATGGTCAGTTGTTGGTAATGTGTTGAGTGTGAATGCGAGAATGCTTTTAGTTAAAACAAAAACAAAAGAATCTAGAAAATTCTAAATTTTAATCTCTTTAAAGTCGTTATTTTGAACTATTTTGGCCATGCCCTTAGGCCATATGCACTTAAAAGTGAAATTTTACATGTCAAGTGCATTTTGGTTATTTTGGTTATTTTGGTTGTGTTTTGGTTGTTTTGGTCTTATTTTGGTTTTTTGGTCGTCTTTGGTTTTTTAGTGAAACCCCATAAAGGTTGATGGGAATTTTCACAATGAAAGGTTAAAGGTAAGCAGCAATGAAGCTAGATTTACAAGGAAAAATGTAAAAAATTTTATCCATTGTCCAAATTTTCGGGTCGAATTGGGTTACTCTAGTGATAGTTGAATTAATCCCTAATATTTACAACATTTACCAAGAAAAAGGTTCAGCTATTTACATTGGAATGCTTTGCTTTTTAAAAGCAATGATTGTCAGTTTTTACGGACAATTGCCATTGACATTACCAATTGATCTGTTCAATAGTCAATAAAGGTTCCCATAATTTGGGTAAGGTACGTGTATTGAGCCTGACCTTGCCAAATGCCGACCGATGCAATTTTAGCTTTCACTGTATATTATTATCATATCTAAAGAAAGTTTACAGTTGAAAAAAAATCTATCCTTTCCATGTGAGGTGAAAAGAAAGGGAAAAAGCAATCTTAAAAGTAGACAGAGAAGATGATAATGAGGATGAGGATGATGAAAATGGTTCCTTATTTCAGGTTTTTAAGACCTCCTTGAATGAGAAAAGGTAGAAAAGGTAGAAAAGGTAAAAACTTGTTTTGCAGGTTTTCTTGATTTCTTTTCATTTGGCTTTGAACGGTGAGACGTTGGTTAAACCTGACTGTGTGTGTGTGTGTGTGTTTGCGACTCTTTACCCTTAAAATATTGGATACCCATCTTGGTAAGACTGTTAACCTTTACTTATTAATTTATTTTACTGTTTAATTTATTAATTACAATTTAACCAATTTACACAACCAACTGTTGATTATGTGATGAACAGTTAGTGTACTCTTAATTGTCTCCATTGTCAACCAATAATTAACACTGTCATTTTGTTTACCTTTTTGTTTCTCAATATCTCTGTATACAGTTTAACCCTACTTCAAAGGGAAATGTTTGATGGATTAATAATGTGTCTCACTAGTGGATAGTTGTTGATCAATTTAAATCAACTACAATTGGATTATATTATACAATCAACTATATTAATTAACCTGGTTCACGATTGTGGTCAAACAATATCTATTGGACAATTGGTTATCCTTCAATTTTTGTCTACCTCTTAATGTTGACCATTTGTTGCCCTCTTGACAACTCTCCTTTGCACCAGCTTTAACGTTTTTTCAGTGTTCAACCATTTTATATCCCACCTTACGATTCATTTATTCAACACATCATCAACCTCGTCAACTTACAATGTCTTGTTCAGCTGTTTCACTATCAATCGCCACCATAATTAGTGTAATTGCTGTTGCTTGTCTTGCCATAGCTTTCAGTACCGATAATTGGTATGAAATACGGATTAATCGAAATTTAACCAAGGAAAGATTAACTGAATTGAATCAATTGACTGATGAATTTGAAACAGATTTGAGATATTTCAGTCGAGATGAAGGACTTTTCAGAGTTTGTTTCCTCAACAAGAAACCCAAAGGATGTAAGTAGTTATTTAATCATCAATTAATTCCATATTTTCATAATGATTTTCATCTAAAAATGGTTCTCACCTTGACTAATCAAATTCACACGTTAGTCAACTTAGCTTGTCAATCATGAAACGATTACAAAGCAACACCATAAAGACTAAACCAACTTGTAATGAAACTGACCTTTCAAAATGCATTTATCCTACAATTGCCCAACTATCGGGCCTTTCATCGTCAATCCTCATCCCCACCAGCTTCGCCATCTTCACCATCATCCCTATCATCTTATCATCTTTATCATTCTATGTTTCTTTAAAATAGTTTGGCCTACCTTTACATTCTGGTTCATCATCTATTTAACCAACAAACCGGCTTCTACTTCATTTTTACCTTATTTCATTTCTTACCTTTTTTTCCTCTCTTCTTCTAGCTTCTTCTCTTCCTCTTACCTTTTTTACCTATTCTCATCATTTTCACCTTCATCATTACCATCATTATCAAAGAAAACTTATTCAACTCCATTTTTCTGTTGCGTCTTTTCATTGTTTTTTTCTCGTTTTGCCTTTTATTTACCTTCTTTTCTTACCGTGAATCGATTCTATATAAATAAACACCTTTTTCATATTAAAGGTGTATATTACAACCATCATCATCACCATCATCCTTATTTTCCTATTGTTTAGCTTATTTATCCAATTATCCTTTCCTTTCACTTGTATCTTTAAATCAAGCGAAATCAAATTTAATTACAGTTGTTTTTTTTTGTACTTGCGCCATCTTTAGTAGTCTCTAAGTCAACTGACATTTACATCGAATCTACCCAAATCTTTCCTTTTTAAGTGATAGTTAATTGTTCCTCTTTCCTGACATCTGATTTCACTTTTTTTTCATTGATTGTCAGTTTAATTAAAAACCAAAAGGTTAATCAGTAATAGTGTTATAACCATTTGGTTTATAATTAGAGCTAATGATGACATTTTTTATTTTATTTAGCGCGCCAAACAAAATTTTACCCTTAGCCTTGGAAATGAGACAGAAGGTTTTGTTTTTGCGTTGCTAAAGGCTTGTTTCTGTTTTTACTTGTTGCTGTTTTTTTGTTTCCCTAATTTGTATCAAGTTAATTGTTTTGTTTAACTTTCTCCTATTATCTGATTTATTTTAATCATTGTGACTATTTTAATGACTGCTTAGTTAACTTTTAATTTCTTTATAAACAACATTCGACGGAAAATTAAGTAATTGAAGAGATCAAATGATATATGTGTAAATGGATTATGGTGACTAATGGATTAGGACAACGGTGTGATTAAACTGGTTGATGACTTTAATAATTACGAGTATGGTTAACAGTCTATTCCAACTAAACACTTTACTTTTGGTGCTAATCCACATTTCATGTTGTTGCAATGATGGTAAGCCAGGCTCTTTCCCAAGCTGGTTTTGATAGTTGATCTGATGACCACGGAATCCGTGCATCCATGAACTCGGAACTTAAGATATGGAGATGTGATGTAAATGAGATGGAAAATAATGGACCTTTTAAGAGGTTTACACTCAAAGTAGCTGAAGGAAAATGGCACCATCTTGGCTGACCGAATCTCTTCAAGTAATCAACAATCAACTTGCAGCCGATTGTTTGGTTGGACAAAAATGAAGATTGGTAAAGAGATATTGGCTGGAAATTCTTCATTCTTTCAACTCTTCAAAAGTTGACCAATTTCACCATTCTAAAGATGTGAAAGAGTTGGATGTTGAGAAGCCTAACCATGATTAAAATTTTCATAAAAAGATTAACAATCGACAAGCATTCGCTATCTTAATGGTTTCAATTGTTGTAAATCAAATGGATTCCTCATTCTTCCCTTTCTTGCCATACATAAATATTGGATCAATTTGTTTTTGCCTTTTGACGTCTTTAGCTGGTGCTATTCACTTTTTTGAAAAAATGCGAATCAATTGACGAATTGTTGGAAAAATCAAAAGGTTATCAAGTCAAGTTTACTTTGATTGGACTGGACTCGTAATAACTCTTACCTACAATCATTTTAATGACGATAATAACGTAAATCAAATGGATAATTGTATGAAACTCTATTCTGACCTTCTTCACTTTGGCAAGTTTCATATTTACAAAAATAGCAGTTGCAATGGTATTCAATAGAAATATTAGGAATCAAAAGGATCGCTTTAACAAGAATCAGGAAATTGTGATTGAGATAAAGTCCATAATGAATCTTTTTGGTGATTCTTATTTTCCTATTGTAATGGTTAATTGTGCAACACAACCACAGAATGTATAGAATGCTGAATGGCTTTTTGTTGGAAAAAATACTTTTCTCAAGTTTAAGAATCAACTTATTGATTCTGTCAGAGCAACATGAATTCATCATGTTTCAATATTTCAACAAACTTTCCTTGAGCCAACAAATACTCCATCAACCAGAAACAATTGTTATAAATGTGCGCATAAATTAACTTGGTTAATCAAACTAACTCACTGATCTCATAAAGCAAGGTTAATTTTAAATACCTTCAAATCTCTTCAATTACAATCAATTCAGTGTTGTGATTATGTTAAGACGATTACCGAACAATAATGATCCATAAAGAACTGATAAGTTTGTCGTATTTCCAAGGATGACCAATATTGATGAAATTAATTGTTGAATAGAGTTGAACCAAAATTTAGATCAAAATGTTGAATTGAAAGCGTATCTGGAGGTAATTTTCACATTAGTCGCTTGATATTGAGTACATTTTGATTGCAATTTTGTTCACCTGAAAGTGATTTGAAATCGAATTCTCACGAGAATTATAATGATAAATTCAATTGTTAATTCAACTCTAAAAAATCAATCAAAAATATTTAATGCGAGCACAACTGTTATCATCAATTGATTATCAGCCATTGAAGGAGCACAAAAAAAGGGTTAGGTTTTAACAGTTAACGGAACAAATTGTCGACCCAAAAAATGATCAAGTTTGGCACGAAATTAACAATTGAATTGTATTAAATTGTGACAATTAAACTTGTCCACCAACAGTCTTCTTCATATTCAATGAAGGTTAATCTATTTAAGACCACAACAGTAAATAGTAAAGCAACATATAAAATTATGCCCATTTCAAGCCTTTAATTTAAACAAAATCAATAAAGAAACATTATTGAAAACTCGACAATTAGTTGACTTAATCAATCAACTAATTATGAACAAAAAAACACCTCAACCTTGACATTCTGCAACAGTTAAGGCAAAAAAATAAATAATGTTAACCATTATCAAGATAATCATATTCAAAATATCTGATTATCATAATATTGTTATAACATATTGAATAAGTAGGTTTGATTGTAAATCTTTCATTTGTCTTCATTCCAGTAAATTAAGTAGATCAAGTTGAGTAATGCAAAATTGACTAATTAACATTCATACATTTAATTAACGGAACAATGAAAATGTAATTCTTGGTACAAAAGTGTAACATTAAACGATTGTGAGGCCAAAAATAGCAACTTTGTCTACTAATGAATAAAGTAAATATCAGTTGATCGTATTAACGATGCTGATGATGGTATTAATGGTGATACTGATGATGATGGTGACCCTAACAAGTTATCATCTGTTGAACGGTTATTGATGGGCCAATGTTTAGGATTGTAAATCAGGTTTGATTGTTGCTCAAGAATCAAGAGAGAGATGTGATGAAGATTATAATGTGGATGATAAATATGATGATGGTGACTCAGGTAAACGCTGGTGATGCTTTTCCTTTGCCTTTTGCTTACATGAGCAACACCGATATTATCTGTTTAATAATTACTGGTTTGGTAACATTTTTGTCTCTACTTGATACTGGTTTCATTAGACAGTTAAATAGACAGAGAGAAAGAAAAGGATGATCAGGATGACGAAGGTGCTGAAAAACATGGCCTCAAGGTTTAGTTGCTTTTTTGGTTCCTGGTTCATTTGAGTTTCTCAGCTTTTCCATACAAAATTCATTTTTCTTTTTCTTCCATCTTCATTCCTCTCTAATGATGGATATAAAAATTGATTGGTTACTTGCAATTTCTCAATCATTGAAAGATGATCATTATTCTCGTTAATTATGTTAATAATTAATTGAAAAAAAGGGTTTGTAATTGATCATTTAAATATCAATGCAAGACAATCATAAACCTCTGAAGGTAAACTGGAACAATTGAGTCAATATTTTGGGTTAACTTTTGGGTTAACTTTTTTGGTTTCAATACTTTGCTATTTTTAATTTCAACCTTTTTCAGATTTTCTTGTTATTTTGATTTGATTCCTTTACCATTTCCAATTGAATTGATTACTTCAAATTGTAAACTTGTTTGAAGGTGCATTGGGTTTGGTTTCAAGGATAACTAAATTGTTGTAATACTAATTATAATTATGTTGTTGTTAATCAATAATCATTCCCAATGATTACAATTTCTTGTCAATCATTTTTGCCTCAATAGTTGATCATTCAATTATCAAGTAAACTTTCCTTGTTTGCAAAACCATCCAAAACAATGTAAAGTCATTGATTTAATTTCACATTTTAAATATTTTCCGATTTTCATCAAATCTAAATTATAGTTATTGTCTGATATTATCAGTGATAATTTGTTGTTGATAGCTACTGAACTTTTGATGGTTTCAAATGATAACCATTTGTTACCGACCAATAAATTGGGAAAAGGTAAAAACAAACATAAGCAACATTTTCAACCTGATTAACATTAAATTGAGAACAATTAGTGAACAATTGAACTAGCAACTCATCATTAAACTCTAATCATGTTCAACTTTAAATTGCACTTTTTCCTAACAAAATGTAACTCTAAATTGTGATTAACAAATTGTTCTGTACAGCCTGTAATCAATACAAAGTTAAATTGTATTCATACAATTGAAGATGATTATGGATGAGTTGTGCTTTCATAAAGACAATTACATTTTTATTGTGACCCATTTTTAAGCCAATGTTGATGCAATGAAATATTTTGTTGGACACTTAACCATCATCATTATTGTCATCATCATAATCATTAACAAAATTAAGTGTTGTCAATAAACACAATGATCATTATCGTTGATTCAAACGCTCTTCAATGGTGAATAATCGGGAATCAAAGTGTTAACCATCTTGTTTCTCATTCCAACCTGAATAATCAATCATTCTAATTAATCGACAGTTAACCCAATCAAACCCAAAAATAACCTCATTTTTTTCACCAAATCTCAATATTTTAAAGACCAGAATATAAAGGTTAACCTTCAACATTTTTTATCATCTCTTCAAATTATAACTCTGATAATCTAATAATAAGTTAACAATAAAAATTGTTCAACTCTTCGTTTCGATAGCTTAACCATTTTATTGGGATTGTTACCAATCTTGCTGTTAGTCTTGAACAAGTAAATGAACTTATTCATGTTAACATGCAATTGTAAATGCAAAAAACCGATCAAATTCAAGTTTAATTATGAATTGCAAAAAAGTAGTGATTTTTCAATAATTTTGCCTCTTGATAATCAAAAGAATCAGTAATTGAAACCAATCCATTCGTTTTTTTGATTTACTTGGGCTTAACAATCATGATTCAGCTAATGCTGAATCTATCAGATGTAAGTTTGACTGCAATTTTGCAAATTTGCGGAACAAAAGTCAGGTTAATGGTGACCAAGATGATTAAGATGCTAATTGTAAAAGCTAAATTGAGTAAAATATTGAAAAATGTAATTCTGTTTGAAATAGACTAAATTTCAACTCAAAACTCAGTTGACTGTTGCACAGTTGCTAAATTGGGTTGACATTAAGATGCAAATTATTTGACCATTTAATTTACATTTATATTTAGTCAATTTAGTCTATTACCAGTGTAATGACCAGTAAAATGATCCTTAAATGTTACATTGATTTGAATGGCTAAACCAAATCAAAATGGGTCAGTAAAGATTTGCTCATTATTTTACTTCTAAAAAAGAGTACAAAATTGAATACACTTTATTAATGGTAATAGATATTCAAAAAATTGGTTCAATAATGAATATTTCATGATCAACATTCAATTAGACCAATCAATTTGATTTGATTCTCCAAAAATTAACCTCTTTCCCTTAACCTTTTCTGTTTAATTGTACAATTATAAAAATTTGTTAACCCCAACTCTCGACTTGTCTTTACCTTTGATCAGTAAATCACAATTAAATGTCTCTTCATCTCTTCAATGTAAAAAGGTTGAATTTATTAATAGGATTTAAATTGTTATGGTTAAACAGTTTCTTTTGTTGCAACAGTTGATTGATAATTGAAATGAAACCGAAAAAAGATTCTCATTGTTTTGCATATAAAGATGATAGAGGTTAAATCATGATGTTGTTACCTGTGATTATACCCTTTCCATCCTTGATCATTGATTGTTATTTTTATCATTTTACTGGATTGATCGAAATCAGTAAATGATAACCTCTAATATGAAAATAACGTTAACAATTGGGTGTTGATTGAATGAGAAACGTTTTCATCTCTAATGATAAGCATAATGCTAATTAGTAAAATTGGTTTCCTGGTTTTTTCTGGTTTTTCATTTCAATGGTAACTATTAATAGTCAATGGTCATTTCAATGTTTCATTCAAACGTTTTGTTTTCAATGGTTTCTCAATTGGTGACATTTAAGTGTAAACTTGATCTTTAATCTGATTAATGAAGAGAACCAGAAATGTTACCGTTAATTGTAAATGAATGATTAACTTGATTCTCTGCCAGGACCAATATAATCCATTGAAAAAGGTAGCCATACATATCGATGAGAATTTGGGTGAACCAGTTTTCAGGAAACAAAAAGGGCCAAAAATTATCATCTTCAATGAAATAAAACACTTGTTTCTTCCTTCTCTTCATCATCTCCATCCACTTATCTGGTAAATCTGGCTTACAATCAACCCTTGAAATGGCCTTAAATTTGAGCCCAACATTAATCACAAATGAACCCGAATCTTCATCTAAATCAGCCTTAAATTAAATCCTGAATCGAGTCTAGAATCAGTTTTGAGACTTAAATCTTGATGAGCATACATTTGAGTTTTCAATTTTTTGTCAAATTATTTTGATCCACTTTACTGCAATTTAATGGTTTTAATCAGCATGAGATTAACTCTTCTTGTTCAATCACAATTTAACAGGTTAACTATTGATTCTGATCGTGACAAAAGCCATTTACATTTGCTTTATTACAATTTGAATATTAAAAGCCTTCATTTGTGATTACAATTTTGCCAATTGTTTCAATCGCTTGAGAAACATACAAAAACTCTTGATTCCAATTGATTTTGAAGAATCAAAAGTGAAATAAATTGTCTAAAAAAACAATTAATTGTCCAACTTTAATTTCATTTTTTACCTTCTTTTCCACTTCACTCTGATCCTGATTTTTCTCCCCTTGATTGTGTTACTTTCAAGTGACAGTTGATTAGGATATTTCAACAATCAAGTTGCAATTGAAAAAGAAATCAATTTCAATGGTTTAAATTAACAATATATTGTTTGCTTATTGATATCAAATGTCAATAAACTTCAAGTTAATCAATGAACCAGTAAAGGTAACAAAAATATTATATTTTATAACTTTTCTTAATTGTCATGAATAATCAACAGATTATCAGGTTTTGCCGTTGATTCATTGGTTATCATTTTGTACATTATTGCCTTTAAATGAGCAAACAAATGATCAGTGAAAAGCTTAAATTGCAACTTGTAATTAAACTTACAATAGATTGTGTCGTAAATTGATTGACTCGTGTTAACCTGTTTATATCCTTGTTGACCTTAATTTGATTGTTTTTGTCTCCACATCAAGTTAAAGATTTCGTGATTAATTGATTCTAATTGAATGGCTTTAACAATTGATCAACTGACTAAAAAAATGAATCTTTTCAATGTTTTTCAATTTCTGTCAAAATGTGAATTGTAAATGTTTATAGCTTTCAAATTGCTATGAATTTTAAGTGTGAGAACCATTTTAATCATTTTAATTGCAATCGACTAATCAATATTTTTAAATTTCTCTTACAGTGGAAACCTATTTATCTCCAACTCAAACTCAATGTGTCAACGTAGATTATCATATTCCTGAAGATGAAGAATCGCAAAAATTTTCAGATCAAAGATGGGAAAGACTTCGTAAGTATCGGTCAACAATTGAAACATTTGTTGGACAGACACAAAGGTCAATTTTGGAAATGAAGGAAATAGTTTTCAGTTGAAATGATAATAAAGGAATGATGATTTTGTGTGTAAAAAAGGTATAAAATGAAATGGTAAATTGAATTGATTATGACAGGTTGAAAACAGAGAGTGATGATGATAATTATTTGAGAGAAAAGTGATGAAAAGAAAGGGTTTCAATGATTGAAGAGTTATCATGAGAAATGATATTTCCATTCATTTTGTATCATCATTATGAACATCATTTACAACTTCCTTGTCCATTTGAATTAAAAGTAAAAATTAATTCTTAATTGTATTCTTCTCTTACCTCTCTTCCTCTTCCTTTACCACCTTTACTCCTTTCATGGTGAAAATTGCAAAATGGACTCTTGCATGAGTGACCATTACAAGACATCTTTCACTTTCCCTGTTCGTAAACCTAATCACGAATTGACATAAATCTTAAAGTTTTACGAGTTTTCTTTTCAAATGTTTTTATTGCGCCAAGTCCATCCTAATGAACAACTCTTAAATACCAACTTTAGCTGACTTCATAAAGCTAATTTCAATTATCATTGTGACAAGAAATTTAAATGTTGATACGAAATGAAGATTCAAGAGTTGATTTAATGCTAAAAACTGGTTTAATCTCAAAGAAATATTGAGCTTAATATGATTCAACGACAATACTCATTGGGTTATTTTTACCCGAAGTGAAGTCAAAAATTTGAATCAAATTGTTTAATGACTGGCTTGATTCATTTGGCTTTTTTCATCATTACTGACGAGAAAAAGATTATATTTATAACAGATGTTTTGATAGTAATTACTTTTAATAGTCCAGTTGAGTTCATTTAAATTAATTTTCTCAAAATTAACCATTTTATGGGTTTTTTACTGGTAAAGCATCTTTGATGGTCTACAGCTAACCGAGTTGATCCAACAGCACAGGCAAATCGTTGTTTATTGTTAGACGGTTATTTGGTGATTAAAATGCATTCATGTTGATAAACATTTCTTTAAATTGTTGGTTTAATTTCAACAATAAGAGCTCACTGTCATTTGTAATTGAAAACAGGTATAGACATGGAGTAAGATAACAATTTCATCCTTATTGTATTATTGCTGTAATGACAATGATACTGTTTTACACACAGTTGCTGTTAGTTGTTATTGTTGGTCCTTGTTAATTAACATGTAAATTTTAGACTAAAGTATCCAACCGTTATTACTGTTACACTCAACTTATCATTATAATCACCAAGATTGTCATTTGTTTCAACGATCATTCATCTATGATTGAAACCTTGAAGGATAAATGCAAAGATTTCATTTCAAAGTCTTTTTCAAATTATATGTTTTAAAAGTTGTTCAATTGCGATTGATGATTGTTAAATCTTTAATTTTTTAATTTACTTTCTTGAGAATACAGATTACATTAACTAAATTTAACTTCTCCTGTTAAAGCGTATCCATTAATTGTCATGTTACAGTCAACTTTGAGATCATTATTTTTACTAAACAAGCTATAAGATGGCACTGCTTTCATTATTTCCCTCCTTTCATTTGTAAACAAACCAACATTGTCAGGCTCATTGTACCAACAATTTTTATTTCATTGTTTAACCAATATCGTTGTTAACGATGAACAATTTTATTCAATATTTACCCTGCTAATATTTCGTTTCTCTTCATCAGATCTTGCTCGATCCGTAGTAGCATTGTATGTTGTTGCCTTTTTCTTGTTGACTCTTTCATTCTTCACCGGGATCGCAGGATGTTGGAAACGATCTCACGCCAATCTCATTGCCACTGGTATTATGCAGCTTTTAGCAGGTAATTTATAATTTTAATGCCATAAAATAATATAACATCACCTAACCCTTCTAAAAAGTAACCGAGCTAACTTTGCTGGATCCTTAATTTGAGTAAATCTCTTTCATTCAAGATTACAATTTTTCTAATGATCTATGTTTGCATTTCTTTGATTAGCTTTATTTGACGCTGGTGCCATGGGTCTCTGGCATGGAGTCCAATTTTATGATCAACATAAACTTAAAGATGAACTTTCATACAATGGTTGGCCAACTGTGAGTATCTTTATAGATTTGGTTGTTACTTGCGACTTTTGCCTTATTGACTTTTCTTTTCACTCTACTTTTCAAGGTTTTAAAACAACACGGAGTGAGTGAATTTTATTATGGCTGGTCTTATATTCTCGCATGGCTTGGAATCGGCCAGTGTTTGATTGCTTCAATCATGTTCCTTGGATCTGCTCGATGTATTCGAAGTGAAAAACGCGCTGAACAAGCCAAAAATATGCAATATTTAATGCCAGTTTATCCTGATAAAAGAAACCCATACGGATACGCTTATGCTTATCCTGGACCCTACTCATACCATGGATCACAATACGGAATCGCTCCTTATGCATACTAAACACTTTTCAGCTCATTTTAATTATTACAACTATTAATATTATTCTTGATATGTATAATATTATCTATGCTCTATTATATTAATACCGTTTTGGTATTTTTCTGTCAAAATTTTTCTGCACACAATGATTCTATTTTCTGTTAATCGCAAAAGAAAGGTTTTGACCTGAATGTCGCCGCAAAAATATACAAATTTTTAGAACCCGACCCTGAAACTCAGGAAAAGCAGGTAAAAAAGAGACTAAAATAGACAGTAAAAAAGAAACAAAAATGAAAGAAAGACAAAATGACACTTAACATTGTTGTATTATACATATGAAGTCAAAACATCAAATTTTTGTGTAAAAATTGTGGCTAAACTAAAAGGATTTTAAAGACAACCTGAAAGCCATGGTTGAACATTATGTCCGAAAATCTGTCAAAGCTTAATCAGAATTCATGTTACTAGCAAAGGAATTGCATAAAAACTTTGAATATTGAGTTAAGAGTTGGGAATTTTTAGGTTTGTAGGGCCATAAAAACTGACAAGTGAGTCTTTGTGGGTCCATTAAAAAGAGCTATTCTAGTTAAAATTATTAAGAGATGGGTTGAGGTGTATTGGATTCTGTCGAGTAAATAGTTGGCAAGATTTTTCATTAGTGAATAATAAAAGTCCAAATTGAGTTCGACTGGTGTCGAGAGTTGTTGCAATATTGATAAAAAATACCAATCGGAATTGTAATTACACAAATGGTAAACCGCTTCATCTGGATTGAACAAGATTTCAGGTTGAAAACTAAACACTGATTGTATAAGGTTGAAAAATGTCTCACAATTGTCAGTTTTATTCCGTTTGATTCCAAAAGTCAAGACAATGCCTTCGAATATATAAAGCTAATGATACATAAGTGTAATGGCATCATGATTGTATCCAAGAATTATCCACAATCCTTGAATAATACATGTTAATCCAACAATTTTCATCAAAACTCCAAAGATAACCCGTTTTTGACAACACTTCAACTCCAATATTTCAATATTGTAAATGCCAATTGCTTCCAAACGCGTTGAAAAACTCAATTTCATCGAATCTTTTTAGGTTTGTCCAAAAATTATTGGTTTTTCGATCGAAAATCTGATAAAATTTGAAATTAGCTCCAACTGTGAATGTGTCTCCGGAATCAAATTTTGATTGATATAACCTGGTTAACTGTCTCTAAGCAAGTCTCCAAAGAGAGTCCACATTGATCAATTTTAAAGGCTATTATTTAACAAATTACCAAGTTAAATCTTGGAGTCTGCTAATATTGATTTATTCATTTATGGTAAATGATAAATTGTTTATAAAAGCTAAATGAAAAAATAAAATTTGATTTATAACGTTTAATTGTGAGTTTATTTGATTTTTTGACTAGCAAGTTGAGCTTTGGACAAAATGAGACGACTTAAGATGGTATAGTTGCTTGGATAACATTGGTTTTTGATAAATCTCTTCAAACAAAAGCTGTTCACTGAGCTGACGTTGATACCAATTGGCGAATGATAAATTTGTGTGACAAAATATGATTAATTTAAATTCATTATCTCTGATTAATACAAGGAAAATCCATTGAAACGACACTCTAACATTGATTAATGAATCCGTAAGGATGAATTTGATCCACAGTTGAACAATTGTTTGAACAAGAAACATTTTCATTGCTAACTGTTGAGCTTTGATTAACATAAGTAAATTGTTTTTGGAAAAAAATCCATTTACTGTTCTTTTTCTGTGTTAATTGTAAAACTTAAATTTAATTTGAGGTAAAATTGTTTCGTACGTAGATAATGATATTGGAACAGAAAGAGGTTAAACTAATGTATCGACAAGATCTAACACTGATGTGATAGACAGCTTGATTGAACACACATTCAAGCCAGCTTTCAACACTATGAATAATCATTAGTTAAATGTTGATTGGGAAACTAATTTCATTTGTTCAAACAGTTTATCATTAACATCAAATGTTACTAACGTAAGCCAATGTTCAAGTCACCCAGCTAAAGATCTGCGACATTTAATGTTTACCTTTTTGGTACAAATCGAGTCTTGATCTTTCGTTTATTACGTATTTCTTTCGTTATGTTGATACATTCAAACATATTGAAAGTTATTGGAAAAATTTTGTTAGTTTAATCATTGAAGGAACAATTGAAATGCATTATGGCTTTTCAATTGTCAACAATAGTGTTAATTGTCTTACAATTTCAGTTGAGTTTAACTGATCATTGTATTAAAAGGTACTTCAATCAAAATTCATTTGTTTGTGCTTGTGATACTCGTTCATGTCCACCAATACCGGGAACAACCCGACCTCCAAAGGGATACCTTGATCAATGGGTTTCTTCACGGACTCAACATCGTTTCCACTTGACTCGAGTCAACCTCAACCATTTAACCAGACCATTATACCCTCCATCACTTGTAGTCACATTGAGATCGAATGATCGCAGGCAGACTATCCATGGCTTTGGCGGGGCCTTCACTGATGCTGCGGGACTAAATTTACTCACGTTACCCATGGATTTGCGAGATCAAATAATGAAAGATTATGTCTCAACCCATGGAATAGATTATGCAATTGGTCGAGTCCCAATTGCTGGAACTGATTTCTCTTCTCGAGTCTATACCTATGATGATAACAATGATGAAGAAGATTTAGAATTGAAAAATTTTGCACTTCAACCTGAGGATACAAATTTAAAGGTAAGCAACATTGTGATTCTTATGGTTTTCAAGTTGAACAGTTGAAGTTTATATTTGGTGATTAAAAATGGTATTGATGGTTGATGTCATCTTTTACAATTTGTACTTTCAATTTCCATTTTTGCAATTTTCATTTCATTTACAGATTCCAATGATTAAAAGAGCCTTAGAACTAAAAAATGGTCCTTTTAGATTGATTTGTAGTTCTTGGTCCTCGCCAGGTTGGATGAAAACCAATAACAATATTACTGGAAGTGGCTTTCTCAGAGGAATACCAGGTGGACCTTTTTATAAAGCTTGGGCCAGATATTTAGTTAAGTAAGCAATATCTTAATGAAAATGAAATTAAATTTGATGTAATAATATATAACTCTTAACGTTTTGTATCAATTTAAACAGATTCCTTGATTCTTACGCTAAAGAGGGAGTCGACTTTTGGGCGATAACAACTCAAAATGAGCCAACTCAAGCTATTGAAAATGAAGACTTTTTTTACAACAATCTCGGTTTTACACCAGAAAATTTGCGAGATTGGATTAAAGATGACTTAGGTCCTGAACTTGAAAAGTCTGGTTATGGAAGAGATAATCTTAATTTACTTCTTTACGATGACGCCAGAGAATATCTTCCTAATTACACTCAAGTTGTTCTTACAGATGAAACAGCTGCTTCCTTCGTCAACGGCGTTGCCTTTCATTGGTATAAGATCGACAATCGACCACGTTACAATGAACTCAATGTGGTTCATGACAAATTTCCGAATCATTTTCTCATTTCAACTGAAGCATGCGAAGGTTATGAAAGGTTTAGCACTAGAAGAGGTTAGAATCGCTAAGAAAAGTTACCATTTAAAATTGACACTCAATATTTATTTCGCTTCATTTCAGCTCAACTTGGAAACTGGACTCGAGCCGAAACTTATGCCATAGATATAATTGAAGATATTAATCGTTATACCACTGGATGGCTTGATTGGAATCTTGTTCTCGATTTAAAAGGAGGTCCTTCATGGGCAAACAATCCGACTGATGGTTTAATACTTGTGGACACTGATAGAAAAATTTACTATCGTAATCCAATGTTTTATTCATTGGGACATTTCTCCAAGTTTATCCCACCAGGTTCAGTGTACATTGGCCATCAAGTTCAAGGTAATTCTCGAGGAGTTTATTTAGCAGCTTTTGAAGATCCAAGTAACCAGAAGGTTATTGTTATCCTCAATACAAATGATAATCCAGTTAACCTGGTTATCAACAAATTTGCTTCAGTTTCAGTTCCAATAACTTTGGATCCACACTCAATCAGAACATTGATAACTCCTTCCAGCAATGTCAGTTAACTGTTATTGTTGATAGGAAAATAATATTAAAAAAACTTTGCTCAATCATTTCACCTTTTTTATTTCCATCTCATTTCATCTGTGATACAAAGTTAAGTTACATTTTAAACATCAAAGAATAGTCAATTGTACAATTTTAATCTAAAATCCTTTCTACAAATTTTAATGCAAGTCTAAGTCGAGCCAAGTTTAAGTCTATAGACTTGGGTGGTTTATTTTATTTTATTTTATATTTATATTAGTTTTATATTAGTTTATTTTATTGAATTAGTTAATTATTTGACCTGACTTATCAAGTGTTTAATTCGAGGATTAACGATATTCATTAATTAGGTAAGTTTAATTAAATTAGTCTCTAAATATAATTCTAATTTTAGCTTTAATAGACTCGTTCAATTTTTGCTTTTAATGTTTTTACTGATACAGTCAAACCTCTCAAAATGAGACTTCGTGGGGATAGCTTTTTACGCAATTTTAAAGGCAAAGTCCCTGAAAATAACTGCAGAATGTAAACAATCTCTTGTTAGGTGTGAGATTGGTGATTAAATTTGTTCATTTCGTGAGTTTTTATTGAACTTTAGATTAATTTAAATTAAATACAGTTTACAAAGACCTTGTACTCTCATAATCTGACACTGAATAGGTGTTTAAATCATTCATCGTCAGTCTATCCATGTATTCAACTAAAGTCGGTGAATCTTTGATGCCTTCAGTTAACTGACTGTAAATTTGAGCAACATTATCATCTTCATCATTATTTTCAATATTCTCAATTATTAGAGATTCATCAACAATCTCTTCACGATAACCAGCATGATTCCAACAATTAATGATGGTGTCCATTGAAACTTCCGACCAAGAGTCATTTATCCATTTCAAAGCATCAAAAATATTGATGTTTTTCATGATAACATTGAGTGACATGTTTTGATCAAAATATTCCGAGAATCTTTGAAATAAATGTTGAACATATTTGTTTTTGAAGGCTTTGATTATGCCATTATCCATTGGTTGAAGATGTGAAGTAGTTTGTGGAGGTAACCAATAAAATTGAATATTAGGAAACTTATTCTCATCAACCTTATGTCCTGCAAAATTGTCAATGATGAGAGCTATTTTTTCATCTTTCTCTATTAATTCCTTGTGCCATTCAGATAGATAATGATCGAAGAGTTTAAGTGTCATCCAAGCTGAACTATTTGACTTATAAATTATTTGTAGATTTTGAAACTCGGAATAGTTAGCTTTCAATGCTCTTGGATTTTTAGATTTTCCAATTATCATAGGAATAAGTTTATCACCTCGATGATTGCATCCGATTAAAATTGAAACTCTTTCCTTTGATATCTTTGAACCAAAATGAGCAGACTTTGAAACAAAATATGTTTTGTTTGGCAGTTGGCGATAGAAAATTGCTGTTTCATCTAAATTGTATCTGAATTGTGGTGGATATTTGAGTATTATTGTTGGTATAATTTCATCTTTAAATTTGGTCACAATCTCCATGTTAGTGCTTGCTGATTCACCACTGAGTCTTCCATGTTTGATATTACATCGTTTTTTAAAGCAATCCAACCATCCATTTGAACCTACAAGTTCTTTGTTTTCATTTGCCGCCAATCTTTTAGCCTTTAGTTTTAACATCAAACTTGTTACTGGAAAACCAAATTCATTCATTTGTTTAATATATTGAACCATTTTTTGATCAAAAGAATCAACTGATTCAACAATTCTGAGAAACAAAAAAAAATTAAAGTGAGTATTGGTAAAATAATCAATGGTAGTAAATGACAACTTACCTCTTCATTTTACCTTTACAACCATTGACAGTTTTGATGATTTTCTCTGAGTTATTCAATATACGGAATACTGTTGCTCTGCTCACTTTGAATTCACTCATCAATTGGTCAACATGTTTATTTTTAGATTTCACTTGAATAAGTTTTAATTTCTCATGGTAGTTGAGATTACGACGAGGCATTTTGAAAAAACGTTAACTTAACTTTGAATGAAGTCTCTCAATGGTTACTATGTTGCTTGGCAACGTCTCATTTTAAGAGAGTCTCATTTTGACAGGTTTGACTGTACTTCAGTGTTTTAATAATGGATAAATCCAACCAAAACTAAGAAAAATTTTTGGCATCTTTTGACTTATTCCCAAAAAATATTAACAAAATCGAGGATAAGTCAATTGACGAAGAACCTGATAATTGTTTTGTGGTTTTAATGAGATTGTCACTTTTAATACCCGTAATCAATGATGATTCAATTGAAGAGGATGATGACGAAGATGAAAAGGAAATGGACGAAAAAAATGATGAGAAAATATTTGAAAACGAGGCTGCAAATGATGCTGGGATGGAGATGGAACAGGGTGAAGCAGGAGATGATAAATAATGAAAAAATATGGATAAGTCCAGATTGTATAAAAAACAAGTTATCCATTTTTTACGAGATCGGAACACTGGACTAATTGTTAGCAAAGAGCAAGAAAAAGAAATATATTCTCACTTTATGACTGGCTCTGGTCACAATTATTCTTGTTTCCTTTGTCAGGAGAAATGTAAATTTATTAATAAGAAAAAAATCTACAACGTAGAAAATCATTTACAATCCTTTTTCTTTTATGTTGATTGTCCCTTCCCTGATTGTTCAAAACATTTTACTACAATTAACGATTTCGAGAAACATTGTAAAAATCATCGTCAAATTTTTTAAAAAACTTCGATATAAAAATATTCATTCTTTAACTTCAAAAAATGCAGACTTATCCATGTTTAATTACAAACAATTTCAAATAAGTTTCATTTGATTATTGGGAGGCTTGAGTACCCAATGATTACCCGAGCCTACCAATAATTGATTGAAACATAATTGAAACAAGATTAAACTATGAATTTTTTCATTTATTAAACAATAATGAAGTAAAATCGATTTTTTGTCATTTTTCTCATGGATGTGTCTTATCAATTATCATGATCTTTTTTAAAATGCTTTATAAAATTGGTGACAACACCAAAAGACGAATTACAATTAGTTATTGGACAATTGATTTTAAAAAAATTGTGTGACAAATGGTTTTCAACAGAATAGATTTTCTGCTTATTTTTAAAACACAATTTGAGTGCAAAATACAACTATAATTTCGGCCATATCCTGTCATATATTTTTTATAAATGGCCTTTTCTTCATTTTTTGAGATGCTTTGTCCGGTTGTTAAATCTTTAATGAAATAACTAATTTTATCTTTATAATTTCTGGACTTATCCTGGTCACTTTGGTTCATCATTTTGGTCATAATTTTCATCTCCTTTTCCCTCATATTTTCCCAGTAGACATGGGTACTAAAAGTGATCAAAATTTGATAAAAACTCATTGTCATTAAAAACCATTGAAATTTGCAACCTAAAACTCAGTTCAATTAAAAGTTGAATATTTATTCTAGAGTCAGAAAAACTAGATTTTCAATACAGAAAAATTTAGGTTTTCAATACCAAAAATCTGGACTTATCCTTAGATTTTTTGACTGAAATGAATTTTTTTCTGAAATTTGAATTGAATTGAATAAATTTAATGATAGTAAAAAATAACACTAATATGAATAATTATAAATAGATAATAGAAATAATTCAAGTGATAGTTTCAAGGTCTGAAGATTGAATTATGCAATATATTTTTTGATGATCTACGATTTTATTCGTGGCATATTAGACCCATAAGGCTCCTCAGCGCTTTCTTTTAGACTCGATTTGATTATGAGTGATAACATGACAAGATTTCGGGTTGTGTTTATTGTGGTATGCATTCCAAGAGCTTATGCAGTAATCTATAAATATTGACTTTGCTTGCAAGCTTAGTCATCTCATACAATGAAATAACATCATGAATATCTTCAGATCAAGAGCATCTTCAATCATCTTTCATGCAATCAAAATTTGTGATTGATATTTGATCAATTTTAAAGGTATTATTTTTTAACACAAATACAAAGTTGCATCTTGGCGGCTGCTTAATGACGATTCATTCATCTATGGTGTATTGGTAATGGTAAATTATAAACGATAAATGATAAACCTAAATCAAAAAATACAATTTGATTTATAACAGTTAGTTGCGAGTTTTTTTTGAGTTTTGTTGACTAGAAAGTTCAGCTTTGGAAAAATATGAGACGATTTAAGATATTGTTGTCACTTAGATGACAATAGTTTACAATTGATCTGCGAATAAATCGATCAGCAAAGGCTGTTACACTTTAAAAATGATGAATTTCTGTTGTTAATTGTGATTAATTTATATGCATTTATTTCTAATTAATACGAGGAAATTGCATTGAAACGACACTTTAACATTGATTAATGAATCTGTAAGGATGAATTTGATCCATTATTGAAAGTTGTTTTAACACAAAATTTGATTCACATGCAAAAATTGATCTGAAAAAAATTAGTTTAATTAAATTTTAACTGATAATTGGGTTGAAAGCCTATGAATAACAATTTGTTGAAATGACGAATGTAAACTTTTTCAAGCAATTCATTTGTTCAAACAGTTTATCATCAACATTAAATGTTACTAACGTAAGCGAATGTTCAAGTCACCCAGCTAAAGATCTGAGACATTTAAGGTTTACCTTTTTGGTACAAATCGAATCAAGTTTTTCTTGTTATCATTAATATTATTTTAAAATATCATCATTATTAATGATAATAATCCATCCACCATCAACCAGTATCATCTTAATGTCCAAATGTTGATAAAAGATCATTTTCATCGAACACGAAATTTCAACGATTTCTCCAATGAAAATTACTCTTATGTGACAAAAATTAGTTAAACTAAATCAATTTTTACATCGATTAGTGCTTACATCCAGTTTCAAGCCTCTAATGACAGGACAAAGTAGTGAGTTAAGATTTAATTGAGTTTATTAATAACTTAAAATGTTTGGTTAAACAGATTAGCTGATAATCCATACAAGATCTAATTGAGAAACAATTATTGCTATTTCAGTTCATTTCAATGAGATTAGGATGGATTAAAACAAATTGCTCAATGAAGATCAAAATAAAATATTGAATCAATTGTACATAAATATCAGCATCTTGAACTAATGAACCATTGAAGGCCAAATGGCTGATCGCTAAATGCGCTTATCATAACTCTCGAGCGAATCCAGCTTTAATTTATTATGAGAAAGTCAAATTTTTTTATAATAATTTTCCATGTACTAACAGTTGAAACTCTTCAATCAATCACTGAAATTAAAAAAAATCTAAATTGGTCTAAATTAACAGCCAACTAGTTCAGTTATTTCAGGTGTAAATAGTAAATAAAGGTTTACTGATGAGATGATTGAATGTCAATACTAGGATTATTGCTAAAACACTGAAATTATCAATAAATAAATCATGAATATACTCATGTTTTCACAGTTTGCGAGCAGTAAAAGAGTGTGAATGAGATAAATGATGAGAAACGAAAGAGTAAACCATAATTCAGCAAAACAGTTCAGTTATGATACATTATACTGGTGACATTATCTGATTAGTATTTAGTGTCGACTGTAGCAGTATCATCGGCTGGTGCCTTGTTTGCTGCACCTTTACCTTGTGATTTAGAACCGAACATGGCTTCAATTTCTTTCTTGAATTTTGGGTGAGACAAGGAGTAAACAAATGGATCCACTGTGGCAGCTATTTTAGCGGTTAAGGCTGGGATCATGGACCAACCTGGATTGAGAAGAGCACCATTTCCAGTTGCACCAGTTAAAGCAATGGCTGCATAAGGTGTCCAAGAGACGAGCCACAGAGAGATGAGGACAGCTGCTGTTTTGGCAATTTTAATTTCTTCCTTTTGACTGTTTTTGCCCTTGTCCTTTCCTGATGTCCCACCGGTGGTATCTTCAATCTTTCTTAAAGACTTCTCTGAGGCACCAACAGCTTTATAAATACCATAGTAGGAGCAAACAATAATGGTTACTGGGACACACCAAGCAGCGGCAAAGTAACAAAAGACAAAAGCACGAACGGACGTTTCCTCAGCCAAATAGTCAACCGTACAACTGGTCAAGAATCCTTCATAGGTGTAACGATTAAAAATTTGGAGCAATGGTAAAGTCGCAAAGAAGGCTGAATAGGCCCAGATAAAGAGTACAGCCAATGTTGATGTAACTGTTGTTAGTCGACGTGGATTCAAAGGATTTGAGATGACATTGTATCTATCTATAGAAGCAATCGCAACCGAGAAAATGGCTCCACAACCAGTTAATCCACCAAGAAAACCATAAACATCGCAACCTAAAATGATTAAAAATGAATCAAATGAATGTTGGTTGAGTTAAAAATACTAACTATTATAGTTAGAAGTCTTTAACAAAGCATGAAAATTGTAACAAGTGTAAGCCTCTTTGCTCCTAACAATGTCCAAATGATGTTAAAACCCATTTCATCATGTCTAATACACTTTTAGAGCTCCTTTTCAACACTAATTCTGGTAATTATCCTCCTTCTTAAACTAATAATCTTATGATTTATTTTACAACTTAAGACTTCTGTTAAAAAATCACAGATTTGGGAGTTAATGGTTTATTTTTAATAGCATTAAGTATGTAACCTTGTCAGAATGATTGATTTCATTTCACAGGCTCAACTTATATCAATGAATCTATTTGAATAGGGAAGAAAGACATTGAAACAATTAACAGGACTTACCTAATGAACCAAGAGCAGGTCCACATTTAACTGAATTATAAATAAAAACAGGAGTTTTAAAGATCATAAAGAAGTCAGCAATTGCCAAATTAAACAATAATAAATTGGATGGACTTCGGAGTTTTTTGTTTCTGTGTATAAAAGAGAATAGATTAGCTTAAATCAATGATAATATTCATCATTTTGGTATAAAAAAAGGGACTAAATCGCAAAAAAATTAGGCCTAGACTCGTAAAACAAATGTATACAAAGCAAAATTTGTGGTTACGTTCAAAAGGCTTCATCTAATTTTAAATGGTAAGCATTGAGCAAAGAATAGAGTGTAAAAGTTAATCATAATTAGTTGCTGGATATGTATTTGAAATTAACACTGTAATTACTTAAGATAAAGGACAATAACCAATCCGTTGCCTCCACAGCCAAAAACAAATATTAAAAAGTAAAGTATGGCAAGAAGTAGATTGGTACAGGAAGAAGGTGGCTCAAACTGTGACCAGTGATCGGGGATATACTCTAATAGGTCAGTAGTTAGTAAATCACTCCAAATGGCTCCTTTATCATGGTCACAATAATAGATCGATTTAGTGGACGGAGCAAGTCGATCATTGGCTAAGCGTGATGCAGACGCTGTTAAAGTGGATGAACTTGCAGCAAGACCACTGATTGAAGAGGACATCATTTTACTTTCTCGGGTTCCCATCGTTGAGCAATTAATTATAATCTAAGCCAATCGGACGAAATTTGTTGGAATCAAGAAACAAAAATCAAGATTCGATGGCAATTTAAAGGTGATTAATGGTGAAAATTACAAAGACACAAAACAAAATGAAGATGTGATCAAGAAAATGGGAAAAGATTGAAAATATAAACAGGAGTGAAACAATTTGGCTGATTGTTGGATCCCAATGTATTATCCTTGATCTTGATCATCAATCCAAACACCACCTTAACTATCAAAAGTTGAAATGATCAAGTAAATAGTTGTTGTATGCTGATAAATCTGTCAGACAAACTCACACATTACCTTTAACTTATTTTTTTGTACTTTCATTAGGATTGATTGTTAGCAAATAGTGAACTGTTAAATCTGTTTTTCGTTTTTTTTCTTGTTCTTGCCCCAAAAATGAAACCTTTACAGTGTGATTTGTTGATTAATTGAAACACACAATACAGATAAACACTGATTAATCTGCTGGAAAAACTGGGAACCACCAAGAAACCATAACAATAATAAACAAGATTTAACTCGGTATATCAACTAAAACTGAAGCCTGAGTAAAACTTTGTTTCTTCATCTTTCTTAATCCAACAACTCTAAATCAATTCAATTCCTAACCATTTTCAATATGATTTACATTTACATTTATCTTCAAACAAAATCAATCCTTTCTCACTGGTTAAAAGCATTAACTTTAACCCTAATTTCGGGTCTCTCTATCCGATTAGCCATTCTATTAGGTTAACCAACTGTAATCATATTTAAAGTTGTCCTCATTTTTTGTCCACTAATCAATTGTTTCAATTTATTTTTCTTATTAATTTCAAGGACTCCATGAAAAGCAAGGTCTTCATTCTTTCATTTTTCATCATTTAATCTGTTGACGATCCAATATCAATTAAAGAAGTATTGTTTCAATATTGATATTGCAAGAGATTGATAAACTACATTGACCATGGTTATAATCACTTCAATCACGTTATTTCGCTTTTGTTGATATTAGTATTTCACTTTGCACCTAAATGGTGTTTATTACTCTGAGATTTTACTTTTGTTTCCAAATTATTGAATGGTTTCGATCATTTGTAAGCTTGTATCCAGAAAGCACCGAAAAAATAACATAAAATGTTTTATTTGATCCAACAGTGGATAGACACATGATACTCTTTATGATAACTCAAATTTTTCTCTATTAGAGCTTTTACACTTGATTTTGATCAGAAGTGGCTAATTTTTATCAAATTTCAGTTCAATTTCTCTAGGAAAAAACTAACTTCAATCTCCTTTCGGTAAACATTAATCAGAAAACTCATGAAATCATGATCTAAATGTACTAAGGAAAATTGAAGATCGTGAAATAGCTATGCCCGACGAATAGTGTGAATTAGACAGTGTAGCTATTCTCAGAGCGCGACAACTTGAGATTTTGGCTTAAAAGATCAATTTACAGCATACACTTGAAATTAATTTTTTAAATTTTGATTTAGGCGAAAATAAAACATTATTATTTTCAATTTGATTTTTACAAACCATGAATATCAGTAAAATTGATTAGTTTTTTCAATTATGTGAGCATAAACAGACAGTTCGTTATTAATATATGATCCCTGATCAAATGACTTTCAATTGTAGCAAATATATAAACAAATCTCAAGTCTAATTTGCCTGGTGTCAACTAATTTTTAATTTTTCAATTGTGTCAATCAGACAATTTTGTGGCCAAAGTAGTTTCTTAAGTGAGTATATTTTGATCTGGATTTTGTTTCTCTTTAAAGCTCCTGTGTTGTTGTTTTATGCAATGTTTTGCTAATGATTGTTTTTTATATTCAAACAGTTATCAATAATGGCTGGTGGCAGTGAACATGTCGATGAATCTCAATTTACTGGAATGTCAAAATATTTCAATTCCTATACTAATACTGGACGTCGAAATTGTTCCATTCTTACTCTTAGTGTCACAGCTGGTTTGATACTTTATTTCACTAAATTTAGGAAATCAGGAAAGCAAGAAGCCAAGAAATAATTGGTTCATATGGATCACAATTTTGATTAGTTTTGTGTTTTAGCTTTTATCAAAGCTTATTTAAAAGCGCAATCGGATATTATTTATTGGTACAAACAATGGAAGTTCTGTCTATGCGAAAAAAAGTTACTGTTAATATTAATAGAGTTATGTAATAAACTTGTTTCTATTACACTATGTGCTTTTGAGTTTTCATTTGCTATAAACTCTATTGAGTCCTCACGTTCTTCATTTCTTCGTGAACTTATCAAAACTGGGTGATGAAACAAGAAAAACTTTTTATCATGGTAATATGTAATACTCAATCTAATAATAGATTGTTTGGGCTCAATATACCAAAAGGCGAAAAGTAAATATGTTGTAGCAATTGAACTGAATTTCTTGTGGTGAACACTATGCATTAATAGATCGTCGCCCTGTTTAATTTAATGGTTTAATGATTTAATTTCAGGTTGTATTCGAAATAGAAAATGATTGTCAGAATACAACAGATGAATAAAGATAAAACAATGGCTCGGTGTTGGCTGATGGCTAATCAAAACTACGAAATTCATTATCCTCAAAGTCGATTCGCTTTTTTGTCTTTGACTCATCCGCCTTTGCTGTTTTTTTTTCTATCTTGACTCATGATCATTGGTAACAGCTTATTAATTAACCAGATTATTGAATAATTGTTGAATTTACGAGAAAAATTGTTGAATAAGATTCATAAAAATAAGCATTGAAGCAGTCTTTGGTTCAGCTTTTCTTCTTAATACCAAACCACACATTTTTGACGGACTGAAACATTGATATAAAAATTCACTGATGTAAGAAAGTTAATTTTCTGTATAATCAACTGGTTTACCTTGAGCAAAATTTGAGGAATTTTTTGATCTGTTACGAGCAAAGTCTTCAAAATAATTAGAGTAGTTTATAGTTGTTTTCCTGAATTTAGATGCATTCAACGAACTATCAATTATGAAAAACAATTAATAGATGGCTAATTCTGAACACTCTAAGTATCGTTCTGAAGTTTTGAATTATGTTTACTGAAAACATGACTGAAATTTAGTAACATTCAAAATCGATGAGAGGTAGATTAAGATGTAGAACGAGAAAGACCGAGAAAATAAATTTTCTCTGGTTTTGTTCCAGTTTCAATGGCGGTCCTGAGGTTATCATATATTTCAATCGATTTCTCGCTTTATTCAATTCAGATTCCTCTTCATCGGATCAATCTTCACTTGTTTCAACCGATGCTCTAGATGTTGGTCCCTAGCTCGCTGCTTAGATCTAATATTTGAGACCACCTTAGTTTCAGGTTCAGTAGGCTTGTAACATTTGTAATCTTTGTTCGGTGCAGGAACTGCTGGACAATTGAATAGCGTCGGTTCAAAAATCGGTGCTTTTTTGATTGAATAATTTTGTTAGATTGATGAGGTGATGATACTGATGTTGAGAAGATTGATTGGCTTTTCGTCGTCAAGAACTCTTTCCTGTTGTGTTGCTAAAAGTTCAAAGTATCGAGAACTCATTTGATAGGAAGACACATTGTATTATCGTAATAGTTTGATTTTACATGTTCAGGTGAGTGTCTCAAAGTGATCTAAAGATTGGAAATTTGACGTTTGATGGATATTACTTCACCCTGATCGCATGATTCCATATCTTTCAAGATACATTGGATCTTCAATCCTAGAAAAGTAGCAACATAAGAATAAATTAATAAATATGATAGAATACAAAAAGAATTAAAATGATAACAGAATATTGGCTTACCTGTGAGGTCCCGGTGGATGAGGAGGCATCTCTGTCGTAAGATTGTGATGGGAAGATCGGTATTGGCGCTGATAGAGTTGTATGATTAGTCGAATCGAATGGTTGATGAAATCATGGCTGAAATTAAGTAAAATTCAAAATCGATGAGTTGAAGCTTCTTTCAATTCTCAATTTCCAGCAATTCCAAGCAAAAAAGTTTGCCGTCAAAAGACTTCATCTCTAAAGAGCCAAAACTCGCCAAAAAGACCAACAAAGAAAGCACTTTTATATTGGTGTGTTTTCATATGAGTAAGCTTACATTTTCACTAGAGGTAACAAGAAAGAGAAGTAAATCTCTTTAAAACTCTGTTGCTTTCTTTTTCTCCCTCTTCTCGCTCCTTTCCTTCCCTTTCTTTCTCTCTGTCTAAACTATATAATATCAAGCTGTTGTGAAGCTCAAGTGAAAAGAGCCTTATTTTTGTGCCTTAATTTTATTTAATTTAATTACTTTCCTTTATGTTGACTGATTGTACTTTACATGCTTTTTAGTCATACTATAACCTCTGTCACTTACAATAAAATCAATTGTTTACTTGTTTACCTGATTCATGAATTTGTATAAAGTTAACTCAATTATTCAATGAAAAAGTTTATTTTAGAGAAAAATTTTCAAACTGGAATGACTGTTCATCCACTTTCTACCAATCCAACGACAGCCACTTCAACTTTGATACAAACATTTCAACCACAATTGTCCTCATCGTCTTCACCACAATCTCTATCACCTTCAACTCTATTTACAATTAATGGATATAACACCAATGGTCCATCCAAGTCCCATCAACAGGGTAAGTTGTCATTTCACCTTTACCTACATTTTCATTTAGTGAATATTCTTTGCTCTTGTTTTAACATTATTTGTGGCTCTGGTTTTACCTTGTTTATTCAATTAATCCTTGTCGTTCATCATTAAGATAAAAGATGTTCCATCCTCAATGTGTTAACCCGGTTTACATCTGCCTTTAACTTGTGGATCAAGAGAAACTTTTCTCTCACATTTTCTCTTTTTTCTTCTTTTTCTTTGATTCTGACTTCTCTAGTTATCGATTTGTCTCCGTTTTACTTGTTTTTGCTTTTTATATCCTTCACATTTCTTTACATTAATTTAGAGTCAAGGCCATTTTTTGTATTACTTTAAGAAAGCTGGAATAGTTGAACAGTGGAGAGTCAGGCCATGTATTTAGGCCGATCTAAGTCTTGGACAGGATTGATTAAACATGGCTGTTGCACATTTTGATATTTTAATTCTATCGTACCTTTAGTGATCTTATTTGTTTCACTAACTTTATCTCAATTTGAGTTGTTTTGAACAAGTATAGGTATAAGTATAAACGTTCATTTCTCACTCAAATAGATTATACCTAAATCATTGGTTTTTATCCATTTGGAGGTCGTCAGTGAGCTGTGAGTCTCAATTGTTTCTATCCTGTCCTTGAAGTCTTGGCTATTCAAGTTACACCGTAATATGTTTATTTGTAATCTTGCTGTTTATGATGGAGACCAGATATCGAGTTAGAGAGAAAGAGAGAGAGAGAGAGAGAGAGAGAGAGAGAAAAAAAGCATAGAGAGAAGATAGAAAGAAAGAACCCAAAAGAGAGTATAAAATGGATGTTAAAATCTGTTGGCTTAACCGGAAAAATTTTTGCATTGACTGTTAGTCTAACCTCTGCGAATGAAATCTCTTCCCTCTTTTGTCCCCTCTTTAGCTTTTTCTTCTTTCTTCTCTGTCTGCTTTCTTTCTCTGGTCCTATTCTCACCTGAAGATAGAAGTCAACAAGAGAAAGAGAAAAACCTAAAATATTAGCGAAGGAGAGGAAAGATAAGATGTTATATCAAGAATATAATACATTGAGACTTTATCCTGGGAACTTGTCTGGTTAAATTGGTAGGAAGGGAGAGAAGAAAAACATAGAACGGAAGAATGGAGAAGTGAAAGAGAGGGATGAGGGACAGAGAAATGACTTTGGTCTTTTAAACCGTCAGCTGAGTTATGCGAATGAGAAATATAAGGTTAGAACTACAAGACGAAGAAGAGACTTGACACAAGTCATTTACTTAACAGTATTGAGAGAAAGATAGAGTAACAAAGAGGAAATGAAACGAAGTAAGGAAAACAAACCGACCTTTCTTTTCCTTCTATCTCTCACCCTCTTATTTAGTTCATGCTTATGTATATGTTCAGAGGATAACCTTAATTGAACTAAACTGAGATAATCTAGATTCGACTCGGTGCAATCTTATGCACAATTTTGTGGCAAATTATCGATCTTCTATCATAATTCAATTTAGCTTCTGCCTTTCAATGTATTTTATCCGTTCCATACCTTCTATAATCTCCACTCTCCATTTTATCCTTTATTTGTTTATCCAAATAAAATTTGTTGATCTCAATTGTTATTTTCACTTTTGTTTTTAATTGTTTACAGTATTGATAATCAAAGTCTGAAATAATATACAAAGCAAACCAATCAAACTATTTTTGTTATCCTTTTAAAGCTTAAGTAATGATTAATCGAAACCTTTTGTTTTTCTCTCCTTATTCATGCTTCCCTTTAGGAGTTAATTCAAATCAATTAATTCACTCTCCAGCTAATAATCCCATCAATTCCATTGGCAACCACAATGATTCCGGTTTCCAACAGTATCGAACATCAGTTTCCGCCAATGCATCTTCTAGTCTTGAAGAAAGCCTTCTCAAAAGTGCACAGTCACATAATACCCAGTCTTCTGGACCCTCCACTGAAAACCCAGGATCATCATCATCATCAGCCCCCGCCAATCTCACTAATCACATTCTTCCATATAGTGAGAGGTTAAGATCAGCAGCAGTAGCTGCTGGATACACTTATAATCCGTTCATCGGTTCACCGTCTCATGCAAATCCATCAGCATCTATGCCACCATCACAATCCTCTCAATCTTCCCATCACAATCTCACGACACATATGCCTCCTCATCCACCGGCACCTTACAGGTAACCCATTATTCTGTTATGATTTTAATTCTTTTATATATTCAATCATATTTATTAATTAATTTCCATGTTGTTACTCTTTTAGGATTGAAGATCCAATGTATCTTGAAAGATATGGAATCATGCGATCAGGATCAAGTAATATCCATCAAACGTCAAATGTCCAATCTTTAAATCACTCTGAGTTATCACCGGGACATGTAACATCAAACTCCAATGTGCCTTCCTATCAAATGAGTTCTCGATACTCTGAACTTTTAGCAACACACCAGGAAAGAGTTCTTAACGACGAAAAGCAACGATTACTTGGTCATGGAACAAACTCTAACCATGTCTCCACCCATTCTCATCAACATCCTTCCAACCATCCTTCCAATCATCCTCCAGTCTCTTCTTCCGGTCCACCTAGCTATAAAATGAATACATCAGTACTATCTAATTGCGAACTTGGAATTCGGAATCGTGAATATTTAACCAATGGTAATTTATTGGTTGGAATGTCTGCAAGAGAAATGAATAGCATGTCAAATTCAAATAAGAAACAGCTTAATGGATCTGTTACAATAAGTAATCCCGGTACAAAACCTCTTAACTTAACTTCAAATAGTACCGTGATTAGCAATAAAGACAGAACCAATGCCATCTTAATCGATATTAAAAAGGATCAAACTGCTCATATGATTTCTAACCAATTTGGTCATCAATTAATCCAGTCTTCTACTACATTCACAACAAACCCAGTGACAACCATTTCAACAGCACCAGTAAACAACCATCTTTGGAGGCCACAAATAAATGAACGAGATGATTCAAGAGTGGGCAATAGAATCAATCCAGATTTTGTTAAAAGAAATAATGCATTCGAGAATCCGATAGATTATAGTTATACTAAAAAACAACGTTTCAGTGACCTGCCGAGTGATTTTTCTCTTAAGTCTTCTATTGAAATTTCATCTCAACCATTCGTTCCGTGCAACCCATCACCTTTTCTCATCAACACACCGGATCATGTTTCACAAATGATTTTATCAAGACCTCAACAAACTCAGCAAACTCAACCATCTCAACCCCTCCAATCACATCAACCACACCAACCACCTCAATCCACTCAGTCTTCTCAATCGACTCAAAAACCATCAGTATCTTCACCTCATCAATCTAACTTAAACATTCAATCAAAAAAATCAACGATTTGTGAGTTGACACCATCAAATCGACCAGCAATTCCAGTTTATCCTACACCGCACAAAGATTACAACGGTTACAAGCCTACTGAACCTGAAACTAAGGTGGTCTCAAAATTAGATTTATTAGAAATGAAATTGAAAGCAAGGAGAAAGGAGCGTGCCGAGAGGCCAACATCTAGAGCATCGGTTGAAACTAGTGACGATGAACTAACATGCAGTGAAGATGAATCCGATGAGGAAGAATCCGAATTGAATAAAGCGAGAAATCGATTGAAATATATGATAACCTCAGGACCGCCATTGAAATTGGATGCAAAACCAGAGAAAATTGATTTTCTCAGTCGACTTGGATTGGTAACACATTCAACCAAGCGCAATTTACTCTTTAACAAGCATGTTTCTAGTAGACGATTCCATTCAAATCTTGATGCTAAACCATTCGATTTGACTAATGTGCCACAACCTGAACTTTACGACTCTGAAAACATATTTTTACAACCAACTGATATTCTACCGAGTAGTTTAAATAAAGCTGAAGTAAAGTTTGATGATAAGTGCGGCTACATGAACATTTTGGGCCTTAAACATGAATTGAATGCTGAAAAAATGAAGGAACGTGAACTACTTTGGGAAGGTGTTCTCGAGGAAAGAGACAGACGAAGATCAATTAATCTAAGTTATGGTAAAATCACCAATAATCTCTCCAAAGAAACTTTAGACAAGTGGCTAAACTATCTTTCGTCTCAACCCCGAATATATCCTGAACGATTTAACAAAAATGGAGTTATCAATGGCAGCGCCAATAATAGTACATCTTCATCTTCATCCTTCTCTTTACCATCTTCCCTCGAGAACTGCACTCCTTTAGCTGTTAACAATTCATGGCACAATCAAAGGCGTACTTTGAATGTGACTGACCGTAAACAATCAAAGTCTAATAATGCTAAACAAGGATTATTGAAATCTTTGGATAATAAAGAGTTTGCTCAAAAAAATTCAAAACAAAAAGCTGAAGCAGTTGAAAGGATGAAAGATGATTCGCAATCAATCAAATGTGTTAATATGAAATCTGAATCGTATTCGGATCCTGGTCATAAAGATAAATCGACAAAAAATTCTGAATCTAATCACTCTACTGGCTTCAAATGGCCGGGTATTGAAGCTATCTTGGAAGCATATGAAAAATATACAATTGGTACGCATCGATGTGACTAATTAATTTTCCTTAAATTGATTCATTCCTTAATTTGCCTCTTCTTATCGACACCTAATTTCGTTTATCTTATATTTTCTCTCTTTTTTATCTTACAGAAACACAATTAGAGAAAGAGTTCCTATCGGAGAGAATTTCAGAGCTGAAGTCAGCAATAAAAGAAAAAAATGCCCACGTCGAAAAATTAACAAAAACGATCACTGTAAGTCGATCAGACGTTTTATATCTAAACTTCAGCTAATTAGCATACTTAAGGTTTTCTTATGCTCTTGGCTGCACATGAATTTATCACGTTTGCGTGTTACTAATTTTTTATTTTTATTTTAATTTTTCTTTTAGAGTCTCACAAATGTTCAACGTGAACTGGACGAAGAACGTGAAGAATATGAAAATAAGATAAATCTAATAAAAAGGAATCTCAATCAAATAGCTCACTCATTGGAAGTCTTCAAAATTCCTAACCAATAATTTAAATGCATACAAAATTTTCATTATTTACTGTAAATAATCATTCATCGAAACAGAGATCATTTTAGATTGTGTAATAAAATGTGTCCAAAATGAATCAATACTGTCCACAACGATCAACATCACCAATAACCGGTCTTCTTCAATAACACTAGAGCAAGAATTTCATTTTGTTTCATGTTAAATGTAGAGCTTTTAGAATCTGAGCCACCGTGTTAATGAATTTATTATATTTTTAACATGTTATTCGGGTTCATTTCATGGAGGTTTTTTAATTTAATGGGTTCATTTATTGCTGACTTACTGTCCCTTGTGATTTGTATAGCAATTTGATTTTGAAATTTTTCTCTCAACCAATCAATATTCAATAATATTATTAATATCACATGGCATCGGCATTTAGATGATCTCTGATCATTAATCAGTTCATTTTTGTTTAATCAAGACGTACAAAGATGCATGCAATTAGCTGTATACAAATAGTGAGAGACAATGGAGAGGACAGCTAAGTAAATGAATGCAAGTAACTCTCACTATCGATTAGGTTTATCAATATTAAATTGCCTTTGTAATTAGTGAAATACATCCATAACGTTAATAAGTTATCGCCCGCTGACGAGCAATATTTTACAATTAAACAGCTATTTCAAGAAACAAATGGGTTTTAAATTACTTGTGACTGAATATGTCCGGGCCAATAATTACAAATTACTGAACACTTTAGTATGTTTTGCCAGTTATGCTGGAATGGGAAGTGTTTATACCCTACTTGGATCATCTTTACTTGATTACCAGATTTTAATAAATGAAAATTTCCAAACAATGGCTACTCTTGTCCAACTAAGAGCGATTGGGGATACTGTTGGATCGATCTTAGGTGAGTTGGAATTATTTTATAAAAGCTTAATAATAAATTAATAAATATTCAATTAAATTTTCATCATTTAGCTGGATTTATTGAAAAATATATCAGCTTAGTTCTGTGTCTTAGTTTATCAAACCTGGTTCTTGGTATTTCCATAATTGTATCTCCATGGTTCAACAGTTTCTGGCCATTATCGGTAGCTACAATATTTGGTGGATTATCTCTTGGTTTTCTCGAAATATGTTAGTACCAAAGTTAACCAAATTATCATCTAATATAATAATCATTAGTCTATCTAATTTTATTTATCATTTAACTATATTAATCGAATCCAAAAATTATTAGTTTGCCATGTTTACATCGCGCTGTTATGGAAAGCACAATGCACTAACTACCTTCAAGCTCTTCACCTATTTTTTGATGTTGGTGCTTTGGTTGCTCCGTTGATTACACGGCCGTTTTTACTTCCCATTGATTTTGATGATTACAATAACCGACATGGAATCAATTCAACTGATAGTAAATCTTACACCAAAGATGATGTTCTCATTCAATATCCTCACCTCATAATGGGACTATTCCTGGCTGCTGTTGCCTTTATATTTTTCATTATTTTCATCTATGGAAATGACCAAATTGAAAGTGATGATGATAATGACAAAGATAAAGAATCAACTAATAACAAACCAAATGACGGCCAGAGATCCAAACAAATACTGGCCATAGTTCTGACAGCGTTAATTGTTAATTTTGAATTTGGTGGACAAAATCTCGTCAGTAAGTAAAGATTGTTTATGTTGCTTATCATAAACATTCTGTTGCGGTAATACTTAATAAAAATCCCTTTCAAATATTATTCTCTTCATTCTATTTTTTTTATCTATCAAGGTTCTCTTGGTCCAGCCTTCGGAGTTAAATCTAATTTAAGATTAGACAAAAAAGAGGCTACCCTTTTGGTGACCATTTACTGGTCAATTTTAGGGTTGTACAAACTCGTGTTGATTCCGTTGACAATATACTCTACTGATGTAACTTTGATCATATCCCATGTGATAATAGCAATTTGTGGAGCTTCAGTTATGGCTTCTGGAGCTGACAGCAATTTAACATTGACTTTGATCTCATTTGGCCTTCTTAGCATTGGCTTTGCGCCTTGTTTTGCTTTATGTTTCGGTCTTATTCAGAAATTCTTTACAGTTTCAAGTAGAGTTACTTCACTGATCTTCTTCTTTGGAATTTTGGGTGAATCGATTCACCCATGGGTTGTGTCTAGATTCATGGAATCATCTTCATCTTTTTATACTAATTATTTTGCAACAATGGTATTTATCGACTCATTTTTATGCATATTTCTTGTAATTCTCATGGTTAAATTTTACAAGAAAAGTTCTCCAATTAGAGATGAATATCAAGAATTTTCAAACTGAAATAACTTTCTTTTTGCATGGGCTTCAAGACTCATGAAAATAAAATGTTTAAACCTCCTGGAGTATAAATCGAAGCTGCTTAGCTTTATTTCATTTACTTATTAAAACACATTGCGCACATTGCGCAAACAAAAGCGCTGTTTATGGACCTCCTGTGAGATAGAATGATATGAAGTCTCATTATGTTTTTACATTCATTTCAATCCCTAAGGCAGAGGAAAGATTCAAACTGGGCCAGCTTTCATCTCTTAATACCTTGAAAACAATCAGTTGTTAACAGATTTCTAATATGAAGAAATTATCTTATATCATGCAATGCCGGAGAATGAATGCGAAAGGTGAACAAATGGAAAGAAGTTTTAAGTACTATCTGGTTGTTATATCTATCTAGTTGAACAGATAGTGGTTCTATCTGTTCAATGTTGCAAATCGTTTAATATTTCTGCAGACTGTACGACTACAGCACACTTGAACACGAGGCTTCAATTTGTCTAATACACATCAGCAACAAAACTGAATATAATATTATTCGATGAAACAATACTAGTAACCATTAATGTGTTTTCAGAAATTTTCAAATTGAAAATTTCAATCTTTCAAGGTGCTCTTGGTCCAGCTTTTGGCGTTAAATCTAATTTGAGATTGAACAAACAAGATGCTGCTCTTTTGGTCACTATTTACTGGTCAATTGCCAGTATATACAGGCTCGTGTTGATTCCATTAACAATATACTTTACAGAAGCAACTCTAATCATATTCAATGTAATAATAGTGATTTGTGGAGCTTCAGTTATGGCTGCTGGAGCTGACAGCAATTTAACATTGACTTGGATCTCATTTGGCCTTCTTAGCATGGGCTTTTCACCTTGTTTTGCTTTCTCTTTTGGCCTTACGATATACGATGGCTTTACGATATCAAGTAGAGTCACTTCACTGATATTCTTCTTTGGAACTTTGGGTGAATCTATTCACCCATGGATTGTGTCTAGATACAGTGCGTCCTCGCTTAAGTTATATCCTCGGTTAAGTTATATTTTTTGTTGAGCGTTTTAGCTCAATGGGTAAACTGGTTAACTTACTGGCTAAGTGGGTTAGCAATGGAAACGATATAACAAAATGTATTGATTTAGTTGAAGTGATCAAGATTATTTCTGAAAGCTGGTTTGATTTAACTTCCCAAGCAATTATAAATTGTTGGGGCCATTGTAAGTTGCTACCAGAAAATTAGTAAAACAGAGCCATCTTTTGGCTTTTTGCCCTAAGCTTCACCCACAAAAATTATAACTTAAGCGAGGACGCACTGTACTTGAAATCATCCTCATCTTTTTATACCATTTACTTTGCAACAATAGCATTTACTAATTCATTTTGACAATAAAGAGTAATTGCTTTTCAATAAAAGAGTGGCACTTTATCTGAACGAATACTGATTTTAAGCGCTACCATTCACGAGATATTGATTTTCAAAATTAGAAAGAGAATAAAAGAAAAGAAAGATAAAATATTGTCGGTCAAGAGATACCAACTTTACCTATTGTCTCATTGCTAGTCGCTAGTGGATCTTTATGGTACTCTTTATGTTAACTTAAATCCTGTCCCTACTGTCTACTTTAATTTGTTTAAGAATGAGGTGAATTTGAATTTAAAAGTAGAATGACGAGTCCTTTAATTATATTCAATATCCGTTATCCCGTGATCCTGGCCATCATTTTACTCTCCCTTCAATCTAACTCTTCATCATAATCACCGCCTTTTCCTCCTAACGATATTGGTAAAGAAAGATTAAAGGATACATTTTCTAGAATGAATTACAGGTAAGACGCAGTTAAAATTTTATTGAACCTTTCTTATTAATTTAGTTTTGTTTTGCTTTAGCAGTAATTATTTCACCATATATATCAGGTCGTCGATCATTCACATTAGGTAGCAAAATTCGGGCTTGACGTTGTACCTCAGGATCAATTACAGCTACCGCTAAGCCTACATCTTCACCCACTTGAGCTATTATACAACCTCTAGGGTCGGCTACCATTGAACGTCCCCATGAAGCTTTTTTGGCATCTTTCCACTCAGTCAGACATGCACCGATGACAAAACACTGATTCTCTATGGCACGAGCACGAACAAGGGGCTCCCAAAGAGCTCCTCCATTGCTTACTGAGTATTCCGAAGGATATGTCAAGACATCGGCACCAGCTTTTGCCAAGGCTATTCCAAACTCAGCAAACCTTATATCATAACAAATACCAAGACCAACTTTACCGATTGGAGTTTCGACTGGTGGGACTAATTCATCAGCAGCAATACAAATATTAGACTCAATAACTCGAGCATCACCAGGAGCATCTACATCGAAAGGATGAATTTTGCGATAAACTGAAACGATATCTCCTTCGTTATTGATCATGAGGTGAGTATTGTATTTTCTTCCGTCATCTGAAAAAAGATTGAAAAGTCAATTATAAACACCAAACACAGATGAAGCATAGTATTAGGTAATGCGTTTTTAAATGAACCCATAATGTTTGCAACAAAATAACATTTGAAGTAGAGCGTTGTTCATAGAATTGTTTTCAGTGCTTTATCCTAGGAATATTCATGAAGATTAGATCAATGAATTAATGAACAGAAATAAGATTATCTAATAAACAAGTCTTAAAAATTTGTCACTGTTGATCCAAATCTTACCAATGTGTTCTGGTTTCTCATGAAAGCCACCAAGTGAAAGCCAAATATTTAAAGATCTAGCTAAATCTCGATACCTATTAATCATAGGACCATCAATCGGTTCCAACGAAGCAGTGACTTGCTTCTTACTGATAACAACTGAATCGAAATTTTCGGGTAAAAACGCCATTGAACATCTATATGAAGCAGCTTGGCGGATTAACCTTTCACTTGCACGATGGTTTGCCTCTCTGTCAGAAGTGCTATTGAGCTGAAGAACGGCAATCAATGGTTTAGCATCAAATGAAGTCTTTTCACTAACAAGGGATCGGCACGAACTGTCGCTCGAGTTTTCTAATGAAATATATATTTTTGGATAGCCCATCAGGGGTACATAAAAAGTGAAAAATAGTAGGTGCCCGTTTTTTGATTAACGAAAGTTATGGGCATTTTCATGGCGAACCCAGGCATTTCTCTATGCATTATGCTGAAGTTTTTTGATGAAAACAAAATTTAAAAATATTTTACGAATTTTCGTACCTCGCAATCAGACAATTATTTCACCAATCAGCTACCCTATGGAGGCAATTATGACAGTTACTAACCACAAACATAAGTTTTTTTCATCTAATGTTCATGGTGCGAAAATTCGTAAAATATTTTTAAATTTTGTTTTTATCAAAAAACTTCAGCTTAATGCATAGAGAAATGCCTGGGTTCGCCACAAAAAGGCCAATAACTTTCGTTAATCAAAAAACGGGCACCTACTATTTTTCACTTTTTATGTACCCCTGATGGGCTATCCAAAAATGTATATTTCATTAGAAAACTCGAGCGACAGTTCGTGCCGATCCCTTGTAAGAAGTCTGATTGATTGAATTGAAGATGAACTACATTTCGAAGAAGTTAATGAACTGATTAATTTGCGAGCAAACATTGTCACCAAATTTAAAAAAAGTAACGAAGTTTCTATCGGACTGTGGTGGCAGATCAAAAAGCAAGTAGAGAAGAAAACTCAACAATTTGATTTAAATTGTTGGTCAATATGATTTGGCACATCAACGATCATTGCGATCCATGTAAAATCTGAAGAGCATTTATAAGCGACTTTCATGTAACAATTTTGCACAATCACATGAACTGATGACTACTTGATGTAACTACAAGAACAATTATTGCTTAAAACTTAACATTTGAGCAAAATATTTGATAAAAATGTCGAAATTTGGTAATTAAAATCAATTTTATTCCGAAAATTATGCACAATCACCTAACTTGATAACGATTCGAGTAAACCACAAAACCCAATACAGTAATAAAAATTGTTCCCCCCTGTAGTTTACTTAGGGGTGGTTAGCAACAATTTAATAGTAAATCACTCCATCTAAATTTGAAATCATCTAAAAATAACGACTCCCGTTAATTAATATGATACAATGTTACTATTAATGAAATATCAATTGATTCCTTATTGCTCTGTAAGATAAATATGAATACATGTTAAAGATTACAGTAATCTGATTATTATTAAATAATGTATGAAAGGGGTAATCGCAAGAAATTTCGCCTTTCGAGTTCTTTTCGAGTAAGACAATTACTACTAAGTCTCTAAAAAGATCTTCATCATCTTCACTTGACAGTTTTTAATAATTAAATTCAAATGATAAATTAACGTAGTTTAATTTACGCAATTACTTCGATTTTTAGTAAAACAATTGATCAATTTTCAATCTTTGATTTGAACCCGATTTCATGATCAAAAACATTGGTTAACGTACTTAAATTGTGATTTAATTAAATAATCATTTTTTGAAGGTTTTTAAGTTCTAAATTAAATTGATGATTGAAATGATTTTTGATAGTTTTAATTGCGAAAAGTTAATATCAATCGAAAGCTCAAATTCCATATGATGATTGCAAAAAATTTGAAAACCCTAATCATTACCATTATCTAATTATTTCTAAATAATTAAAGATTCATTTAACATTGAATCTCAATAGAAATGAAACTTTTACAGTTTCGTGGATTTTTCTGAATTTTGATAAAAAAGTCTATTTAAAAATCCCATAGAAAATTATCAAAAAAGGACAATTTCATAAGTAATCAAACATAATAATTAAATAATGGTAATGATTAGAGTTATCAAACTTTTGTCAATCATCATATGGAGTTTAAACTTTCGATTGATGTAGATTTTTCTTAATTATGATTTGCTGATCATTTTTAATCAAAAAATTAATTTACAACTTAAAATTTTCAAAAAATGATCATTTAATTGAATCACAATTTAAGTATGTTAATCAATGTTTCTAATCATGGAATTGGGTGCAAATCAAAGAGAAAACATTGATCAATTATTTTAGAAAAAGATCGAAACAATTGAAAAAATTAAAATATTTTAATTAATCGTTTGAAATCAATTATTGAAAAACTTTCAAAGACTTTGTGGTTTACCTAATATTAGTAGCGTTGTATTGTTGGGATATTTTTAAGGAAAATGAACAACGAGAATAACAATTTTCATGGTGCAAAAACAAATATTGTTCTTAGTTCTTAAAATAGGAACAGGCACAAGAACATGAACAAGAACTGTACGAATCGAAACAAAAACCGAAATCGAGACCAATTTTGGGGGTAAAAGGGTATCATGAGGAAAATCTGGTCAAAAAAATCAGAGGAAGACTTCGAATTAACCTCGACAATCAACTGAAGAAAAAAATTTTGCGAATGACTGATGGCCGAATCTTCCCTTCACTAAACCTCTGAATTTGTGCCATAATTTCCGTGCATAGGTTAGGGTTTAACTTGAATCCCTCTGCTGTTTAGGGGTGACTTCAGGCACTCATTTTGCATTTATTGCGTCACCTTTGCTCTTTTGCTCCTCGTCTGATCACTCGAAATAGCTTTGTTTTTGTGTCGGAGGTGATTCTGGTTCATCAAAATAAGATGGTTCTACCAAATCTACAAAATTGTTGACTACTTTTCGTTTAAGATATTATGGCGATGAATAGTGGATGTGTTAGATTTGGTTGGTCAATATGGTGAAAAAGTGATTTAAAAAACGGTTAACTCCGCAAAAATTTTTCACATTTGCCATATAATTTTAAGAAAATCGAAATTGAAAATTGATGTGTAGCAACAATTTTTATCGACGAAAAAGTTTCTGTTTTCTAACTCTTACGTTCACAGAATGCAGAAGGTTTGCATTAAAATTGAACTTGATCAAATTATCAAGCTATATCAATTTACAACTTTTTTTCAATTATTCAAGGAGATATAGCCTGAAAAATTCCACCCCCTTAGATTCATCTTTAGAGCCCGCTGTGACCAAATTGGCCGTAAGATTTGACCATTCTAACATTAATCAAAGTTTTTCAACACAATTTATCAGAAAATCGACATTAAAATGAATTTGACGAATGAGTTTAAGCTGACCACCTCTTTGTATAATCTACTTCATTTTAATTAAAAGTGAATTTGGATTTGAGAGTAGAATGGCAAATCCTTGAATTCTATTCAGTATCCTTTATCCCGTGAGCCTGGCCATCATTTTACTTTGCCTTAAAATCCAACTCTTCATCTTTCCCACATTACAATATTAGTGAAGAAAGATTGAAGGATACATTTCTAGAATGAATTACAGGTGAGACGCAGTTTAAATCATTTTTATTGGACCTTTTTTTATTAATTTAGTTTTGTTTTAATTTAGGAGTAATTACTTCACCATATACATCAGGTCGTCGATCATTCAAATTAGGTAACAAAATTCGGGCTTGAGCTTGTACCGCAGGGTCAATTACAGCTACAGCTAAGCCTACATCTTCACCCACTTGAGCTATTATACTACCTCTGGGGTCGACTACCATGGAATGGCCCCATGAAGTTCGTTTACTATTATGATACCCAGTCTGACATGCACCTACAACAAAACATTGATTTTCCAAGGCACGACAACGAAGAACTGGTTCCCAGATAGCTGATCCGTTGATTAATGAATATGCCGAAGGATATGTCAAGACATCGGCACCAGCTTTTGCCAAGGCTATTCCAAGCTCAGCAAACCTTATATCATAACAAATACCAAGACCAACTTTACCGATTGGAGTATCGACTGGTGGGACTAATTCGTCACCAGCAATACAAATAGCAGATTCAATAACTCGAGCATTACCAGGAGCATCTACATTGAAAGGATGAATTTTGCGATAAACTGAAACGATATCTCCTTCGTTATTAATCATGAGGTGAGTATTCAATTTTCGTCCATCATCTGGAAAGAAATTGAAAAGTAAATTATAAACACCAAACACAGATAAAGTATAGCATTAGCATGTGCATAAATTAACCCATGATATTTATAAGAAAGTAACATGAATTTGAGCGTTGTTCTGTGATCGCCTGAGTGTGAGTCTGGAATATCAATATCTAGAATATATCTGAATTACTATCATTTCATCTTGCATTTCTTTTCTTTTGCTGGGTTGCGTTTTTACACAAAAAGATGCACCGAAGCAAAGTCTATTGATTTAAATAAAGAGTGTTGTGTATCATTGCTGGCAGTTATCTCTTAAGAGTGGAGATCAAACAACTAATAAAGATGGAAATGTCCAATGAAAATCTTGACCTTTACCATTGGTTTGGCATGTTGAGTTTGAATAAGATGTAAATCGCAACATTCTTCAGGAAAATTCAACAAAAATTGATTAATAAACGGTTGCATGCTCTTATCAAATTCAGATTGATAAAATTGACGAAAAATTATGCAATGATATGAAATCTGTTTCATTGTAAAAAATAAGACTACATAGAAACTGGTAAACTCTGCTTATTACCGGATTTAATCAAAATTAGATTGATTTTGTTATCAAGGAATATTTTATCGATAAAATTTTAACCTTGTACAACTTTCAACATTGTTTCAATTTATTGTTGAATAAGGTTACCTTTCAAGTCAAGCGAAATAGAATGCAATTTTTGTAAAAATTATTTTTAGCACTTTTTCCCTGGGAATATGCATGTAGATTAAATCACTGAATGAAGAGTATTGATAAAACAGAACTAAGGTTATCTGATAAGCCAGTGATATTTGCTACCACTAAATCAATTCTTACCATTGTTTTTTGGTTTCTCATGAAAGCCACCAAGTGACAGCCAAATATTTAAAGATCTAGCTAAATCTCGATACCTATTAATCATAGGTCCATCAATTGGTTCCAATGAAGCAGTGACATCTTCTTTGGTGAAATTCATCGCATCGAAATTTTCGGGTAAAAACGCCATTGAACAGCCATATGAAGCGGCTTCTCGGATTAACCTTTCACTTGCACGATGGTTCGCCTCTCTGTCAGAACCGCTGTTAAGCTGAAGAACAGCAATTAACCGTTTAGCATCAGGTGATGTCTTTTCACTAAGAAGTCTAATTGATTGAATTGAAGATGAACTACATTTCGAAGAAATCAATGAACTTATCAATTTACGGGCAAACATTTTGAATAAATTTAAAAACAAGAAGGACAGAAGACTGAACAATAATTTCAATTATTGTTGACTATGTTTTGAAACATTAAACATTGTGATTCACATAAAATTAGAAGAGCATTTATAAGCGACTTTCACGTAACAATTATCACATAACCTGATAACGACTATTAAACGACAAAAACAATCATTGCGTAAAATTTAACATAACGAAATATTTGATAAAAATGTGTGTCGAAATTTATAATCTAATAAAAAAACACTCCTATGGTTGGATGGTTGGCAACAATTTATACGCGTGTACAATGGTTAATCACTTTATCGACTAGCTATTAAGTCGTCAATGAAATCATCAAAATTTTGATTTAGTGTTTTCCTCTAACTGCTACCTACACAATTCACTACATCAAACAATCGCATCATCTCTGTTTGACGATCAAATATTAGACAATATTTTCAATGGTTTGAAACACCAGACAACGGGATTCACATGAATAAGAAGAGCATAATATGTGACCAATAAACATTTCAAGGGAATTTATTGTAACAATTATTCACGATTACAGGAGCTGATAATGTTCAGATTAATTCCCAAAAGTAATCTTTTTTGAAAATGTAACATTGAAGCATAATAATTGATACCAAAGTCTGTAGACATTTGATACTTGAATAAAGGGTTGAACAATATTAACCAATCTATTGAAAGTTGGCAACAATATTTATGCGCAATATTGATAGTTAATCACTGTATCGACAAATTAAGAGATTTAAACACCAAGTCGAAACCTGGAACAAGTTTGAGGGAACTTGTTGAACTAGAACTGGATTGGAAGCTGGTCTAATATATTGAGAGATTCACAAGTGATCAGTGTAGGCACTACACCTTATGGTCATCGGATGAACAAGTTACGAGCGAAAAATTGACAATGATTATATTGCTGTTATGAATCGTCATGAAAACAACATGATCGTAATCCTTCAGATGTTGAGCATAGAGCCAATCTGTAGACACTAAAGGAGCTTGGTTGTGCCCATATTTTGGTAACAAATGCTTGTGGATCCACGCGAGAGGAATTCAAGCCAGACATGATTGCGATTATTGGACATATAAATTGACAGGTATTGACAACTACATTTTCCCAACTTTTAATGGTAACTTTAAAATAGTTAATCAAATTTTTTTCTTTATTCCTCCGATAGAACCAAATCGAGACCTTCAACCTTTATAAAGTCATTAATTTACCTCAAGCTCATCCTTTTAATAAGGCAGTGCTAATGATGATTGAAGAAGCTTGTAGAACAGTTGAAGCCGAATATCGATCTGGAGCTTGTATTGTTGCTTGTGAAGGTCCCAGTTACCATAGTCTGACAGAATCTAAACTTTTCAAATCATGATGAGGAGACATTATTGGTATAACTACCGTTCTTGAGTGTCAATTAGCTCCCTAATTAGGACCATTCTATAATTCAATTGGATTACTGATCATGATTGTTGGCATGAAGATGAAGCTGAATCAGTTACAGCCGAATTGGTGGAGTGAAAGAAAAGTATTTAGTGAAACCATCAAACGAATTGGAAAATATGATTTCTCTGAAAATATTGCTGCTAAAAGCAAAGAGTTGCAACAAGCCATCATGTTCAAATGAAGGATATAATTATACTAATCTTTTTCGTCTAAAGATTCGGGATCAAACCGTTAACGATCTTTTCAGTATTTAGTGGTATTATTATGTTCATCATTTATACGAAACTCCAGTTAGATACGCTAAGAAGTATGGAGAAATCATGGTTAAAACGATTAAATTGGATTAATATTAATAATAATATGTATCAATATATCACCTATTAATTATGCAAGGTTGATAAAACAGGCTGATTGATTTCTGATTAACCTTGTTCATGAAAAACTATCAATATTGACTATTAATAGTTATTCTTCTACACAGGTATCAGCTTTAATTGTTTTTAAATTACAACTAATAAGCTGCTCGTTTCATTTTGTATCCACCGAAAGTTACGATTTAAGCTGATTGATTAATGTTGCCATTTTCATTTCAGATTACAGAAAAGTTAGAGGATTGATCTTCATGATAACTTGATCAAGGAATTTATTCTGAATTGTAAATCGAAAGGAGTTTCATTGAGTATAAATGTTAGTCAAGAAACAGCAAATAGCATGAGAAGAGCTTAGAGGTTGAAATGTATGGTTAAAAAGATTCAAAGAGAGGATAAACTTGAAATTAATATCGCGGTGAAAGAAGATCAATTGATTTAGAAATCGCTAAACAATGGAGAGAAGAAATGATTCCACAGATTATGTTGAATGGGCAAAGTAAATTCATTTACGATTTTGACGAAGCAGCTCATGGTGACAAGTCCCGGTTAAAACTTATTTTATCAAATCTTTAATTGAAATAACAAATGAGCTAAACTCAACTTATTTGCCCGTTTTTTAGCACTTTTAGTGTAAATAAGCTATTTCACAGGAGTGAAAATATCTGGTACTTTTAAGCTCCATCTATTGATCCAATTAATAGACGTAAATTGCATCTTCTGAATAATTTTCTGCTGTAATTAAAACAGAATTACTTGATCAAAGCAAAAGCTAGTTTGGTTTATTATTAGCTAATTTTTACACTCATGTCCGATATCAAATGCTGTGTTGTAAAGGAATTAGAGACAGCCAAGAATCTCTATGAATAGAATGCTACAAATATCGTCAGATAGTTATTATTGCCTAGGTATTATAAAGAGTGTTTGGTAATTATGTTTATGATAGGAAAATTAGAAATTTGTGATGTAATTGATATAAAGATAATTTCCTTAAATTGAGATGATACGATCTTTTCATGATTTGTTACTTGACGACACATAAGCTTAAAGTTTATTTTCACTTGAATGAATAGTAAGAATTATCTTTTTATTCAATATACTCGATGATTTTCAACAACTATTCACCTTCATCAAAAATATTGGGGCTTTTTATTTTTAATCCCACTTTTGACAAGTTTTTCAATGAAAAGAGTCTGGAAAACGCAGATATTGTTTTGATAGAATCAATTTCTCAATTTAAAATAACCGCGTTTTTTATTTGATCTAAAATTCAATAAGAAATTAAAATTTTCAGTTTTCTATAATTATTTACCGAAAGTTGGTTCTAATCTGTTCCATATTAACTTTATTGATGAATAAATAAAATTCATATCGATTGATTGACAGTTCAAATTCAACTTTATGAACCTCTTTACCTGTATCGGTTCAAGGAGCAGAGATTATAATACTTGCTGTATCGAGTACTTTGTTCATCTCCTTAAACACAAGAGTAATCAGTCATCAAAGATTTTTTTTATCAATTAATCATGTTAAGAATCATGGAAACACACTTAAGATGCGGTGTTTAATAGTTAGTTTGGTTGGCATAACGGTGGTTAAAAGTTAGAAAACTCAAATAAGTTGAAAATACCGGATGAAGGTAGCGCCAGTTTTCTGTTCTCTACTCATCTCTCTTTATCTATGGTTAGTTTGATATTTCAATAAAAACATTGTTATTTTATTTGTATTTAATTAATATAACTGACGAAAACGTTCGATGAGGACATGATTGACGATGTGCAAAACTAAGAATCTTGGGCGAATCTGCATTCAATTAAATCTAACCATAATTGCAAGTAAACGATCCATGGTTACTTTCCCTCTAACCAAATAACCGGTTACCAGTAGCCACCACATCTCTCAAACACAATGTTGATGGATTAGATAATTCTTTAGATTTAGACATCAAGTTTGAAAGTTTCAAAGTTTCAATCAGTTTTATCACTACCTGTAACTTTATCCTCCAGAATATTACTTGTTTTGCACTTCTAAAGTTTGAATAAATATATTTTTTTTTGTTATCGGTGGTTTTATGCAACGTTTATGTGACATGCTGTTGTGTGGAATTAATCTACTTGATCTACTTAGTGGTGCTTGGTGAAATATTAATTATTGTAAATTTAAAACTGGTTTCTCCGGTGTTGACTTCCTGATATTTTTTATTTGTTTATTGATTTATTTTCTTTTGAGTATTGCATTTTACTCATCCATTCAAATTATGTGGTGTCCAAAAAGGAGACGAACTGATTCGTTTGAAGATGAAAAGGAAAGCAAGATGCCAGCTCTTGAACCTAGTGGTGATGAACCAGCCATTAAAATACGTGTTGGGTCCAGAGAAAGTAAACTTGCGCTTATTCAAACTGAGTTTGTCATCAGTGAACTGAGAAAATTATACTCTGAAAAGGATTATCAGTTTGAGCTGATCACAATGAAAACGAAAGGCGATCACATTCTAGATACACCACTGTCTCAAATAGGTTCTAAATCTTTATTCACCAAAGAACTTGAAGACGGTTTACTGAATAAGTCGATTGATTTTGTTGTTCACTCTTTAAAGGATTTGCCTACTACTTTGCCTCCTAAACTCTGTGTAGCAGCTATACTTGAGTAAGTATGCATTTTAAGCATAATAATTTAGCTCATCATCAATTTGTTTACAATGCTAATTTCATACAAATTGTTCTTTACAGGAGAGAATGTCCCGACGATGCTTTGGTTCTGAAAAGTTCCCTTAAGTTGGATAAACCATTTACACTTATCCAACCACCTAGTGATAATAAATCCGAATGGGTTGCAAAACATAATATAAAAGAACCAATTGTCATTGGAACTTCATCTCTTAGACGAATAGCTCAGCTAAGATTTTATAATCCTGAAGTTGAACCAATCGATATTAGAGGAAATCTTACGACAAGAATGAATAAGCTGGATAATCCAGATGGACCTTATTCAGCTTTGATTCTTGCTTATGCTGGGTTGAAACGAAGTGGCTATGAAGAACGAATATCTCATCAGCTGGATTCTGATTGGTGGTATGCCGTTGGTCAAGGTGCATTAGCAATCGAGTGTCGTGAAGATGATTTAGAGACAATACGATTTTTAAGTCCATTAATCCATTGCAAAACCACTTTTGAAGTAATAGCAGAACGTGTTTTCATGGCAAAACTTGAAGGAGGATGTTCAGTCCCGCTGGGAGTTCGATGTTCATGGGATCCACCAGATATTGTTAATGAAGACTTTGGCGATGAAAAACGCAGGATAAAGCTGACACTTCACGGTTCTGTTTTTTCGGTGGATGGTACTAAATCAATTAAAACCCACGAGGAAGCTGATCTTGCAGATGAAATTGATATCGATGACGTTATTGAAGAGACGAAACACTTTACCAGCATTTGTTTACCTCCTTCTAATGCTCCTTGTTATTCAACAGTTAGACGCAACTTTATAAATAGTGCTAAAATAGGACTTAAATTAGCGGAAAAATTCAGAAAATTAGGTGCAATGGAAATATTACAAGAGATTAGAAAGTTCAAAAGTCCTACAGATAAAGACAACTAAATTAGTTAGATGAATTGTAGCAGGTCGTTATTGAAAGTCAATTGTTTAAATTAATTTCTACTTCTAACGACTTGACAATTTTTTCATTCCCAATATAAAATATACTTGCTAAAAAATGCTTATTTATGATAATAGCCGCATGTGCAAATAAAAACAAGTATCTGTCACCTTATTTTTCACGCTATACAATGTAAGCTCGAAAAAAATCGTAACACCTGGGATACTTCTCTTGTTAGTTGATTATCAATGTTGAATGGGGACTCTAAATGTAATATTTACTTAATTTTAATGGTGGTTTTTAGTAAATTATGATAAGTAAGCAACAAATTTTCTACAGTGACTTTTAGGTACAAATGATATAACTTGTAAATGTAAATGACTTTCTAGAATTAATTTATAATATATATTTACATTGATTTGATAAAATACGAACATTTTCCTACTTTCTCAATCATTCGATACATTGCTTGGTAACTGTAAAATATGTCGACGATGATTCATTTAAATGAATCTTCAATTTATCATGTCTAATCCATTCATTATAAATACGTTTCGAATTGAAAACTTTAAAATTTTCTACTCAAATTATGTATTTATTTGTATATTATAATAAATTATTTATACTATTTATTACCATTTAAAACCTTCTTCGTCGGGTTCTGGTTTGTTATACAAATCGTATAAGGCTCTTAAGTGCTTAAGAAATTCAGTTAAATTGTAACCATATTTTCCTGACACAGGTATTACTGGTAATGGAATTTCATCTTTCACTGTATTTTCTGCTATATAACTTTTAAGCTCATCCAATTTGTGTAGCAAGTCTTCAGAATCGTATTTAGATGCTATAATACAATGTGGACGTTTAGATAATCCCATTTTATATTGCTCTAATTCGTATTTCAAGGCCTCTAATTGTTTCCAGGGTTCTGGTAAGCTGATATCTATAACATAAAACAAGCAAACACACTTCTCGACGTGCTTCAGAAAATCATGACCCAAACCTTGATTTTCGTGAGCTCCTTCGATAAGACCAGGTAAATCGGCAACAGCAATTTGTTCATAATCAGAGTATTCGATAACTCCAATGTGAGGTACTAATGTCGTGAAAGGATAATCTGCAACCATTGGTGTAGCTCTAGATATAGCTCGGAGTAAAGTTGATTTTCCAACGTTAGGAAATCCAATCAAACCTGCATGAGCAAAGCATCTCATCTCTAATATAAGTTGTCGAGTTTCACCTCGGCCTCCATATTCAGCTACTCTAGGATGCCTATTCTCATTGGTTAGGAAGAAATGATTTCCTTTTCCACCTGCACCTCCTCGAGCAGCAATGAACATTTCTCCATCTTTTGCCAATTCAATTAAAATCTTCCCACTCTGTTCTTTGATTAAGGTGCCTACTGGTACATCGATGATAATATGTTTTCCACATTTTCCTGTCAAATCTTTATTTGCTCCATCTTCTCCGTTATTACCATGATAAGTTGATTGTAAATCAGACAAAGATTTAACTCGGTCATCAGCTTTTAGTATAATGTGTCCACCATTTCCACCATCACCACCGTCCGGTCCTGCCATGGGATTCATGAATAATCTCAAAAACGATATTTCTCCAGATCCTCCATGGCCTGCTGTGAATTTCACATTCTTGGTATCAACAAATTTGTTTTTCTATGAAAAATAAAACAATTAGTATACAATTTTTTACAACGAGAACCATCTTACCCTTGTGTGAGAAGATCTATACTTATGAGGCTTTAATGGTTTGGCATTAGTCAATAGTCCAGTTGGATACAAAGGGTTACCTTCATCATCTTCAAAAGTAGATAAACGTCCACTTTCATAACCTTTAATGGCATCAGATTCAGAATCGGTTCCAAATTTATTATCTTTATCACTCCAATGTGCAGCAAGTCGAATCCACTTCTCAGAATCACTTTCAATGTTATTCTTATATGATCGAATAGATTGCATCAAAACACGATAAGTCCTTGGCAGGATAGCTTGTAAAGTTGAATTAAACATGACATTAAACAGAAAAATTAATTTTATTATAAAGAATGATTATTTAAAACAAAACAGACTTTACTCGAGAAGATCATGAAATCTTGTACAAATTTAGTAAACAAATATTTAAGGCGGGCATTTTGAAATAACAAAACTTGCTCAAACATAAAAATCAGACTTTGATTCACTGAAAGAACAGCAATTAATAAATTTTAAGTTAAACAAATAAAATTGAAAATTAAAAATTTTGCTTTGATGGCAAATATAGAAAACCAATTTAATGGGTAATTTTTATAAATCTACATTTATTGTACAAAAACGCATATCAAATTGAAGTGAATATAAAGATACAATGTTAATTATTTATGAAAAGCGTAAAGCATTTAAAGAATTGTTTTAGATCTACATTATTTGATTAAATGTAATTAAACGTAATTGTAATGTGGTGAACTTTAGATTCCAACCAAAATGGTAATTTGTTCATTAAGCTATCGAAGGCATTAAAGTAAAGAAAAGTTTGATTGTAAGCTGCCCGATCAAGTAACTCATCAATGAGAATTATGATAAGGAAAAAAAGTTAAATGAAAGACTTCAATAGACTTTACAATTAAAGTCAATCAAAAAATAAAAATTTGCATCAGTCATTAAAGATTTTTGATTAATCAATTTCTCAGAGACTTAGATTCGAATTATTTGACAATAATTGAAGCTAAACTGCTTTAGACAATGTTAATCGATAGAGTGTTTACAGTCGATTTATGGACAATAATGAGACGAGTTAGCTTGGATAACCAATCCAAAAGCAACAAAATAATCACGGAAAAGGTAATACAAATGAGATGAGCTGAGAAAAGGTTTACAGGTTGAGCAGTTAATCTACTGGATTTAACTGCGTGAATATGATTAATAATTTTTGCCTGAGATGACTGTAAACCTTAGAGTTGATTGCTAATTGCTTCGTGAATACATTCCCATTTGAATGTTTAAAATGGGAATACATGATTAAATGTTATTTAGATTTTTTCTTCCGCCCTGAAGTGGAATTAGATGATTTCTCAGGTACAGCTTCAATGTAACCACATTTAACGAGCAAATCTCTAGCAGCATTGTTTATATGTTTGAAGCGATCGGCACCCAAATTAACTCCACCATACCATCGACTAACTACAACGAGAACGTTTTTAACGTCAAGAAGCTGAAGGAGATGAAGAAGTCGTCCACCAGCATGAGTTTCGCCATCATCATCACAATCTTGAATGAAAGAATGATTAGCTCCACCATTGATACGATAGGCTACAATATTATGAGTGGCATTGGCAATCTTTTTGTTTGTTTTCAACTGAGCCAGAGCAGAATGGACTTGGTTGGTACAATCAACTGGACAAATATGAGCTTGGAAAACACTCCGACGATCAACAATTGGTTCACCATGAACTAGATTAATATCATTGGAAAGCCCATTATCTTTGTGATGGTGGTAATGATGGTAATCATACTCTTCATACTTGTATTCATAATTTTCCTCGTCAGTTCCATCTCCGTCGTTTTCACTTTTACCTGAAATAGTCAATAATAAACATAATAATAAGTTATTAATAAATTAATTCGCAAAACAGTTAAGCACTACAGTCACCTACCAAAAAGTGCACCTACCAGAAACTGCACATAATTTTTTCAATGGCCCCTAACAAGGAGGAGTTTTATCTACTTTTGAATTTCGTCGAATTTTGATTCGATTTCTTTAATTATCAATAGGCTTAATTAAATTTTCTTTCGTGAAATATCAATCTAAAAACTCTCAAAATCAGTTTAAAGCAACATTTTTGTGTAAATTTGTTCTATTAAGGGAGATTGAAAATTATGAATTATGCTGCTCGACGAATAGTGTAAATAAGCTATTTCCAGCTTGGTGCAGTTTCTGGTAGGTGACTGTAGTTAAACAAAGGATTTACCAAAATCACTTCAAATGAAACTCTCTTAAAATAACTGTTCAATATATCGAGATGATTGACCGATTAATTATCTCAAAAATATTCAAAGAGACGAAAAGCTGTATGACCAAGAGATTAAAAAATTATAAGCAATCGAGTAATGTCGATTTTTAATCCAGTAGGTTTAAATTACATGAGCTTTTGCACACATTATTTTAATTGGATAATTACAAGTAATTTGCCTAATTGTCAATTAGCTTGCTGTGTGAATAGCAATGTTATTGACACAATGTTGATGTCTATTTTGAGAGGCTTCATTTTAGTGTGAAAACAAAATAAATCTCTTGATCAATAAAAATTGATGCCAAATGTAATAGTTTTGAGAAGTGTAATAGTATTTTTCATCATGTAAACATGATGAACATGATTATGTGAACAACATTTTGCTTCAAATTATTATTTATCACTGAACCGGAGAGAGCAAAGAGGAGAAACAAGAATTAAAGTCTGCAAAGTTAACCATAGAAGACAATTTGGTTGAATGAGCTGAGTTGCATTACAACTATTTTTAGGTGACTAAAGCGAAGATTTCAAGGTTAAATTTGTTTTCATTTAATTCAAAACTATTATTTAAACACTTCATCTTCATCTTCCTCATCATCAACCTTAACTTTTCCCTTTGCTCCTCTTCCCTAGTAGCCTAGTCTCGATGAATGCATCTCTTCATGACAATCTTTCACACAGTTATCCTGTTTTTGTACTTTAATTATAACTTAGAGATTCAAAAATGAGGGTTCACCTGTAAACTCAAGGTTAATCTGTATCAACAAATTGATGAGATTCACATGAGCAAGGACTACAATAACAATCCAGCAAAGTAATTTGTGGTCAATTAATTTTTAATCGCATGATTCCTGTTCACTGTTTTCAGTTGGTTATTCATCAAAACAATTCCAGCAACTAGTTAGCAAGTTAACTTGAAGTAACAACATGCTTTTAACATTTCCATATTAAGAAATGAACTTTGACAAAATTCAATCAATTGATATTATTCATCATCTAAAATCCTTAAACTAAGTAACCGGTTAGCTAATCGACAGATTTAACGCAATGGAGCTCATAAATATTCAATCCGTTCAAGTTACAACCTCTCAGGACATTTATGAATGCAAATACTTAATTAACAATTGGTCCCTCAAAATAAGCTGCATAAAAAAGCTGCTTAAAAATACAGAGTGTAAAATGGAGAAATGTCGAAAAAATCAATTACTAACCTGATGACGACAGTTGTTTATTATTCAATGCAGTTAATTGTTCATCCAAATTACCATTGTCCTCAGGAGTAGATGTGTTGCCGGTTTCATTGTTACTTGAAACTGATTCACCGGTTTCTTTCTTTTCTAGATACTCACGAGCTTTCTCTATCCACATATACAATATGGATTCACCCTGATTATCCAGATAAATTGAGTTGAGTTCGTTAGTTAAACTGGTCTTGAGGTTACGAGACATCCATGGAGCACTTAGTGTATAATATGGTGGACCATATAAAGGATAATCAAGGGAAAAGCGAATATCAAGTTTGATTGATTTTTCACTTTCCTCGGGATGTGTTAGCGTAACAGCGAATCCATGGCTTTCTTCTTCTTCCAAAACGAGATCATCTCCATAAATAGCTGACAATGCTTCAATTTCATCTTTACGAAGTGTTTCGTTGTCCATTTTTGTTTCACTGTTGTATTAGCTTGTTTTTACTCTCCAAATTAACAATATCTCACAATGTCAGTCAGAAATAACATAGGATTATTTGTTATCAACACTCTAAAGGATCTTTCTTGGACCCAATCAACAAGCAACTAATGAAAGCAAAAAACGAACTTCAATAATTGTGGTGTTTAAGAATCAACAAAATGTCAACAGCAGAATTGATCACAATAATGGAAACACGGTGGTGAATAAATGGTTAAAAAAGTTTACCTGAATATGGAATATAAGGATTGGAAGAAAAACGTTGGCGATAATGAAATTTTTTGGCAGTAGAAAGGGAAAAAACAATTCAAGAGCAAAATAAAAAGATATGAAAGGCCTGGTTACCAGTTAAACAGTCAAATGTGAATTGATGTTGATTATAATGAAACGATGTAAACACATCAGAGTGAGAGTGTGTACGAGAGTGAGTAACTTGAAAAGATAGAAAGGGAAAGAGAAAGGGAAAGGGAGAAAAAGATGATGATGAGTTTTTACCTGAAAAAAAAAGATTGTAGATGTTTTATTTTGAACTTTGTCTCTAAGTGTGTTTTCAAGCAAAGCAGAGTTACTGTGAAGATGTAAAGGAAAGGACAAAAAAAGGATTCTCTATAAAGAACCACTTCTCATTGAGATATTTTTCCAGGAATTGGGTTTCCCCAAATTTGCCCCTTTGGCCCACTATTACCCTTTATATATTTGCTCCCTCTTGTGTTTTCATTTCTGTCATTTCGCCCTCTTCTCACAAATCTTTCTTGCTTTCCTTGTTTTCTTTCCTTCATCTTGTCCTCACTTTTTGTCTTCCTTTCTCTTTCTCTCTCTTCAACTCGCTTTCTTAGCCCATTAATGGATCAAGGGAAAGGGTCTATTCTGTATGAACCCTCCTCAGTTTATTGATTCATTCCGATTCTCAAACTACCTCACAGGCTGAAACTTTTGCTCATTTCAAACATTCTCATCTGAAAAGTTCCTCTCGAAAAGATTTAAGACTGAAAAAATGTTCCTTTTCTTGGAAAACATCTCATAAAACTCCTTATTATTATCACGATCATTATTATGATCATCTTATATCATCAACTACATTTACTTTGTTATAATTCAATTTTATCCCTCTTTTTCAACATATTTTCAGATTGATTCAACTCACTAACTGTAACAAATTGCTTTACATTTCATCTAAAACTATCAATCAATTGAATTACTTATAATATTTGAAAGACAAAAACAAAATTATATTTTTTCTGTATCAACATCGACCCAATTTGAGTAAAATTTCAATCATCGCTAGATTGGGATACAAGTTAAAAACATTACTCTTGTTACACTATCGTTTGGCAGGATATTGACTAGGTTGATTCAAATTACGATCATAGTATTATCTATCAAGCTCAAAGGTAATTTTACTAATTAGTTGATCAACGTCTACAATTATTCAATGAGTATGGAAGAAGTAAATTGCAGAAAGTTGATTACAATAAAAGTTGATTGTTGAAACCAAGAAAAGCTTCCAAGAGCAATCGCAATGAGCTGAAATCGATTTTTTGATAGGTTAAGATTAGAGTGAGATGATCATCTATTGCTTTAGTATCAATTGTTTTGTGCTCATCCAATTCTTAAAATTCAATTTTTTGAAATTCAGAGAAACCTCAGCCTGATTTGATTTGTTTGTTTTATAATATAAAATGGCTGTTAAATCAGGTTGGTGGACTAAACCTAAAGGTCGATCTGGTAAAGCTCCCTATGAATTGAGTACAGGTAAAAGTGTTATTATACTCGGTGTTATTGTTGCTTGTTTTGCCATTCTATGGCCAAAAATATTCTACCCAATGATTGAAGTTGCTCTTCGTTCACCAAAGCCTCGCTCTGCTGATAATTTAGGTAATATCAATTGCAATTTAAAACCTTTATCCAATCTTTAATTGTTTCATTTACTATTACAATATAGCAATGGTTCATCCAAGAGTCCGCCAACATGTTATGAGAGATATGAGATACCAAAAACAAGGTTCAGTTAATCAGGTAATAAGAAATAAAAATAAGGAAGAAACCAATGTTTTTGTTATTTTTTATAATCATGATTTTGATTGCTTTATTTGTGGAATCTGAATCAATTTTTCTATTCATGATATTCACTTTAACTGCTATTTTTACAGCCTTTCATTGGAGCTTCATCGAGATCAACAATTGGCCAAATGAAGTCGAAAGAATCTGGAGGAATTTTCAATTTATTAATGCCTTTTTACACCATCGGGTTATTTGTGGTCTTCCTGTATACTATCTTAAAGGTGAGATCAATTTGATTGAAATCATTTCACGGTTGCATTTTATCAACAATTTTATTGTTTTTTATTGATTTGAATAGTTCATGAGCAAAGATGATGATAGATTCGATGATAGGTTTGATGATCCAGATGAGATTGACGAAGACTCGATTGAAAACGATAAACCAATTGTTAAGGACTTCCAGATGGATCCTGATTACAGGAAATTTGTTTTCAGTGAGGAATATGATGAACATGGTGATAATATCAAACGAAAAGTAAATAGTCAGAGACTAAAAAAGCGAGTACGAAACGATAAACAAAGCGCAGCCAAAAACACTGTACAAGGTAAGTAAACTTGAAAATCTTTCCTGTTAATGTTCAATTGTAATTTACTGATCAACAAATTTGTTCTTTTTGACACTTAACTTGAAAAGAAGAATCGATAGACTTGAAAAGTGAGTATCATTAATGAGTAATATGTTATTGTACAAAATTTATATTGTATTAGCATTTTATGCTCATACTTATGGTTTTACTTTCAATTATACAGAAGATGAACAAATATGTGAGCTTAAAAAACGTTTACAAGTAACAGAAGATGCAATGGAGCGTATATTAAAACAAATTGGTTCCCTTAGTCAGATGCTTGAGGCCAAAGGACTTTTAATGAGCGAGGTAAGATATGAAATTGCTGTCTTGCGTCATGGTTAAATCTGAATGTTATAATGAAATTTTTCCTTTAGATCTCAAATTTGACTGGATATAAAGAAACAGAGGAAATTTACCACAGCGAAGATGAAATAAACACGAAATTGGACAAGAATGTAAGTTTGTTTAAGGCAAATAGATGGCACAATATTGAAGTATTAGATTATCAGAATATTGGTTAGACTATCATGAAGTTTTTGTTAATTGTAAACTGTTTTCTGTGTGCTAATAGGGCGATGATGATCACTTGACATCTGGCGATTCCGTTTATAGCAGTGAAAACCAATATAAATCATCCACTGACTACGATTCTGATACGTCCTTATCAACAACGTCGTCGAAATTTGAACTAGAAGAATGAAACGAGCTTGGTTTATTACGAGTTGATTATTATATTAACGACCAGCTTTAACGAATTTTTGCATCCCAGTGCGAATTTTTTTTCCAAAACTTAAAGACTGAGTTCAAAAGATTGATGGATTTCTGATTGGAATGAAGAATGGCGGTGAACGTTTGATGCAGCATAACGAGCAAATACGAAATTTTCCATTTGTTTGTCTTTGACCAATACAATCTCGCAATGAGGTGAAAGTTTAAAGACACTGAGATAAGCATAATTAATTGAAGCCAAAGATATCTCGTAGAATTGTTGTTAATTATGTTGATTAGAGAAACAAATAAATATGGTTTAATGTTTCACCATGTATCACAAGGTTCTTGTTTAACGGTAGCGCTCATTGCCTGTTTCAATTCTGTTCCCAGAACAACTCTGCATTCTTCAATTTCAAATTCCTCTTTTATGCGGCTTTCGTAAAATGCTTTGCACTTGAGTTTGTAACTCTTTAGACAGTTGAGAGCTCGTATAGATAAAGGTTCATCATAATACCTACTCAAATCTGTGGAAGAAAAAAAAAGATTAAAATCTTGTAATTTAAACACGCATGTAGATTACAAACCTTTAAGATCGGAAATATCTTCAGAAATTTCATCATAATGACCCATTTCGAGATGATTACGTTTTATGATTCTGGGGACAAGAGCTTTACAGATTTTACAATTAATATAAGTGGCATTAGCGTGTTTCCAAAAATGCCTCTTAAATGCTTTCCAACTGATGTGATGATAGTTAGCGGTACCAGTCAATTGATTTGCTCTTTCACAAATTGGACAAATAATTCGTGCATATCGAGATGCCTGCTCTGCTGACATCTGGTCACTTTTAAAACGACGAATAAACTGCTCATTGAGAAATTCAGTGATGTAATTGATATGTTTGTTATTATCATCAAGTTCCACACTATCAAATGGATGCTCATTTTCGCAATGTAATTTCAAGTCTCTTATATTGGCACATTCAAAAGTAAGACATTTCGGACAGGTAATTTTATCCAATCCAAGATGTAGCTTCATATGTGTTTGAGCTTCATCAAAGTTAGTAGATGAAAATGTATTGCAAAACAGACAAAAGAAGAGTTCAGATCCTCTTTCTTGGGATGACTTTGGTTCAAAGAGCTCTTCGCCTGGTCTATTTGGAGACGTTGTCACTTCGCTGTCTCTGGCTTTTCTTTTAGCTCTATGTATACGTCTATTCGTACGATTATCTGGTTCTTGCTCTTGTTCTTGTTCCTGTTCCTGTTCCTGTTCGTCAATTGTCATTTCTTCTATGTAAGGATCTCCACAAATAGTTTCCGCATCAGACCCACTGTCTTGTTCGGCATCACCAGGCTCTTTTCTTTTTTGCCTTTTTCCCGCTTTCCAATTTGCCGGTCCGACAAAGACAGATTTTTTGATTCTACTCGATAAATTTTTAGGATCTTTTTCAGATGGTTTCTTGCTACTTTTGGGTACTGGGTTGGTACCAGGCCTCACAGGTTGACCCATTATCGTTTTACTTGCTTCTTCTTTTTCATCAAGGGCTACAATAAATTTTATATACCTAACTGTGGATTCAATAGAGCTATGAATGGCTCTGAAATGACTATCAATAGCTTTTGAGCTGCCAAGAAAGTCACATTCAGAGCATTTGAATGAACTTGTAGTACCATGCTTGTGCTTTAGATGAGATTCTATTGAAACTCTGCTAAGTTGAGCTCCATCAGCACATATTGTACATTTAAACATATTTCGAGCGGAATGCTTGCTTCCAGTTAAAGCCACCGGTGTAAATAATGCTGCACTCTGCTCAGGTCTGAATCCTCTAATTCTTCTTGCGAAACTCAATTCCTCCTCTCCATCATCATCATCATCATCTTTGTCAAATTCAGGCTCTTGAAAGCGAACAGAGGGTTTTGATGTCGATTTTCGCGCTTTACTTGAATCAGATTGTTTCTTTGCTATTCTGAGTCCTTTTACAGCGAACAATCTTTCCCTTGTAGTCTCCTCTTTCCCAGTATCTTGTCGGTTTTGATTTTCATTTTCGTCATCAGAAAAAATTTCTGCAACAGGTTCATCAACAGGAGTCATATCGACATCGTCATCATCTTTGGTACCGATGCCATGGAGTTCATTGACGATAGCATCTAATTCGAGATCTTCATCATCCAAAGCTTCTATAACAATAACAATAAAGGAAAGAAAATTAGTTGAGATTGAAAACAGAAAAAAGTTAAAGCGATAAACAAACCTTCAGCATTCTTTTCGTCGGCTTCTTCTATCTCTGGTAAAGGATCAACATATTTATCAAACAAACATAAACTGAAGTCGGGGTGAACTTTACAAATATGAAAAAAAACAACGTGAGGGACAAGAGAAACAAAATCACAATAAAGACATTGATACTTTGGAGATTCCTTGGGTGATGCAATAACTCTATCAACTCGACAATTAGACCAATGGACCGTTTCACTTGGCAGTGGACCATTTACAATTTGCTTACAAACAAGCACTTTACATAATCCAATCGAACCTTCCCCTGATAGAGTGGTTTGATATTTATTGCCATGAATATTTGCTTGATGGAGAAGAACATGAGGAATGCTGGTCCCTCGGTAAACACAAGAGTTACACTGAAAATTTCTGAACCCATGATGTGTCAAAATGTGATCAATAAGTCCTTCTGTTCGTTCATAGGATTTGTTTTCACCAGAATAGTAATAGCAGTAAATGCAGTAAGCATTCTCTCCTTTGTGTCTTGCCTCAAGATGCCTCATGAAACTTGCAGGATCATCAGAAGTGAAAAAACATCGATTACGATAGAAGCTGCATTTGAACAATTTGGTGAGTTTCCTTTCGACTGGGGTCATTTGATCGATACTGTCGATAACTGGAACATTTCCACGATATTTTTTATCAGGATTTTCCGAGATTTCGTCATTATCTGAGGCTGTCATGGTATATTGTTTAGGTTGAGGCAGCAAGGATGAATACAAACACGTACAAACATATGATATCGCGTTGAGGCTTCGTCTGTTTGAGCCTCGAAGAAATAATGTTAAAACACGTTCAATATGATAGCAAAACTTTAAAATCAAGATCAATTCGAAGTCAAAAAAGTAGAAAAGTAGTGCAACACGAATTTCAGTTCATGAGCTTTGTTTAATTTTTGGAAAAGTCTAGGAGAAAATTAAATGAACATGTTATGAAAAAAGATGGACATAAATATATGAAAAGAGAGATTATGATTACATTAGCTATCTAAAAAAGCAAACAAGGAACACAAATAACAATTAAATGTTTAAATAAGGGCCAGATAATTTGAGATAATCTATTTGAATTAAGATTTCAAATAAACCAACAATTAAAAAAAGCCAAATACAAATGTAAAGCAAATATTCCGCCACATTGTGAGGGGTGGTCTCCATATTGCGATCTTGAGGAGAAGAACGAGTTAGCAAAATGAGTCAATTTTTAGGTTTGCTAATGAATCTTGTAAACTGAATTCGGTGTTGATCCAATTTGATTGTCATTAAATTATCCCTGGTTGCGAAAACTTTCTATCCTCCAATCTTTCCTTCTCTGATATTCTTTTATGCCAATCGTAAACACCTGAAGAGAAACAACAAAAGACCAAAAAATGTATAAATACCATTTCCATGATAACCTTTTTCAAGGTAAGTTTAAGCTGTTTCAATATTATCTGTGTACAAATTTGTTAAACACTGTAACTCTAGCTAACATTATTGAAACTTTCACCTTTAAATGTATATGATTAGAGTTTAGTTAATTAGTTTAGATATTCAATAGTATACCAGCTGACGTAATACCTGCTGAAAGTTATATTCAACTTGATAATGCTTTTTATGCAAAGATAAGCAAATGACGCATATTTGATGATATTTAAAACTTTTTTTCTATTTTTTTCAATTTTAGGTTTACGTAAGAAAAGAAATTTGAATCTAGAACTGATTTTATTAACTTACCATCTTCGACAAACATGCGGTTAAAAAGATCACTGAAGAGCTTTTTGAGATAGCTATAATCTGGATCCTCGGCGAAATCGAGTCGTCTAACATATCTTAAATAAGTTGCGAATTCCTCTGGAAATCCGTCACAAAGGAGTTCTATTGCCACCAATCTCTTTATCTCTCCGATTTTTCGATACCTTTCTCTGACGTCATCAACAACTAAACCTTGCCAAGGAAGTTTTGACTTGAGGAAAAGAATAAAAATGTAACCTAAAGCTTCTAAATCATCTCGACGACTTTGCTCTTTGCCCATATGCGTGTTTATTGACATATATCGAGCTGTTCCAGTCAGTGGTTTCCCCGCTCGGAAAGGTATGTGTTTACCTGTTTCTTGATCAATATATTCTTTGCTTAGTCCAAAATCAACTAAATGTATTGTATCTGCCTTAGATGATTTAGGTCGACCAAGGAGAAAATTTTCTGGTTTAATATCTCTATAGATGAGTTTACGACTATGAATATGCTCGATCCGTGATATCATTTGTAGAGCACATTGGATGGTTGTTTTGATTGATAACTTTCGATCACATAAATTAAACATTTCTTCTAAGTTTGGTCCGAGAAGGTCCATTACTAATGCTATGAACTGTCCACATGGACCAAAATAATGTATCCTTGGAATTCCTTCACCGACTCCAATCATCCGATAAAAACGATATTCCAATGGAAGTGTTGGCACTTTACATTTCATTAATTCAAATTTGATTGCCACTGGTTCACCAGTTAATAAATTTTTACCCACACGTAATTCACCGAAATTGCCAGCTCCTAATTTCTTGCCAACTCTGTAATTTGTTCCAACCATGAGAACTTCATGTTCGACTTCTTCTAATGATGAACTTTTTCTAGCCATTTGATGGTTTCACTTTACTTGTACAAAAAAACAGCTTAATTATTTTCCCCGTTTTCACATTTCCTTATTGATATGCATATTCACTGTCGATTGTAACAATTAATGCGATTTATCATTATCCCTTTTATTGTTGTTTTTTATTTATACTTCAAACAAAATGGTTTTGATTGTTACAATCTGCACATTAATTTTTCTAAGGTTGAAATAATAATTAACTCAAGTTACATTTCACTGCAATTATTTACACTTTGAATTGTTCTACCGTTTGTAACTTTACATGGTGAGTTTATTTATGTTATGTAAGTTAATGATAAATGTACAATAATTTTGATATCAGAAGAAAAATGTTGATTAGAATTTTGTAAATTTGAATTAATAATCCTTTCTATAAATTATTTTTCCGATTCCAACTGGCTTAAGACAAATTCAATTGATTTAACGATACCATTGGTCATATAATTAACAAATTAAATTTTAGGCATCTTTAGCGTCTGCGATTCCACCTTCCGTTATAGCAAATGTTGCTTCACTTTCTGGTTGGTCTGGGCTATCATATATTTTAGCAATCCTGTTTTCTCCTCTACCTTTTCTTAAAGATATTCGTGTTGTTGATGCATGGGCTAAAATATGACCACCAATTGGTTTCTTTGGATCAGCTTGAAAGGTCATTCCAGCACCTTTATTATACAACATAGAAAAATAGTAGAAAAAAGCAAAAATAAGAATGGATTCAACATATTTCTTTGAGAAAAAATTTACTAATAATGAACAATTAACTTACCAGGATCTGCTGTCATTTGATTTGTAATAAAAACAGCTACGTTATATTCTTCACTCAATTTTTGTAAACGAGCCAGAAATTGAGCTAACTTTTGTTGACGATCTGCTAATTCTCCACGTCCACTGTAGTCAACTCTGAATAAAGCCATAACTGAATCAACAACAATCAATTTGAAGGCACCTTTTGACTCAAATAAAATATCTGTTGCTTGCTCTAAAATGGAAAGAAAGAAAAATGTTAATATGTATTGTAACTGAATAAATTATGTTCCAAAATATAATATTACCTATTATCTCGTATTGATGTTCACTGGTATATGCTCGTACATAGAGTACATTGTCAAGAGCAGTTTTTTCATCCATTTCAAATCTTCCAGCAATTTGTCTGTAAATAGAATAAAATAAAATGAATACAATTTTGGATAAACTTTAATATGATAGATGTTCATTTACTTTAAACGTTCTGGCCGAAATGTATTCTCAGTGTCTACGAATATTGCTTTGCCTCCAGGAAATCCATTTTCACCTTGTAATTGGCAAGTAACTATAGCAAGTATAAGATAGAAAGCGATATAAAAGGAATAGATATAAGAGATAAAAATTTTGAATCGATTGAATAAATCCACAAGGAATCAAATGTAAAAAATAGCAAACGCCGTGGCTTGTGTATCGAAAATATTATATGCTTATACACTTAAACTTGTTAGAAAATAAAAATAAATAATGACTTATTCACTTACCACACAATGTATGACTTAACTGCGTTTTCCCACATCTGAACTCACCAAAGACTTCCGTGATTGACATACTTTCAATTCCACCTCCTAAGAGACGACTTTTGATGAAAATTGATTAATTAAAAAAAGGTAGACAAAATAAAAAGAATAAATCATGTGTTGAATTGGAAGATAACTAATTGTCCTTTATTAAATTATACTTACTCCAAATCTGTAGAGCCAGTAGATACTTTAAAAACAGCTTGTCTTTTCAAGCTTTGCTCGAAAGCCGTTTTGAACTTATTGGGTGAAGCCTTGGCCACAGCTTCACGAATTTTATCAACTTTAGCATCACTTAGTCCCTAAAACGCAGGACAGTAAACACAATAAATAAATCAAATAGGTAAATTTTCTTCCAATCTACAAACCTTTAATGCACATAATTTTTTCCTGGTACACATTTGGATTCCAGTTATTGTATAGATACCAGCCGCTTTGAGTTTTTTTAGATCAGCTACATTCTAATTGGACAAGTAAGAGTGGGTTGATTTATATTGTAAAATTAAATTTTAAAAATTGTACTTACCACTCCATAATCAGCTAATTTGTCCACATCACCACTGATTTCTTCGTCAAATCTGGATTGAGATTCAGTATCAGTGTCAACATCTTCAGCAAAACTTTCAGCTTGTGAAGCTGAAGCTGCTTTCTTTGCTCGAGACATTTTCTAAAAATGCTTTATCACCAACAAGTAATTATTAAACAAATCAAAATTAAAATTTTTGAAACAATAAATAATTAATTAGGCAAAGTTAATTAATAATAAATAAGTTAAATAATATTGTAGCAGAAAGAAGCTCTCGATAAGAATACTGACACAACTCTCACGTTAAAGATGTAGACAAAAGAACAACTTTGACACAAAATATTCTTTTTGTAGAATAAAAATTGAACGCCATTTTATTGCACAATTTGTTTCTTTCAAAACAAAACACTGTCTATGTTAAGCAAAACTGTATAAACTCTGGATCATCGCTCTTTCTACTCTATTTGTTATTTGTTATTTTCAATTATTCTACTTTATCTAATTATCTATTGTTTCAAAAATTTTAATTTTGATTTGTTTAATAATTACTTGTTGGTGATACAACATTTTTAGAAATGTCTCGAGCAAAGAAAGCAGCTTCAGCTTCACAAGCTGAAAGTTTTGCTGACGATGTTGACACTGATACTGATTCACAATCCAGATTTGCCGAAGAAATTAGTGGAGATGTGGACAAATTAGCTGATTATGGAGTGGTAAGTACAATTTTTAACAATTAAGTTTTAATATAAATCAACCCTCTCTTACTTGTCTAATTAGAATGTAGCTGATCTAAGAAAGCTCAAAGCGGCTGGCATCTATACAATAACTGGAATCCAAATGTGTACAAGGAAAAAATTATGTGCATTAAAGGTTTGTAAATTGAATGAAAATCAACCTATTTGATTTATTTATTGTGTTGACTGTCTTATGTTTTAGGGACTTAGTGATGCTAAAGTTGACAAAATTCGAGAAGCTGTGGCCAAGGCTTCACCCAATAAGTTCAAAACGGCTTTTGAGCAAAGCTTGAAAAGACAAGCTGTATTCAAAGTATCTACTGGCTCTACAGATTTGGAGTAAGTATAATTTAATAAAGAACAATTAGTTATCTTTCAATTTAGCACATGATTTATTCTTTTTATTTTGTCTACCTTTTTTTTAATTAATCAATTTTCATCAAAAGTCGTCTCTTAGGAGGTGGAATTGAAAGTATGTCAATCACGGAAGTCTTTGGTGAGTTCAGATGTGGGAAAACGCAGTTAAGTCATACATTGTGTGGTAAGTGAATAAGTCATTATTTATTTTTTATTTCTAACAAGTTCAAGTGTTTAAGCATATAATATTTGCGATACATAAGCTACGGCGTTTGCTGTTTTTTACATTTGATTCCTTGTGGATTTATTAAATCGATTCAAAATTTTTATCTCTTATATTATATCTTTTCCTTTTATATCGCTTTCTATTTTATAGTTACTTGCCAATTACAAGGTGAAAATGGATTTCCTGGAGGCAAAGCAATATTCGTAGACACTGAGAATACATTTCGGCCAGAACGTTTAAAGTAAATGAACATCTACCATAGCAAAGTTTATACAAAGTTGTATTCATTTAATTTTATTTTATTTACAGACAAATTGCTGGAAGATTTGAAATGGATGAAAAAGCTGCTCTTGACAATGTTCTCTATGTAAGAGCATATACCAGTGAACATCAATACGAAATAATAGGTAATATTATATTTTGGAAAATAATTTATTCAGTTACAATACAATGCAAAACATATTAACAATTTTCTTTCTTTCCATTTTTAGAGCAAGCAACAGATATTTTGTTCGAGTCAAAAGGTGCCTTTAAATTGATTGTTGTTGATTCAGTCATGGCTTTATTCAGAGTTGACTATAGTGGACGTGGAGAATTAGCAGATCGTCAACAAAAGTTAGCTCAATTTCTGGCTCGTTTACAAAAATTGAGTGAAGAATATAACGTAGCTGTTTTTATTACAAATCAAATGACAGCAGATCCTGGTAAGTTAATTGTTCATTATTAGTAAATTTTTTCTCAAAGAAATATGTTGAATCCATTCTTATTTTTGCTTTTTTCTACTATTTTTCTATGTTTTATAATAAAGGTGCTGGAATGACCTTTCAAGCTGATCCAAAGAAACCAATTGGTGGTCATATTTTGGCTCATGCATCAACAACACGAATATCTTTAAGAAAAGGTAGAGGAGAAACCAGGATTGCTAAAATATATGATAGCCCAGATCAACCAGAAAGCGAAGCAACATTTGCTATAACGGAAGGTGGAATTGCAGACGCTAAAGATGCCTAAAATTTAATTTGTTAATTTTATTGGCTTATGGTATCGTAAATCAATTGACTTCGTTGAAAGCCAGCCGAAATTTGCAAAAATAATTTATCCTATGCGAAAATTCTAATCATCATTTGTCTTCTGGTATCAAAATTATTATTCATTCATCGTTAACTTTTCAAAAAATTATATGAATCCAATCTATGCACACCCAATTCAAGAAATTCCTGAAAACAATATTTCATCCATTTATATTGCTATTACGAATAAAATTATTTATTTCGAAATGATTCAGACTGGTTAACTGTCCATTCTATTGATTTTTGTTTTTCTATTATCATCCGATTTTCAAAGATAAATGTTTTTTCTTTTCGATGGATAATTCATCAATTTCATCTTCTTCTTCATTCTCATTCTCATTCTCATCCTATTCCAATTTCTTTACTTATCCATTTCTTTCTTTTTGTCTAACTTGAATCTCTCTTTCTCCTTGTTTCTCACATTAAGCTATTACTGTGTAACAGAATGTGATCAACTTCTAACTTTGGACAAGGCGAGAAAAGATAAAAACCTTCATCATCATCATCGACATCATCAGCATCTTCTATTTCCTCTCTTTTTCTTCTGTCTAACTTTCTCTTTTAATATCAATGACTCTTGAAGGATAACCTTCTGAAACCAAACCTTCGTTTAACCACCCATGTCCTCAGGAGACTTAAATGAGATTTGCTTGACTTTTTACCTACAGAATCAATACTAACTTCTTGATATATATTTTTCTCCTCTTCAACTTTTTTTTTCTCTCCTTCGATTTTTTTTCTTCTTCTAATTCAGAGTTTTGTCTCCAACCTAAATCTTCTTCATGTTATATTCTGTCGACTCTTTCTTACAAAATCATATAACTACATAACCAGCATCCTAATGTGGACAAACTAAGTCATCTTCACCTTCATCCACCAAGTAAGTCTAAAATGTTTTACCTTATTCAATGTTTCACTTTAACACTGACCAAACCACGTTAATACTTTCTCTTTCTTCATTCAATATATATTCTATTCCCAATCTCCCCTTTCTCTCCCTCCCACTTGGCTTCATCTCATCTATTCTTCTTTACAGTTAAATGGACATATAAGGAAAGATGCTTTCGATCATCATGTTTATCCAACTTTTGTCTCCTTCCTTTTCTAATGGTCACGTGAAGGAGGACTACTTGGTCAACAATAAAGCAAAGATGAGAAGGAAAAAAAAGACTCAACAAAATATAAGATGATTGTTATGCTCTTGTTCACACACATTTATACACATTATATATATTGGTATATTGGCATGATCTTTGAGACAAAAAGAGGATGATGTTGATATCAGAGGAGCAAGAAAAAGAGTTCAGATGAAAAGAAAGCAAAGGATATAAAGTCTCAAGAAGTGAAACAAAAGAAACCAAGTTGATTGGAAGTTTTTATTCGCCTTTTTTGCTTTCCTTTTTTTCCCTTCTTTCAGTTTTGTCATCATGTAACTGACTTAGTTTTTCATTGGAACAACGTTAAATAAGTATATTTATATATATATTTGTTTGATATTGTGTATAGCAGATGATTATGTCAAGAGTATTGAAGCAAGTCAAGAAGAGATGTTCCTTTTGAAGATGAGTGAAAAAGAAAGTAGACAGAAAGAAAGCGGAAATGATTCTGAACTGAAAGGTTACATGAATGAAGATGGAGATGAATTAATAACTTTCTACTCTTTTGAGAATATATTACTTTCTCGAAAATAATAAAAGTAAAATTGTTTGGTTGAACATGAAAATAAAGATGTACAATGTAACTATAAATTTAGTCTATTGATGTGTGATTTCCAACAGTGTCAATGGGAATGAACTTGGTAACACAAAACCAACATTTTATCAATTCAAATTTTCCATGTGACGATGAAAATGGTGATAAAAATAAACCAATTAAACAATAAATCAACCAATTTTTCACTTTAAGTTTCAATAACTTCAGAAGACATCAGTAAGCTCAGCAAAAGTTGAAGTAATAACATTGAAGAGATTGAGCCAAATTGATAAACCTTATATAGATCTGGCAACTACCTGGAGAAATGCTTATAACTCCTTGATGATGACAAATTTACACGTAAAATCCACCAAATACTCCAGTCGTTTTATCCAAACAATCTTTTCAATTTTCCCAATCTGTTGGTGACTTGATAGATTACTTGAGATCATTTTAATGGATGATTAACTTGAAATAATAATCAAGTTAATACCATTTCCATAAATGTTGATACTTTCTCGATAATAAATAACTTATTGAAGATGGTAAAGAAGACGAATGTTGTTAGCCAACAACTTGACCATGATTGAAATATCCCATTTAGTAAAAGTATTAGTACGTTGGTTAACTCATAGAAAGCAAAAGAGCAACATAATTTTGTTCATTATCGTCTTCTCATCGTTTATGTTACCTGACAGATGCAATTACCCTTGAACAATCAAAGGAGTAAGTAAAGAAGAAAACGAAAAGGTGAAGAAATTAAAAGAGGAACGAGAAGCGGCAAAAGAAGAGTACATTTGCAGATTTCAAGTGTAATCTTGTATCGATCCATTGGGACACAATTTATTTCACTTGTTTCGGTTTATTTTTTCTCGGCCTTGTTTCTCATGAAAGACAAAAAGATTCATAGTTTGTTTCTTATCAGTTAATCTAACTGAAAATGGTAATGATTGTGGTTTAACGGTTGAACTCAGAGTTCATTTTAAATAGACAGAAAATGTTTACAGAAACATGTGAAAAGTCGCGCCATTTGATGATTAAAAGATAAGATAAGAAAGTTTGATTCTTTTTCTTTTATCCGTTAGCTTATTTTTTTCAACTGTTTTAATCATTGTTGCTTTCTAATGGTTATGGTTAACATTAAATTATGTTGTCAACAGAAGGATTATTAAGAAGTGTTCATGAAACCCAAACTGTGAGTCAGTAATGGATTTCATTTTGTCTTGAAAACAGCTTTAAACAACTTTCGGTGTCTAGTTTTTTTTGCTTTGTTTATTACTTAAATTTTTCAATGTGATTCTTCATTTCGTTTTTTCATTTTTTTATCTTCATTTTACCATGTTCATCATCTTTCCTTGTGTTATTTTGCTCAAGAGATTTACTAGGTAAAGGGTGTTGCGTTTTATTCTTGCCAGTTATCTCATCCGAATGGAGATTAAACAACTGATAAAGATGAAAATGTCCAATGGAAATCTTATAAATCTCCATTGAGATAAGATAGCTGGCAAGAATAAAACGCAACACCCTTTATTAGTATCGTTTAAAATTTTACAATGTATACAATAAAAGAAAATGAGTTTGATGAAAACAAAAACATCTTTGCTCATATTGAATAGTCAATACACTCGGAAATGAGCAAAAATTGTGAACAATCGTCTCCTTAAATTCATTATTAATGACTATGACCAGACAAAATTTTTAAATTGATAAAAATATTCACAATTTGCGGTATTCTCGACTTGACAATCTCGATTTATTGACTTGTCAATGTGCGTAAAGATAATTTTGTTTTCATCAAACTCATTTTCTTTGATTTTTCCTCTTCTAGACTCTTTCATCACCTTTCTTTCAGAGGGATTCAAAAAAACGAGTAAAATTTTGAAATGTGTGTGACCAGAATTATCTTGTCCTCTTGATAACCACATTTAACTTGCAGTTAATGAGAGAAAAAGATTATCAAAGACTCATTAGATTGTTTTGCTGTTTCATGGTGGTTCAGAAAAGTATCAAACCTCGCTTTTACTTGGAATGAAGGATGAGATTACACATGAAACTCGAGACTTCTATCATAAAACTTCAAATTGAAGTGGTCAAGATTATGATGGCCAAAGTGATAATGTGGACGTCTTGAAATTTATTTCTCGAGAGACTTTTTGTTTCGTTTGGTGGTGATGAGCAACATTGATGTGTTATAAATTTTTTATAACAATATATTTACTTATGTAACTGATGCAGAGTTAAAAGGAGTATAAAGAAAATAGATTACAAATAGAAGAGCAACAGGAAAAAGGTAAACAAGAAAAGATCAACCAGAGAAGGAGTGAAGAAGAAGGAAAAGAAAATGATCAATGTAACTATACTTAACCTTTGTTAAATCATTATCATCTTATTTTCTTGTATTCTCTTTCAATTTTGTGACTCAATCTTTTTACATCTTCATCTCTTTCTCTCCTTATATTCCCTCAAACTTAGCCTCCATCAAAAACAATTCCAGGAACAACTGAGCAATCGTGGTTGGTTAACAGCAATAAAGAACATGAAACTCGTCCTTTATATAAATATCATGGAAATAATAAGCTATTCCTGAGCCAATATTTCTCAATCTAAATCATTGGTAACCGTTGGGAGTAAAAGTGATACTTGAGATGAAAAGGAGAAATGATTAGAAGGAAAAAGATATGTACCAAAGAAGTGATTTCCAGGGTAAACTTACTCCTTTTTCATTGAAGTTGATTTGATAGGTTTCAACTCATTCATTTCACATCTTACCTTTTCTGTTACTATTCTGGTCACCTTTTCCCTCTTTTTTTTGCATCACCATGATCGTCATCTTCATTATCGACTTTCTTTTCTTACCTATTTAGTAAACTTATCTTTTTCTTTCTCCCATTCCTTTCAGAAGTTGGATAAGAAAGCAGATAAAAACAAAACAAGATGAAATAAAAGGATGAAAAAACTAAAGAGATTGCATATCTATTTGGATGTGGCGAAAATGTCTCCAAGGAGTTAAGCTAATTAGGAACAAGATTCCAACTTGGATGCTTTACTGAGTTGTAACATCATCATCATCTTCATCAACTAACATCTCTACATTGTTATCTTATTTTTTTTCCTCCTCATTTTGATTTTCTCTTCTGTGTTTCTCAATAGTCTTTATTATACCTCAATATCGATCGCATTTCTTCTCACTCTCTTTCTTTCTCTCTCTGTTCAGCTATTGTATAATTTTATCCATTCAATTGTAACCTACGATCAAACCATAGAGGTCACTTTGAGCTTAATAGATTGGATATTATTTATTATTATGCTGAACCAGATTTAGCTGTTGAACAGAATCCATCTTAATCGATTTCTTTATTCACCTTGCAAACACGATAACCAATGATGACGTTTATTGATGAAATAGATGAGTGAAACGGTTGATCAAAATATCAAATCTGCTAACCATTTAGCTATAAATACATAATTGAGTTATTTGTTTTCTCTCTCTTTCCCATTACTCTTTAACCATTCTTCACCCATTCAACATGCACCAAATTACTAATAACATTACAATTACTTTTCACTTCAACCTAGATAATGTACAAAACACATGCAGCTTAGCCTTTTATTCACTCATGATTAATAACAAATTGAATGCTACAAATTCATATAGATATATACATTGTAGACAAACAAATATTCAGATTACCTGATTTTCTTGGTTAACTGAGTTTCTTTGACTATTGAGGAGAGAACCCAAGATGTTCATGAAAAAAACATTTTTCCTCTCCAACAACCTCAAGTGTTTCAGACTCTGTTATAATAATTTCACCATTATTTAGTCGATAATTTCATCTTGACAATTTTTTTACCTTCCTTTGTTGTATCGTTTAACTCTGATCTCTTTGTTAGCTAAAAACCTCACTCAAACATCTTGACTATTCAACATCTTTGTTATTATTTATTATCTTTTTCCATTTTCTTCTTGCTCATATTCATTATAATCATCAGCATCATTATTATCATCACATTATAATCATCATAATATGTTAACCAAAAAATCTATTTAAACGAAACATCAAATTTCTATTTCATCATTCTCAACCTGTCATTTTTTCATCATTATCAATTGAACAGCATTTCTTCCTATAGAATCCATTTTTAACACCTTTCTTTACACGAGCCATGATACAGAATTGAAATTTGTTTTCCTTGAATCTATTGAGAAACATACAGAGAGAAATCAAATATTAATATGCTGAATGGCAATATCATCTTACAATGGAATCACTTGTTCACACAATTTGACTTGAAAGTAACGATGTTGATGATTGTGTTTGAGTAAAATCAGTTGAAATTGAAACTTTATCCATATTGAATCAGTAAACAATCCTGAAGATAACTGATGAACGGTGAAAACAACTTTTCCTCTTCACATGATCATCAATATTATTTTGGTAAGTCTTCAAAATGATTCCCACAATCCTTTCCAGAATCTAATTTCTCTAAGCTAATCACTTTAACTTTGACTTTTTTTTTCTTCCTCTCAACAGATCAATGTCTATGAATATTGAGCGAGACAAAATACGATAAAGACAAAAATAAACTAATGTGAGTATTTCATGATCAGACACGACATTTATATGTGATGATAACTAAAGTTGATATAACTGTTTTCAATTTCAGATTATCTTGATAGACATGAAAATAACAAAAATGATTCTAATTACAAACAATATCGAGTGAAGAGAAGGAAATGTTAGTTAAATTTAGTCGTTTATCAACATTACATTGACTGTACTTTTACTCTTTTATACTTGACAATTGTTTATTTGATTTGCTTGTGTTGCAAAAACTAGGAAAATAAATCTATTCTTTTCCTCCTCTTTACTTGATATTTACCTTGTTACAAAACCATGTCAATCCAGGTAAATTAGACTTACTATTTTTTTTCTTCTCTTTTTATTCCAGATTCTCACCAGTTCTTTGTCATCATTCATCTCTACCAAAGTTCAACTTGAACCGACTCACTCTTACTGATTTCAACTAGGATTTGAAAGTTGCTGGCAAGCAGGAAAATAATACAAAAAATCAAGTAACATTCAGAATAAAGATACAACCAGGAGGATAGAAATAAAAGGAGAAGAAGAAGATGAAAAAATCTCTTTACTTGTATAACGTGATTCTTAGCCTATTTGTTCTGAACAAATCTGTCTTTACCTTTTTTTTCATCTTCTTCTCCTTTCTTTTTTGCTTTCTTCATCTTCTATTTCTTCCTGGCTCATGGTCCTTTCAATTCCCTAAAGTAACCACGTCAATCGAGATTGAATGAATGAATGATCTTGATGGTATCTCAACTGAAATGAGTTTTGTCTGAAGTAGGTAAAGTATTGATGATAACAAGAGGAGGAAAAAAAAGAAAGACAGAAAAGATGATGATGATGATGGTTTCTCTCTTTTCCCATGTTGAATGTTATATCTTTTTTTTCAATTCAGATTGGAATTGGTGAGGAAAATAATAAGGAACACTTAAGATGTAAGTGAAAACATGAATAAACAATTGTCATTATTGTCAATTTTTTCGTCACATTGAACAAAATAAATTATCTGCAACTTGGAACCCTAGGAAATCAACAATTGAATAACAACACAAAAAATGAGGATCAACCTGGAACATTCAGTTAATTGGTATAAATTTTCTTTCTAACCTTAATTCATCTCTGATTGAATCTTAATCACAACATCAACACTTTATTTCATGATTGAATCAATTTTGAAAATGTAAATTGTTGATGTAAATATTAATGCAAGTTGAGATGCAAAAAAAAGAAGTTAAAGTTTCATCAGTTGAAATCAATTTTATTCAAACATCGAGTAATAATATTTTATTTCATTTCTTTGACACAGAATCAAAAGGAGAAAAAAAGAAACCGTTAACTACCATTGAATTTTGTTGGCAAAGCAAATGTTGGAACTGAATAATTTAAAAATTATGAGAAATCAAGTCAAAATTGAATCACTTATACAATTCTATTAAATTTAACTTTACACATGAAATGGAGGGAAGCACAAAAAAACAGCATTTCACTTGAAAAAAAAAGGTATAAACATAATGTTTTTTGTTCTATTTATTTTATTCAAAGTACATTTCATTCATAAATCAATATTTGGCATTACAGGATAAAGGATATTATCAAATCGCGGAGTAACCTTTGGATGATTTTTGGAAATCGGAGAAACAGCAGCTTCAATGCTGAAATGATTCTTACACAAAAAACTGTTAAACAAAGTGATGTTAATGTGTACATCCTTTTTCCATATTACACTAACAGCTATTAATGTTGATCATATAAATGTACACATCGTAGGATGGCTTATACAATGAAGTGTGATAAGATAAACAGATACAGCAATGGAAAGATAATTTAATCATCATCAGTCAAAGGAATAACATTCAACAGAAGCCAAGGATACAGGGAGAGAAAATTCAAGAATATATATTTATATGAAGAGGAGAGGAAAGAGGAAAAAAGCTAACCCTTGAAAGATGCATAAATTGAAGGCAAAATGGACCAGATCTTAAGTTGGTTAAACTATGCAACAACAGGCAGTGAACAAGGAATCAAGCCAAAGTGGATATCCAATATTCAATATAAAAAAGATTAAGCATATGTCAATCAAAGAGGACTGGGAGTGAAAAATTGTTATTCAATTTAGAGATCATTTCTGAAAATAGATCGTCATTTTGTATTATCTTGAAAAGTTGAGTTGAAAAGTGAACCTTTTTAACCTTTACAACTTAACCAAAGAGAGAGAAACAAAATGTATATTTATTTTTCATAAATAACCTCCATTAATTGAATGAGAATTGTGATTTGGAATAATAGTTTTGTTTCTGTGGAAAGATTGATTCCAATTGCAAGATTGAATCAATTAATATGAGTATTCCTAAGATGAGGTGAAAATAGAGAATAGAGAAAGTGAGAAAGAAAAGAAAGATAATCTCACCTTTTCAGTTTGATTGTTGATGAAAGTTGAATCACTTTACTAATCACGCAACCGTGAACAATAATATTGGGCACAGTAACAGTTTCAACAGCAGAGGGCAGACTCTTTTAGATAAACTCATATAATTCTGTCTTTCTCATTTCTCTTTCTTTCCTTCTTTCTCTATCTTCACATCTCCCTTGAAATGCTTAGATAATACTGAGTGAGTGAGAAATAAAGGAAAAAAAGAAAGGAGAATTAAAGTTACAAGTGAGTCTGGGAGTGAAAACGAGTAAAGTTTAATGTTGATATTGAGTTTAGCGAGATGTCAAATATATATATAGAAATCTCTGTATACTTGTTTGTAAGAATGTTACTTCTCTCTCCTTCATCTTTCTCATCATTTTGCTCATCTTTTTTCGCATCTCTCACACACATTTAGTCTTCCTTTAGTCTCCATCATCTCTTTCATCTTGACACAGCCAAAGAACAATGAGAACATTGAAAAGTTTCTCTTCTTCTTTTTTTTATTTGTTATAACCTTTTTTAAACATGATCAATTGAAGTAAAGGAAGATTGAGAGAAAAAGTGAAAAGACAGAATGTTGAGTTTTTTTTCTGTTCACCCAGAAAAAAATGAGCAGAGAAACTGATAGATGAGTAAAACTAAAGAGAAGATGATAAGATAGAGAAAAGAGAAAGTGATTATTATAAGAGATTGAATGAAGAAGAAGATGAAAAGAGAAATAAAAACGATAATATATATAAATATATCAATCCTTTTTCACCTCACATTTACTCTGTTAACATCAAAATAACTTTACTCTCCATCTTGTTGTATATTGTTTCTGATCATTCCCATGGATTACCTTGGATTCACATTCATCCCGAGTCATCCATATCATCGTTTAAGGAATGATAATCATTTCATCAATTATTCTTTCCCATCTTAATTGTCCAATTCAACAATCATATTTACCCTGAGCAACATCAACCAAACATCATCTCGAGTTGATAAAAATCAACTCCATTTTCAGCTATAATTGATTGCCACAACATTTTTCGCCAACAACAACCTTTTCCAAGTCCATCATTTTATCATCTTTCCTGTTATTTATTTACCTATTTTTTGCCTCTCGTTCTCTGGTGAATGTCCATCTATTATTGATGTGAATTTAGATGCAGGATAAAATCAACTCTTTGAATATTCTTAAACAAACCTTGACCGGTGTTGGTTACAATTCAAGTAATTCAATTAAATTGTTCAATGGAACGGATAACAATCAATCAATAACTGCATCAACCTCAAAATGTAATCTTATTAACAACAGTGTTAATGATTCAGGTGATGATGAGAATGGAAATATTATGATGAATAAACCAAGTGATCATAATAATAGTAATGCTGATAATTGTTCACCTTTAACTGCCTCTTGGCATCAACATGTTTACTCTAAACCACCGCGAAAACCGACACCATTTTTAATTGCCAACATTCTGGGTCTAACCAATTGTGATAAAGATTATAATAGTTCAACAGTTGAAAACAAAAATTGCAAAAAGGATAAAAAACGGAATAATTCAAATGATAAAGTTGATTCAAATTGTGGAAATAATATCAATAATATGGATAAAATTGGTACATTGAGTACAACTAAAGGATTTACTAAGCCAACAACAGGTAAAAATAAAAGCAAATCGGCTAAAAATGGTGAAAATAAATGTTTAAAGTCAACATCTAAATTGTCATCAAGTAAAACCAGTTGTGATAATTCCAACAATTCAAATATCAATTTGATGAGTGCGACAACAACCGCAGCCAACAGCAACAGTGTTAGTAAAAAATTAAGTGAAACAAACAATTCAACATCAAGTAAATTCAATTCCCTGATAAAAAGTAAATTGGATGTGAATAGCAACAATAATAATAGTAATAATAATATCAAATCAATTGATCCATATTGTCTAGTATCTCATCTGAATTTCATGGATAGTAAACTTTCAAAGGTAAGTTTGTCTAAAATTGACAATTGTTTCAAACTATTATTGCATGTAAAAGTCACGTAAATTAACAATCAGAATCAATAAGAAACTTGAATAAGTGAAATAATAACTGTTCACCAAATGGACATTAAAAGTTTCCCATTGAATAGATTTAAGGTTTATATTGATAAAAGCTTGAAACAAATGTCAAATTTAAACTTATCAAGAAAAAGCAGTTCAAAAATGATTCAAAATCTCATAAAAAATCGATCAAAATATTAATAATATTTTCTTTCTTCCTTCAAGAAAACTCCAAAAAACAAGTCAAGTAAATCAGATGATAAACCAAAGAAAGGCCGGACTAAAGCAACGCCAACACCAAAAGGAGCAACACCAACACCTCAGGAAAACGCAAAAAATGTCAAAGAAAAGAGCAAAAAGACCTTTGTCCCACCAGCGACGACAAAACTGGCCTCTTTAGCCTCGCTTTTGCCACCGCCACCTCCACCATTGCCTGTACCCTTGCCGCCACTTTCAGTCGTTTCTTCATCCAACCACGCATCCGAGTTTAAAGTACCTTTGGATCAATCTTTAGCAACTCCTGATCAACCTTTAAACCTTTCGTGTGGCTCACTGAATGATTGTCGTCGTAAAAGTTCATCAGGAAAACAGTTGAACTCAAAAGCAGGCTCCAGTGAAATGTTGGAAGGTTATCAATCATCAGCTCTTGATTTATCTAAATGTCGTTCTTCACCAACAACTGGATCAAACTTGACTACAGTCTCACCAACAACGTTAGCCTCAACATCATCATCATCCCTTTCATCATTATCTTCTTCATCACCAACCTCTTCCTCCTCATTTTCACCTTCACCCTCATCATTACATCTAAAATCATCATCATCATCATCACTGCCATTGTCCAAACCATTGTCTTCATCAACATTATCAGGCTCACTTGAGTCAACCACTTTCAATCAAAATAATGATCCAATCTTAAAGGTTAATTCAAAATCATCTCCTAACAGAACAAATCGTATCTCACCCTTATCATCATTATCGTCATCAGTTAATCATCTTACTGTCAATTCATCTTCCAATCCACCGGCAACAGTAAAACTGAATACCAAAGTTACCTCTTCTTCCTCTTCCTCCTCATCTTCATTAACTTCAATCGATTCCCTAAAGTTAACTGTTAAACCTGCAATTGCTTTATCAAAACGACCAGTCAACAATCTCGACACCAACATATTAGATTTTTCATCCCTTCAACATCTAACCAAATCAAATTCAACCTCTGACTATCTCAAAGGTAAGACCTTTAATTTGATTGTTAAACATCAATGATGAATAGGAAACAATACAAAGAAAAAGCAGCAAAAAAAGAGTTGAAACAAAACCTGTCAAGTTGACATAAAAATGCATAATTTTCTTATCAAATAATGTTTTACAATAAAAAGTATAAAAGAGTAGAGAAGCAAAGTTATTATAATTGAACCGTTTCCCTATTTAACTCATTATTTTTAATGCACACACACACAAATGTTTATCATGATATTAACATTTGGCTCGGTTTGCTCAATTTTAAAATAAAAGCCCAACTTTTCAAATCAATACACTTGATTATATGAAGCAAAGAGTTGCTTTTTTGCATCAGGTTAAACCTGGGAGTTGAAAAGTTGAGCGTTAAAATGATATTAAACAAAAGGAAACACAAAAAAGTGAAGTTATAAATTTGTTGCTATTCAATGTATTATATAATGTACAAAAGTTATCAAATTTGAACAACAGATTGACTCAGAAACAAAAGTGAATAAAGATTCAGTAGACAGAGAGACAGAGGGAAAAAAAGATACCAGAATCTGGTTCCTTTTCTGGTTATGCTGTTTTTTTCTGGCAAAATATTAAGGAGAAGAAAACTAAACAGCATAAAAAAATGATTGGCATAAAGAAATGGTTACAGTGAGGAAGATGAAAAAAGAAGACGAAAAGCAAGAGAAAGTAAAGGAAGATGAAAAGATGAAGAAAAGTTATTACATTTTTACTGTGCAAAGTAAAAAGTGAAATAAAATTTAACACTTACAGGAGAAAGAATTGAATTGTGAATTGAGTTTAAATTCAGAATAATATTCATTCTGTCAGATGAAAAGTGTGTCTTCTAAAAAGGAGAAAAGGAAGAAGATGAAGAGGATGAAAAGGAAGATAAATAGTGAAAATGAAAAGCTTTTTTTGCCTCGTTTTGTTGCCTACTGAAAAGCAATACAAAACAAAAAGAGAAACAAAATGGTTTCAGTTTAACTTGAAATAAATGATATGATTGATTTGAGACTAAGCAAGCAACAATAACATTATCTCAACTTTTGTATTCAATTCTGATTATTGAGAATTGTTTCTTTTCCTTTCCCTGAGCATTTACCTGAACATTTTTTGTTCAAAGCAACATCAATATGTATGTAAATGACTGAGAGTCAATTTTTATTGATTTCAAGTAAAAGTTGAAGAGAGCAAAATTATCATCCGAATTGTTATCATTATAAACATTATTAATTCATAAAATTGGTGCAAACTGAGAAACCAGGGAATGACAAAAACTAGACTCATGAGGAAAATAAACGAATCCCTTTCATTTTTATGGTTCCCTGATTTACTCGACTTACACAAACTGATAAAGTAGAATGTAAATGCTTAGGTGAGATTGAAACAGAAGGAGAAAATTCTGAAGATAAATTTTCTTTTCCAAGTTTCACACAAATTTACGGATAATAATGATTCTGAGTCTTCCAACATTCAACTCATGATGGTGATGAAAATGCTAAGGTTAAGTCTAACATTTATTGTTATTCATTTTTAGTGTGTCTGTCAATTGAATGGAAATAATTTTCACTCCCAATTTTTCATTTTTTTTTTGTTTCCATCTCTTAACTTCTTAAACAATCTTGAAACTTGTTTTCAACTTGAAATGGAAATGAAATCTTCTATTCATCATGAACATCACCATTCTCATCATCTTTAAATGTACTCTTTTTCAACTCCAATTTGATCTCTTTTTTGCCTGTAACTCTTTCCATTCACTCTTTGAATATACTTTTCCCATTTTTATAATTTTTTCAATTCCTATCATCATTATCATTTCACCTTTCTACTTTTTACTCTCTCCTCTTTACCCTTTTCACTGTCTTTTTTCACCTTCATTCATCTGTAATTCAAGACTTTATTCCAGTTATTATTTCATTTTAATCTTTTTTTCATTTCTTTTTCCTTCTTCTTCCATTCAATTCCATTATCTCTCTCACTCAATAAGGTTAAAAAATATAATTCATTTTCTGATTGTTTCATTTCAACTCAAGTTCAACTCTTCATTCCTCCAAGCATTCCATCATTTTTGCAATTGATAAAAACTCATCACAATAACTGCTAATTCATCAAATTCATAATTATAACCAACTTCCAGTTCAAAAAGATTAACTTAAAAAACTCAAAATAATTCATCAATGATAATATCAACAGAATCAAACTGAATAAATTACTGAAACAAGTTGAAAATGATAAAAATCCCTTTTCACTCCCAGCTCACTCCAAGACAATTTCATCTCAAAAACGATAAAAAAACATTCCCTTGATGAGATTCAATTTATTGCAAATGATAAAATCTCAATCTGATTGTAACAAAACTTGAAATTCTAGATTTCCTTAAATCTACTCATCATATTAAACTTTGCAAATTATCAGATTCTCAATCTCAATATAAAATTTGAAATTTGCAGTGAAAATGAATCGATTGAAAGGTTCATCAATTGAATAATAATGATAAAGTAACTCCTATTTCCGTTGCCATTTGATTGAGTTACATTTATAATTTGGTTGAGTCGCTCATCACTTAACAATGTAAACTCTTGATTCTGCTTTTTTTCAGTTTCTCTATTAATGATTAACTTCTCCCGCCTCTTATTTTTCATCTCCTTTTATTCCTTCTGCTTGGTTTATCATCTTCGCCATCATCTTGATCCATTTTCTGCTTCATCTTCCTTTCCCTTCCCATTTTGCTTGTAAAGCAAGGAATCACTTAACTGTCAACCCAAGTAAAGATAAATTCCCGTTTGGGGATTCAATTGAGTGGCTAAATCATTCAATGTTTTCAGTGATAGATCAAACAAATTTCAGTGTAAACTCATGATATATAAACTCACTGAAACTTGTTCAGTAAAACAAGCAACACATTATTATTATCGCTTGCATTCATGCTAATTATTATGTACAAATGATGCAAATTGATAATTTTTGTTTGTTAAATTACCGTTTTTATTATTCAACAGAAACTGAACAATCGGTTTAAACACACAACACACACATTCACTTAAAATAGTTAATTGATTCAAAGAGAAATAATTATTTCTATTAATAACTAACATTAAATAATGACCAAAGCCTAATAGCAATCCATTAATTCATGAATCCATTTCATGGGTTAATCCAATATTTGAAAATCAAAGTCAACCTCAACTTATTATCATTAACATTAATATCATTATTAACATCGTTCCTAATATCATTACTTTTATCATTAATTAATATTTTAATTTTTCTCCCTTTATTTTAACCATTAATTAAAATTCAATAATGAAACATGATTAAATATAACATTTCACTTTTGATGAGTTGAAATGGTGAAAAATATTGTGCAAAAAAGTGAATCATTCAGGAAATTGAACAACTGAAACTGGACAAAATGATAAAGGATACAAAAATGTGACAAACTTGAAATGAATGCTTTTCATTTTACCTTCATTTTTACATTAAAATGTATTATTTTTAGATACAATTGATTGATGAAATGATTTAATGGAAGTGGAAAAAGTTGAAAGATTTTGGGTAAAAATAAAGAAATGTTAATTGAATGTGATTTTAATAGAAACAATCATTTAGATTCACTCATTTTCCTTCAATATTTCTTCAGGTTTTATCTTGAAACTGATATTTTCCAAGTTCATTGAAACATGATGATTCTAAGTCTCTGTTGATTGTAGTCATCATTGAAAAAAGGATTCGTTTAATGATAAACTAATGTTTACTTTTGATACTTGACATTTTATAATTTACTCAGTTTACTGTTTTATATTGTTGCAATTGAAACAAACTATCAAAAGATTGATTAAATATTCACAAGATTTTACCTTTTTTTATATCTTCTATTTTTACACCTTTAATAATTCACATTGAATAATTACATTGAGAATCCCTTGATTGTGTGATTGAAGGCTTAACCAGAAACTTAAATTATATGCATTATCCCAATGTTACGATAATAATAATGATAAAGGTTACAAGTTAATCGATAAAAGAAGGAGGGAAAAGAGAGAAAAGGTAAAGATGATGATGATGAAGATTAAGGAAACGAACGGAAAGGAAAAACGATATCTTCAGATGATGAGGAGCAGAAAGAAGAAGAAGATAAATTGAAAGCAAAGAAGATGACGTTTTCACTATTAACAGACAACTAAATGACAATTCCTATTGTTGATCTACTTTGTGAACAATTCTGGCCAATTCTCGTTACTTTTGTTTGTTGCTATCTTTTTTTTACTTGTAATATTAACAAGAAACTGGTACTTTCAGTATATTATCATTCAATAGGATAACTTGTCATCATTCACAATCTTCATTTACCTTTCACTCTTGTCTCGCTGTTTTTCCTCCTTCTCTTGATAAAACAAGAATCTTTCATCTTAACCCGATTTCACCAAATAATAACTCTTTTACACAATCCAATTACAGCTCAAGCTCAAGTTTAAATATAAACATTGATTATCATTCAAATCAGTTGGCACTTTGAAAAAGTCTTAATCAACTTGAAATAACACAAAATTTTCAATTTTTCATTTTCAATAGAAAATCATTTTTATCAAGAAAATTTCTTGGAGTTTTAATAACAGTTGAATCTTCAGCTAAAGCCTGACTTTGGAGTTGAAAAAGTTAAATATTGAAAAATTTCTTTCTTTTTATTTTTTGGGAAAAAATATTTGTTTTTTATAAACATTTTATTGTGAATATTGTACTGATTGAAATGATCAGTTTTTTATGTTTTTTCACTCAAGTGATAAACGAATTTAAATTAATAAATATTAATGTATCACAATTAATGTCATCTGGCAACCAAAATTGAACCTGATTATGTTTGTTCACTTTAATCTGTTAATCTTTCAATTTTATTCAGATTCTCTCATTCAAATTAAATGGCTTCTCCAATTACTTTTGTCCTCCCATTTGACTTTTGCTCATTATCATTGAAATTATCATCTCCTCACCAAGATAAAC